CAGTTGAAAGTTCTTATCCTTTGCAAAGTGCTAAAAAGATAAAACAACATCCTTTGCTTTTGTTTTTGTTTTTTTTATTTGAAAAGTGGAGGAGCATGGCAAGGTTAGAGGCAAGTTTGTAAAGAATTTTTTATAATGACACACAATGAATTCCAACAGACACAGTCAATGACGCAAAGGGAAATGATTGGAATCAGTTTAAACAAAAGCTTCCTTGACATCAATTAAAGCTGTGAGGTCATTGTCATGTTAACACTCATTTCATAATTTCTAAGTAAGCATTTAGTATGTCAGTATGTGTCACCGTGATTAAAGGAAACTAGCTGATCTAAGAAGAATTTACAGTACGTAGTTGATGTACATGTACATAATTACTTCTTTTGTTTGATTTAAAGATGAAATAAGGTGTCAGATTGTCTTTAACTGACATATAAAATTGCAGCTTATAGGATTTGAGTTCTGAAACACTCTAAATTAAGCTCACTGTAAAAATTTTATATATAAGACGAAAATTGGGTTACGTGTTTAATGTTATATTTTGATGGAGCTCAGGGTTATTTTTTCAACTGCAGTGATTTTTTTCTATATTTTACATTTTATATTGTTTCCCCTAGCCCAAAATAGGTATATTTTCCCCTAAAAATGCTAATATTTTTCCCTTAAATGCCCTGTGCACATTCTTCACTTAAGAACAGCTGTTTTATATCAGCTAGATCTCTGCTATGTACCATGCATGTTAAATTGAATTGAAATTCTCAGTTGTTAGAATTTGACTTTCCCCTTTTCTGATTTATTACACTATATTTTCCCCTTCAGAAAGCCACAGGTTGTTTTGAAAATTAAAAAAAAATATCACTGAACTACCTAGTCCTTCATGCTGTTTCTTTCTTATTTGACATGACCTCAGATTTCTGTGGCAGAATTATGAGACTTACAACACTGATTACATTGCTAAGTTTTCCTCTAGCTCTCAGTCGACTTTAGAATTGAATTCTTACTCTCATCATCAGAATTTTCAAATTCAGAAATCTCATATATGAATATCACATATTTGTAATCAAATTCTTGAGTGTTTCAAATTGCTATCATCTTTGAGTATTTATATTTACTACACAAAAATTCTTGAAAGTAATGAAATCTAATTAATTCCACCTTTCAGTTTATATATTTTTATGCATAAACAACCGACCTAGAAACAATATGCGGAAAATATTAATTTAAATTCACCATGAAAGCTGAATACATAATAACAAAATATGCATGAAATATGTTTCATCAAAAGGTAATTTGGCCTTGAACTTTTAACCTATTTTTAAATGAAGTAATATTATTTACAAGAAATTATATGCATGGAATCAGGTACGTATATTATGTATGTTAATATACGTACCTGATGGAATAGGTCCAGCATGTAGCCTGGGGTTCTGTGTAATCACAGTAGTGTGGTAAGGTATGGTAGTGTAACCGTAATTTGGAACATACTGTTTTCGAAAGGTACAAAATTTAGTTCGGGCAAACACAAACTGCCTTGTGAAAAATGTAATCATTGCGCAAGGGTTAACTAATGGACCTCGTCATGAGGGACGTAAATGTGGCAATTCTCTTGGTATCGCAAGGTGTGTAAAAAAAAGTTTAACCAAAACAAGTCATAATGTATCATCACAATAATGTCAATAACCAGGTATCACAAGGTGTGCAAAAAATAAAGTTTAACAAAAGTGATAAGGTATCATCGCAATAATGTTAATAATCTAAAAAAAATTTGCAAATCCATTGTATCGTCGGTAACTCCAAGGTCACAAGGGTCGCAAAGGTTCACAAGAAAGCAGATGTCCAAATGTTAAAATTGTAGGCACAAAATCAGGTCAATGGTGCTAAAGTTTAGTGTGTTTAAAAATGCTGTAAAATTGTAAGCAAATATTAAAAATACAAATTAATGCTCTTATGGTAAAGGGAAAGTAGGGCACAGTTTTAAGTAGTAAAACAACTTCCACAAAAAGCTGTAAAGTAACTTCCGCCAGCAGTGCTAGTTTCAAAAGCTAGCGCTGGGTTTTTAGTATTGCCAAAGTTATTCAGTAGTTCTAGTAGGTCCTGGGGCTAAGTCCCACTGGCTAAATAAAAAACAGTACCTATAAATAAACTAAGTTCTATTAAGGAACATGGGCAATACTAAAGGTAAAATTCCCAATAAGTAAAAAGGTTCTTCAAATAAGTCTAAATATACCATCAGGTGGTCTCGGGGGTGTTGCAGTAACCAGGGCCAGGTTTAAAAAAACATTCTTCTGGTATGGCAGGGGTCAAAATAGTGCAAGGCATGTAACAACATGTAAAATTGCATTTGCAGCATAAAAACTAATGGTCATGGGCAGGTTGGCACAACAGGTCCTGTTCTAAAAATTCAAAAAAAAAAACGTTAAGGTTACAGCCAAACCAGCTGTGGTGCCTTTAATGCTGTTAGGCAATCTTATTAAAAAATAACAAAAGCCTAAAATATTAACAAGTACAAATGTGCAATGCTAAGTTTGTTGCTTTCTTGTTCTGTGTTAATGTGGCTGCTGTGGTGTAAAAGGTAGCTCCATAAATCTGTAGTTAACACTCAGGTTTGGTATAAAGGTGTAAGCTGCAATCGGCTTAAAAACTAAACGCTGGCCACTGTTAAAACAGTGCCTGAAAAGGTAAAATATCTAAAATATCAGTTATCCAGTTAAGCTATCTGTCAATAACTTGTCAAATAGGCATTTGGCAAATTACTGTTGCACAGGCTAATGCCTGCCCACTTATAATCTGTGTTTACAGGCCAATGCCTGTAAAGGCAGTTTTGTGGGTACTGGTTTAAAACCCAGGAGTGGACTTAAATCTCGGGTTTCCGCACTTCCAGTAAAAAAACTTCATCTTTAAAGTCGGGGGGAGTGTGGTAAGGTATGGTAGTGTAACCGTAATCCGGAACATACCGTTCCCGAAAGGTACAAAATTTAGTCCGGGCAAAACAAAAACAATTCCTAGCTGCCATCTTGTAAGAAGGTAATTAAAACAGCAAAATAAATCCAAAAAAATCTAAAAAATATAAATGGTCATCTGTACAAAAAAAGTGTTTCAAGGTAAGCAAAACACTTTAGTACTTAATGTTTATTGGAAAATATTTAAATCTAAATATCATATATCTTCTATTATATAAAAGAACTTTTCCAAAACTGTTTGTCACAAATTTATCTCAATAGATCCAATTTAAACATCATTTTTTAAAACTATTTCCATTAAATTGTCTGCCATTTTGGGTGATTTCATAGAATGTTACTATGGTATTATAGTAATCCCAAAAAAATGCAAGAGTTGAAGGATAGATGGGTAAAAATCTTCAAATTAAGTAATGAAAAACTTTCAACAGTTAATTTGCTATAAATTCATACTATAGGAACAAACAATATGCCCATATATGGGATTATTACATATTTTAATTGACTGTGTAAAAACAATTATAAGCGAAATATAGTAGATCTAGTCAAATATGAACATTTTATAAAATAGTTTTTTTACCATGAATACATCCATTATTTACAAAATTACATTTAAATAAATTTATTGGCAGATGCTATGCAATTAAGAGAGACAGTTTTGAAAAATAGAAGCATTGTCATGCGTTGCTTTAACTAGCAGTCGCAGAAAATGTAAATAGTTATTAAAATATACTGTGATATCATATACTGTGCTCCTCTTAGGTCACGGTTCTTAACACTTAAAACAGTAAAGAACACAAACAATAAACTCACACTACAAAAACAGTCATAAACTGTATCATTTAGTCATTTTTCTGCTACATTGTATATGACACAAGGAAGCAACAATATATTCAATCAAAATTAGTTTTAATTTGTCAGATGTAGACCGTGTGTCGGCCATTTTGAAAACAGTATGTCATCATTTAACTCGCGGTAATGGTGTTTTATTTCAGTTTTTTCATGTTTCAGTTATAATTAATGTTATTTTGCATAATTTTAAATATTAAAATTATCTTTACATTGCAACTCAAAATTTTTTTTTTCAACAAACAAGAACATTTAGAAAATGATGATTGTTTCAGACGTATGCACAAATTTAATGGACTATGGTTGTTTTTTGCAGAAGTTTGTAAAATGTTGCTCAGTTTTACGTAAAAATCTATAGATTTAAATTATTTTGCACAAAAACTTTGTTGTTAAGGTGTTTGAATAAAATATGTCAATTCTGACCAATTTTAACACTGGCCACATGAAAATATGCCATTACCGCGAGGTAAGTGACGACGCGGACATAGCGATGTTGTGTATAGAACCCGTAGCGTGATATCATAGGAACAGAGTTAACAGTAATTACGACATTTAAGCACTGTGCTTATTAATCAGTAGATTTTTATTGGACAATAACATAGTGATCGACTGTTACGCCCTAATAAACCTATGTTGCCTGTCCCATTCCAAGGTATAAGATAGGATAGGCACACCTGTCCCATTCCAAGGTATAGGATAGGATAGGCACACCTGTCCCATTCCAAGGTATAAGATAGGATAGGCACACCTGTCCCATTCCAAGGTATAGGATAGGATAGGCACCCCAAAATACACAATTTTCCAAACAAAGGGAAAGGAAACATTTATGGACAGTCAATTAAATTGAAGGTAATTATTTTATAGTGCATTGACGACTGATTAAAACTCACACCAATAGATGATGGTTTAGATTAAAAATAGCCCTTTGTCCTTGACATGCTTGAGGGCCTTGTGCAGTAGTGGAGCAAAGCATTTAAGACTCACAGGGCAATTTTTACCTATCACCAGGGCCGATAAAAGGCTTCATACCAAATCCAAATACCCTGTTTTTTTTACCTAATTTCAAAACAGCAGCAGGGAAAGGCCCTCATAAAATAACAATGATGATTATTGCAGACGAAAGTAATATTTTGAAATAAACTATAGTGGAATGCGATCCGTGTCATTTTGAACGCTGTGTAAACTATGTTATTCAAGCGTCTAAGTATTCATGACCGAATCAAAATAGTCAATGGAGGATTTACAATTTTGGCGTGGTTAGAAACGAAAAATGAAGAAGTTTAAAGGAATATTTAAGGGTAAAACTACAAAAGGCTTAAACACCTCAGGTTCTGGATCTATTGGAGGTGCAAGTGGTTCACATAATTTAAATAGCTATGACTTAAAAGAAAAAGATTTACCGAAAATTCACAAAGCAGCTTGGACTGGTGACATTTCAAAAGTTAGACAACTTGCTAAGAAAGATCCGACAGCTTTGGACAAAGAGAACAGGTAAATGAATAAATAAATGAATAATAGTTGTGAATTAAAATAATGAGTTGTGGAATGCCTACTCTTTATATCTTGCAGATTTTATTGGCAAACGTAAATTATTTTATGAACATGAAGAGACATGATCATATTGAATTAGTCTAACTATCAATTTCAGAACTATTACTTAAAATATAGATTGCATCTATTTAAATAATGGGAAATATTGAAATCTTGAATCTTATCTTCCATGATGAAAAATGTAACTTTGGCTGTGACTGACACTGTCAAACAAATGAATTTTAAAAGTATGCCCAATCTCAATATTCACTTTAGTTCTTTGAAATTATTGGTACAATTGTATAAATATAGCTTACTTTAGATTTTGGAACAATCCAGGAATTACAGAAAGACACAGAACTATAGTTTTATAAACCTAAATCACTATAAATTAAAAAAAAAAAGGAAATCAGTCATTTTATAATTTATTAATACAGAAAAGATGTTATAATAGATATTTATTCAGCTATATCCTGGAATAGACCCAGGGTCTAAACCAGGAGTATATATACATGTGTAAGGTTCATTCCATTTTCATTAGGGTATTAATATACAAGTTTTACTTCTGAAATACACATAGGGGTATAATCCAGGAGATTGCCTTTTGATATATATTTTGGTATCTATAATAATAATGAACTGTAAATCCATACTGTTCTAAATTTTTCATCATTATCAGAGACAGATAACATCTATGTCTCTGTCATTATTTGTCTTTGTCATATGATTTATTTACTTTCATGAATTAGGATGCAGTTGCAAGTATAAAGATAGTGTGTATAAGATAATAAAAGTGAAAATTGGTTAATGTTATAGACCTCTGTTAACTCCTAAATCAGTAAATGACTAATTTTTCTGTTTACGTTTACTTTGAAAGAGAATTAAGTCATATTTCGGTATCTTTGGTTAGATATCTTGGAAATCTATTAACTGCTAATTTCATTATCTTTTGTGAAATATTGGTTTTTTTGGTTTGTTTCTTATTCTGAGTACCATATTGCTCCATAACAAATTTTAGAAAATTACTAATACTAAACTACTTCAGAAGTGTATGTGAGTGTTGGGCCAAGTCTGAGTTGTTAAGCCTTAAGGTGTCAGTCTCTGAACCAAAGGATTGTGGATCAGACCGCTTCTGGGGTCACAACTGTGTGTCTCCTTATATCACACTAGTTCTAGCATAGTTCAAAGTCTCAAGCTAAATATGTTTCAAATTCAATAAAAATGTTACAAGGGATGATGTTTGAATGTTTGGCTTGTCAACATATTTCTAGTTTTCAAGATGGATTTAAAAAGATAGTTAAATCATTAATTCCCTTTAGAAAAAAAATTATGATGTTTTATTTAGGATTTGTTGTTGGTGTTTATGTTGTTCAACTCATGTACATGTATGGATCATGAACATATGGGTTGCTTTTGGAAACTATTCCATATTTTAAAATCATTAGGCTATTTAGATAAAAAAAAAGTTATATACATGTAATGATATAAACATGTAATGATTTAATTTTGTTATATGATATTTCAGGACTCCACTTCATCTTGCCTGTGCACAGGGTCATGCTGATGTGGTCGAGGCACTACTGGAATGGAATGCCAGAGTCAATGTGGGAGACAACCAGGGAAAGACACCTTTGATGAAAGTAAGGCATAGCTAAATCAATGTCTTTTAAGAATGTACAGTAATGTTTATATGAACCTTATCTATGATTTTTAGTGATCTAAACATTAATATTTTATGAAATTTCTTTAGCAGAACTATTTTATTCAAAATTATAGCTTTAATAGGATCATAATATTATCATAATGGTACAAATGATGAAGGTCAAGTATTGACTGATTTGAAACTAGTAACATTAATAAGATATTGTAAACCTGTCCTGGTGTTGATGCTTGAACTTATTTTGGTGATACAATTAAGTTAAGGTTCAAAGCAGTTTTTTGTTAGTACCTGCTTGTTAAACAGTTAATGTTTTATAACAGGTCATAGCTGACATTTGATGATTCAAATTTCAGTCACTGTCTTATGATAGTTTTTATTGCCATCACATTTAACTTCATAAGGACCAAAGATCCAAATTTGCCAGATACCTTATTATAAATAAGAAAATATATATAAATCACAGTATTGTTTCAATTAAAAATTATGAAATTGAATGCTATTATCTTATATCATTATGTTCAAACTGATTAAAAAAAATTCAGTAAAATCACAAATACTACACACATGCAAACAATCATTTTCTATTAAAAAGCAACAAAACCTTAGTTATTTACGCTTGAATTATTGATGAATATAACTTCTAAGACACTTGTGAAGAAAAAGATATTTTTGTGTTATCACCAACAAGAAGGCAATGTATTGATTGAGATATAAATCTACCTGCTACTACAAGACATGCCATATGTTGTTACATGCCTGGTAATTGAAGAAATAATCATCACAATCTTTGTATCTAAAATATCATTGATTACTAATAAGGTCAGTGTAAATTGCAGGCTTTTATTTTGAAAGAAGCAAATTTTATATTGATTTGAACACCCTGTTATAATACCTGTATTGATTATAGTGGAGGAAATGGCATTAGTCTGATGGAAGCTGCTCAAACAATTCTTATGATAACAATAGTGTAATAGGTCACTGACAATATATTGTAAACTTTGTGTGTTTTATTAACAAAATGATCACTGTTTAAGTATGTTAAAGTATGTTTAAACACAGAAAATTCAAGTGTGTTAAAGTATGTTTAAACACAGACAATTTGGGGTACATTGTAAATGTTTCAACCGAAAGAGATAAAGAAAAAAATATAATAAAATGCTCATTATTTCAAAAAAAGTTTTGTAAATATTTACTTTTTTTTTAGTTTATACTTCTTATAAAACGTTGAATTTAATATTTTCATTCCATGAAGAAGATTCAGTACTATGTAATTGTGTCTCAGTGAAGGTCATTTAAAAAACTGTTTTGTGTAAAATTTTATGTGTGTAAAATTGTATGTATATTTACAAACATGTGGTCTCCCTCATCCAGTTAGGCTGAAACAATTTGCTGTATGGCATAGTGCCTTACATATAAACCTTAACTTGCTGCAGTTACTCTACTTGCCGGAATCGGCTAAATTACCAGAATCAGCCGAGAATTACTTGAGTCACCATGTAATTTTGTTATTTATAAACTTTTGAAGAATATTCTGGCATGTATTTATAAAATATAAACAATATCAATGATATTTAAAAAGATTTTTGTAAATTCTGGTAAATCGAGTAACCCAAGACTGTTGAGAGAGAAAAAAAAATGTTTAATTACAGAGATATTTTTTCTGTAACTGCATTACATTAGAGATTTATTCCTTCTCAAATTTGTTAAATGAATGACAGAGTGATGATTCCTCTTTGAGAATTGTGAAACTTTTTCTACTTATTGGTTTTAAATGATTTATTGAATTTATTCAATTGAGTGAGAGAATAAAGTAATACAACGATTGAAGATTAATTTTTTACTTATCGGCAGATTAAAATGTCATTGACATATATAAACATATATCTGTGGTATTGAATGAAATGGAAGAATTGATTGGCACTTGATACTGATAGTCGACCAATTATCGGCTATTGTGTAAAATGAAATATTAATCTTGAAATTTTTATTTAAAGAAAGCTGCTCTGGAATGTGATTGAAGTTTATATCTTTACAGTCATCTATTTATCATTTTGTCACTGAGGCATTAAAAAACTTTTTTTAAATGTTCGTCCATATAGGAAGATAAAAGATCATTCAAATATATAAAAAAGCAGTGTTAGGAAAAAAATCCAAAAATCTTGTAAAATCTTTTTTTAGTTCTACCATTTCAAAATCAAATATCATTCAAATACAAAAAAAACGGTATTAGGAAGAAAAAGATACTAAAATCTTGTAGAATTATATATATGTATATAAAAGAGATATGCATGTTTAAATTAATGTTTATTTATTGGATCAGCGTTGGTCTCTTTTTTTTGAGAGAGATGAAATTTTGGTCCTTATGTTTGAAGTAAAAATATCTTCATTGCTACCCACTTGAAACAGAAAACACTATCAGGTGTTCAATACTTATTGGTAATTATTCTTAAGCAAATATTTTGGGTATAAATAGGTTATCAGATATTGTGCTGACACTTGCCAAGTCTTGGCTGATACATGGCAATAAATTATACAAACTGTTTCATCCATGTTTGTAATTAAAATTCCTTTAGCTAAAGTCTGTTACTGTACTTGGCTGTAAAATATGTTCAAATTCAAGGTTATCAATTAAAGTAGGCTCAAAACGATTTTGCAGAAACAAATTTAATTCTGTATTTTTGTGCAGATACTTGAAAGTTGCATGGTTAAGTTTGGTTCAAACTTTTGAAAGTTATTAAACAGTTTTTATGCTCCCAAAATTCGGGGGAGCATAAAGTCGCCGGGTTGTCCGTCCGTCTTTCAGTCCCTCTGTACGTACATACGTCCCGACTTCGTGTCCGGCCCATAACTTCGTTATTTGAAGTCGGATTTTACAACTATTTCACAGAAATGATTACCATATTGAGATGCCCTGTCGCACGCAACATTTGGGTCACTACCTTGAAGGTAAAGGTCACCTTGCAACAAAATCCTGTCTGGCCCATAACTTCGTTATTTGAAGTCAGATTTTACAACTATTTCACAGAAATGATCACCATATTGAGAGGATGTGTTGCGCACAACATTTGGGTTGCTACCTTGAATGTCAAGGTCACAGCATGACCTTGCAGCAAAATAGTGTCCGGCCCATAACTTCGTTCTTTGAAGTCGGATTTAACAACTATTTCACAAAAATGATCACCATATTGATTTTTACATTTACCAGGAAGCTCCTGAACCACTCATTAAATGAACCTTCATAGATGCAGGTTTGCTTATGTCTGATTTTATAGAACTGCACCATTCTCAAAATTCACCACTAACCTTTTTTGTGACAAAGTACCCATTCGGGGAGCATCACCGGTCTTCGAGGGCCTCTTGTTATACAAAGAAATCTGTCACACTACTGTGTTAAATTTTACCTTGTTGGTTCCAAGCAAATGTTGAGTTATTATTATAGCTGTGACATTGTCATCATTGTTGTCGTTGTGCAAAAACTTTACTGAATCCCATTATTCGAACAATTCAAATATCAAAGGTATCAACATGAAACTTGGTATACTTGCTTATCATAACGAGGTGCACTTGTTAAACAAGGGGCATAATTTTGAAAGCTATATTTTTGGAGTCTTCCCCTTTTTAACTTAGAATTTTTGTCAAAATTGGTTAACAGACAAAGCTAAAAACAATTGTTGTGACATTAATTTTTTTAAAAAAAAAATGTGAATTGCTCATAAAGCAGTTCCTTCCATATTTTCATATTAAATACTTTTAAATTTCTGTTGACTTATCAGCTTAAAGCCTGTTTCAAAGTTTTTAATCTTCTGTACATGATATTTAAACCCTTACTTAAGTTTTAAACTCGAATATTACGGAAAGCCAATTAGTATTTGAATATTTTTTGACAGTCATGTTTTGTAAAATTAAGACGGATCAGTAATGACCCTATTATCACCGGTAGAATAAACTACGCTACAATAAGATTTTATAATTCTTTCAATCGATAAAATAGTTTCTTTTCAATGCCTATATAATAACGGTAGTATAGCTGTTTACTGTACGTAGTCTACTAGTATAAAGTAAAAGAAAAACAATATGATTGACCGACTTATCTACAGATTTTTATAAACAAAAATTTTGATAAAATAACATGGGTGGGGTATTATGCCATTGTAAACTTGAATGTCACTATATGTATTAAACTTTTAATAATACATGTATTCTGCCCAGACTATAAGGGTGCTGAAAATACGCAATAATCATGATTACACCATTTGGTGGTCATGTTAAATTTGGTTCTTCGTTTTGTTAATCATATTCTAAAATTCCTTATTTACATACAAAATACAAGAAACATTATTTATTATCGGTATGAACTATACAACATGATAAAAATATCAAGCATGTCAAGTTAAACACGCCAAATTTGTTTCGAGTTTAAATTCAAACAGTGTGTAGATACACATTTTATGATTTCAGAATTTTTACAAGCATTAAATTTTATTTACATACAAACAAACATTATTTACATACAAACAGAATCAAAACATGAATTGCATATATAAAGAAAATCAAAGCATGGTTTGTATTTACCAGAATAATGTAACTAGATGCCAAAAGTAATAAGATAATTTGCCAGACAGTGGTTGCTTTAATCATTGTATATAAGACATATAATTAATTAAACCTTTCCTCATCTATTTCAGGCAATAGAATGTAATCAAGAAAAGTGTGTAAAATTATTATTGGAGCATAAAGTTGACATAAATGTAACAGATAAAGACAAAAATACAGCATTACATCTGGCTGTGAAGGAGGGAAATACTGCCATGGTGGCTCTGCTTGTGAGATATGGGGCCAAAGTCAACGTAAAAAATAAGGTACAATGTCATTTTCAAATAAAAAAAAAAATCTGATTTTATTTTTATACAAGATTAGTGTAATTTTATATATTGTTTCTACTCTATACTATTACAAACATTGGTGTGCCAATTGGAAATGAAATTGACATGAATATGTTTGCCCACTTAGCTCAATAGGGAGAGCATATGATTAGTAATCCAGGAGCCGCTGGTTTGATCCTCAGCAAGGCGTCATTTCTTAGTGACAATTGAGTCTTATGGTCATTTGTTTCCCACTGCTGATTTGAAAAAAATTATGTGAGATTAGTAGTCAGTCACTTGCGGAGATATTGGTAATTATTGGTTAGTTTTCCAAGAATGCCTGTTAAGTGGATCAACAACTTAGATATGGCCAAAAATGTGTTAAAATCAGAGTAAAATCCAGAAATATCAAACAGAAATAATTAAATGGTGTAACCAAGTAACATAATTTTTGGCTTTATGAATGCAATCCTTGAATGCAAGGGCTAATAAAAATGACTTAAATATGTCAGTACAAGAAAGCCAGGCCAGCTGGCACATCTACATGTATGCAACCTTACTTGACTGTATATTGTTGGCTTCTCAGATTTTATCATATTGGTATCAAAATTCCCCTCCATTAACAATGGAGGGCTGCAAATTCAAGCAGCAAATTTCAGTTACACAAAATAAGCATGATGAAAGCTAACTTTGTTTAAGATGCAGTATGCCTTTCTGCTTAGATAAAAAATTCTTACCATAGAGTTAAATGTATATATATTATGTCTATTTTCCTAAACACAAAATTTGTTTGTTTAATACGTTTATATTTCTAAGAATTTTGATATTGTATTACAGGACGGGAGAACTCCATTGATTTTATCAGTTCAAGATCCATCCAAGAGAGATGAACCTACACGGATCCTGTTAGAGAATGGTGCCGATCCTAATTTAGTGGATAACGAACAAAGGTTTCTAAGTTCTTGAAATATAATCCAAAAATAGCTTCTTAAAATGTTCCAGCATCATTCTGATTCATTAAGAAACATTAAGAATTATAGACCTTTATTATTTTCCATTATACTGTAGCTTGGTTGATAAAGTCTTCTTTACCTCCTTGGCCGAGCGGCCGCTGACTTCAAATTGCTTGCCCATCACCACTGTAGGTTTGAAACAGGGACTTTATATTCTTTCAAGTAATCAGAATCTAGATGGTTCTACCTAGGTGCCCACTCATGCATTAAAAGCTAAAAATCTTGCCAAATGACTGTTACTGTGTAGTTTGATTTAAAACCTAACAAATTATTAAAAAAAAAAATACATGTAAATTCTTGAGCTCACAAACAACTTAAGTTTAATTCTGTCAGAATTTTATATAGTAATATGATAATTTATATGGCATGTACATGTAATTCATAGTAGTCTTTACTCAATATTCATTGAAAATCTTTCTTTAAAGGACACTTTTTTGCCACTTTCCTGATAGTCATTCACCAAAGATGTTAAGTTCAATAAATTTGCTTCACAACACAGAGCTATCATTATGTTGTGGTAATTGTTTAAAAGAGAAAAAGTTATTAAGTCTGAAACACCCTTGTGTTATTTTCCTTCTTTTTACACTGGTTTGGCTTTTATAACATAATAATTTTATTTGATCTAGATCTGCGTTACACCATGCCTGTATAGAAGATGGAATTCATCATGTTAAATTGCTATTACAACATAAAGCCAGCACAGCTCTCAAAGATGTTAAAGGTATTGTTACTGTAGATGTAGAATTCCAAACAGAAATATTCCATTTCATTATTACCATTGACCAGTTTTGTGATTTTCATCACTTCATGTTTTTGTCTCATATTTTGACAGTGCTATAAATGTATAAGTGCTTGTCTGAACTCAGTCATAAATATTTCTACAATTTCTCAGGAATGCAGTCCTCAATAAGAATTCATTTTACCATAGTAAGCCGTATTTTATCTGACTTAGTTGGTGGCCATGTTGGTGTATATTCTTTCCTAAAATAAACACAGAAAAATAGTCTCCCTATGACTCACTTTCACTCAGTGGCATTTAATGTTGTGTCCTTTATCATTTATTTTTATTATAAAGGTTCCAAATATTTTTAATAAAACATATAAAGAGTTGAATACAAGATAACATTTGTTGAACAATATGGTAAATATCAGAAACTGATACTGAAAAAAGTTTATTTTTCATACTTCAGTTTTGTAACTTGGAAAATAATACAGCCTTGTTTGTTGCTTATTTTCAAGGTTGGACAGCAGAAGACTGTGCTATGATGAAAGCCCATCACGCATGTTCTCAGGTTGTATTTGACCATAACATTAAACAACGGCACCTGTTAACTGGCAGTGTGCCAAGCACGCCACGCACCACTGACTCTGCCACTCCGAGTAGACACACCACGCCAAGAGATAACTCAGCTTCAGATTTTGGAATGCCACATTTAGGAATGCCCCAAGGTCATGAAGAGGATGGTATATAAACATACTGATTTTTCATTTATTCTTAACTTGATTTGTTACAAAGAAATAAGCTATGCTTTGACCTTCCTCTTGGAACCAAACTGTTTCATATTTTGTGTTCAACTTTGTATCTCATAACCCATTGGAGGTATTTATCAAAAACTTCACGGATGTATTCAAAGGGGCTTCTATGGCAGAATGGTTAAGGTCTTTGACTTCAAACAATTTGCCCCTCACCAAAGTGGGTATCCTGCCAGGAACTTTGAATTATTTCATGTGAGGAAGCTACCGGGTGAGCTAACTAAGGGTTGGTGGTTCTGGTTCTACTCAAGTGCTGGCTTGTGCCTGAAATAGTGCACAGAGGGGCAATTGAGTTGCCATTTTACCATATTAGTGTTAGTGTGGCTTAAAAACCCAACAAATACAACTCCAAAAAGATGTATTCAATTGAAAATCATTGACCAGGTCCTATGACTAACATAAAATATTGCTGAATTAGTCCCCTTTGTGAAATTTAAAATTGCTGCTAGGATATTCACTTGACCTTGACACATAGGTGATGAAAACTTTGTTTACCAACTGCCAAACTAATACATTGTGTATTTAGATTTTGTCCTGTTCTTGCATCTGTGCAATTAGATACCAATTATTGAAGAATGTAAGTAAAAATTAAAGGTTTATACGAAAATTACAGGTACTGCTTTTGTACCGAAATTATTCATATACTAGAAGAGTTCTCTGGAACTGAATGAAATGTTCACATTTTGTTGTTATTGGTTGCTACAGCTGACGATTCAGATGACCAGACGGTCAGTAAACACTCGTTACATGACAACAGACAGGATTCCTGGGCAGACGACACTGATATCAGCTCGGCAACTGATGACCATAAACTCAAGGTAATGCAGATTCTCGGAAACTTTTATTTGACTTAATTGGATCTTGTTAAAACAGAATGGCATTAGTGCAGATATGCTGAGTTTGAGCTGTTCAGGACCAGATTAACATTCTCTTACTATGCCTATTTATTCTATACCTCTTTGTATTCAAACTATTTTACCACCGTAATGTTATGACATCAGCAATGTAATGTTATGATGTCAGCAACGTTGTTATCGATCACTCTTATATACAATTCAGATTTTTCGGGTCATATTTGTGCATGTAGTACATGCAGTTAATATAGTAAAATATGAACAGGTAAATGAGTATTGTAACAAAAATATTGTTATGAAGAAACTTTCTTTCATTGTTTCTGACCTTGGATGACAAATTGTTCAGAAAATTTGAAAATGTTTTGATATGTAAGGATATGTAGTATCTTCTGAACTAGAATCCCTGATGAATGTGTGTAATGAATTTGCCCTGCTTTGAATTTGGAGCTGTTCATTCATAGCGTAAGAAGTTTCAATATCAAAATACAGAAATAAATTAACAACAGTATAGAGCCTGGTCAGACTGCACTGATTAGCTGGTCTTGATATATTTTCGTGTCTAAAGGTCTAAGGGTAAGAGCTGATCATAAGCTTCAAAAGATCTCAGTCTGGTTTTGTTGAAATATTGTTGAAAATTAATATCCATGACCAATTTTTATTTGAAAAACGGGACGTATTATGGGAACGCCCCTGGCGGGCGGGCGGGCGGCGTCCAATTTTGTCCGGAGCATATCCCCTACATGTATGGAGGGATTTTAATGAAACTTCATAGAAATGTTCACCACTATGAGGAGCAGTGTCGCGCACATGAACCAGGTCTCTAGGTCAAAGGTCAAGGTCACACTTAGAGCTCATTGAAAAATGCTTGTCCGGAGCAAAACTTCCACATGTATAGAGGGATTTCAATATTACTTGGCACAAATGTTCACCATTGTGAGGCGGAGTGTCGCGCGCAAGATTCAGGTCCCTGCGGCCAAGGTCAAGGTCACACATAGAGGTCAAAGTTCAGATAAAAATATGAAGATGTGTATATGGACCATTTAGTCATCATTTATTGAGGGATTGTAACACAAATGGTCATTATCAAGACTATGGCTGTGATACATATAATTTAGGTCAATATATACAAGGTCAAGGTCACTAAAGATGATGAAATATCCAGATATTGTCCGGAGCATATCTCCTACACGCATGGAGGGATTTTAATGAAATTTCATAGAAATGTTCACCATTATGAGAAGCCATGTCACGCACATGAACTAGGTCTCTAGGTCAAAGGTCAAGGTCATACTTAGAGCTCATTGAAAAATGCTTGTCCGGAGCAAAACTTCCACATGCATAGAGGGATTTCAATTTAACTTGGCACAAATGTGTACCATTGTGAGGCTGAGTGTCGCACGCAAAATTCAGATCCCTGCGACCAAAGTCAAGGTTACACATAGAGGTCAAAGTTCAGATAAAAATTTGAAGATGTGTATAGTGACCATTTAGTCATCATTTATTGATGGATTGTAGCACAAATGGTAACTATCATGACTACAGGTGTGACACATTTAATTTAGGTTAATATTTGCAAGGTCAAGGTCACTGGAGATGATTAAATATCCAGATGTTGTCTGGAGCATATTTTCTACATGCATGGAGGAATTTTAATGTTACTTTATAGAATTGTTCACCACCATGAGTCGTAGTGCCCTGCACATGAACTAAGTCTCTAGGTCAAAGGTGAAGGTCACAGTTAGAGCTCATAGAAAAACGCTTGTCTGGAGCAAAACTTCTACATGCATAGAGGGATTTCAATATAATTTGGCAAAAATGTTCATCATTGTGAGGCTGAGTGCCGTGCATAAAATTCAGGTCCCTGCGACCAAGGTCAAGGTCACACATCCTGTGCATATCTTCGCTACTGATTTGTTTTAAGGTTCATTTAACAACACAGTGCCAAGAATAAAAACTTGCTTGCTAGATAACACTTATCCATAATGCCCCCATCTCCATCTAAAGCTTTCGTAAACGGGCGTATTTTGTGACTATGGCACCCTTGTTTGATTTGATATTCTTTTATATCAGAATTCAGATATTTAGAATAAACTATAAAAAATAATGGATTGAAAATTACGCTTGTATAATGATTGATAAAGGGATCAGAAATTCATCACTTTATTACAGGTTTTTTACCCCAAATAGATTATGTCTTTTGCTTATAGCATCTTAATTTTTCCCCATTCAGTGCAAATGACTTATGTTTGTTTTAACCTTTTAATTGACTTTATTAGAAATCTTCATTGAAGAAAAGCAATGTGGTAATGTTATAAAGTGTTGTGTACCATGGATTTATTTTTCCCCGTTTAAGATGAAACTGTTATATCACTTTATTTTGCATGTGCTTTGCACCTGCTTCTAGGTATCCATGTAAACACATTCTGCACTTGAGACACACATAAAATTTGTTTCCTTGAAGAAAATTAAAAATTTTGATTTTAAAAAATGTTATTTGGATATGGGCCCAGATTTATCTCCCCTTTAATGTAGTATAAATACATTTTAAGTCTTGCTAAACAAATCACTGGTTGTCGCATATGGGAAATATGTCTATTACTGACTATTTGTTGTGATTTAGCTCATCTGTAAAAGATTATTTACATTCTTAATGAAAACGAAAATAGATATGAAACAACCACAACCATATTCAAAGTGCACCATTAATATATAGAAGTTAGGAATATTTGATATTTATGATTTAGTTACCCCACATTTTTCCTTTCAGCCAGTGGTAGTTGTAAGTTTCATTTTAAGCTAATATCCCTTTAACAATAAATTGTGAACTCACTCGTAATGTTTTTTTAAAACATTTTCTAGGGAAATTAACTGTTTGTAGTGTGAGAAAAAAACAAAACCTGTAGAATTTTTGTATAAAAGAAAAAAAAGAAGTCCTGATTTGATATTTTAATGAATTTAGGTTGTTTATACACAGAATCAATTCAGGTCACGACCATTAATTCTTACAGTTTAATTGTTGCAAAATGTTTCTCTTTTTTTCAATACATGCACATATTAGGAATTTTAACTTGTAAATTTAACAACAGTTACTTAACACTGAGATTAGCCTCATTTGCGTCTTACACGTAGGTAGTAAGTTTAGATTAATTTTTAGATTAAAGAATAATTTTTAGATTAATCAACAAAGAAATAAGTAAAATTTAATTTTTGTTTAATGAGAATGAGATCCCATTTATATATATCCTAAACCTGTGCTTCTGTCCTAAACTGGTGAGATTTTAATCCAATGCTTATACTGTACCATTTTTGTGTGCAAAGGGAGATGACTCTGGTTCAGATGAAGAGCTTTTCGTTACTCAGGTTTGTTAGTGAACATAATTCCCTCCCTTTTCCTGTTTTCTTTTGTATTTTGTGTTAGAATTTTATAAACAAAATATATCTATTGTTTTATCATAATATATATTAAATATTCTTGTTTTACAAAGTTTGAAAAAATATGATTTTTTCAAACATTGAAATTGTTTCGTTTCATATATTATTCATGTATATTTGTGTATTTTCATATATTATTTGTCAAACACTTGCACTAAGTACAGATTTTTTTTTTCCGTACAGTTTTGTCATTGTGTTATTGTTGTGTAGAATGTGCACATTAAAATATAGTTTTTACACTTTTCACAATCTGGGGTCATTATATGAACTTTGAATGAGTAATGTTGTTAATTGTATTCAAATTTGACCTTGAAGGATGGCCTTATTGATGTGTTTGTCTTCACAGAGGCACGTTTACCCTTAACCTGATAGCAGCAACAGATTTTATTCAAGGAACCAGTGCTGACCAAGAGCAGCATCTGTGCTGTCTGACCGTGGTCTGCACTGTTTGTTATAAAGACAATACAATAATATTTTGATTTTTTTCCAAGAAGTAATGAATTATTAGTGTCCAGATTAAAAGATGGACCAGTAATGTTAAGATATTTAGCATGGAAAGGGTAAATTTTCAAAGGTTGGACATTTAACTGTCAGTCTTATATTATATACAACACAGCATCTGATTGGCTAATCCAGAGATCATATTTGAAAATTAACCAATGGCAGTATTTCAAAATAACCCATACATTAATAAGAAGGATTTTCTTAAATTTATATATAAGTTTTATTATACTGAGTTGAAATTTTATCTTTTTGTCTTAATATTAATTTGTAGATTTAATTATTGTAATGCCACATACAAAAAATAAAATTAAATGCACGATCTGTTGCCCTGTAACATTGTAAATAGCTCTAATTGTGTCCATCTTGATTTCATTGAAATAGTTTTAGAAAATAGTTTAAAATTACTTTTAGAAAAGTTGTGGCCCTTGAAAATGATTAGCTGGCACATATAAAGCTCTGACTGATTTTGATGACTTAACCTTCTTTTATTTATTTATTATTTATTTTATTTTACTGTATATTATTATTTTATTTATTTTAAGAGAACAATTTATAACTTTACATATTGGTTTTAAACTTTTTGATATTAGAAATTTTATTTCAAAAGTTTTTGTTGATTTTATAGAAAAATAAGTGCAAACTACCATTTTATTTTACCATTGATATTTCAATCAAATCCAAGCTTTCTTAAACGCCTCATGAGTATTCAATTGATGATTTTATAGGTTTTAAATGGTAAAATTTCTTTAACTTTTGTACAATGTATGCTACAGTTGTGTATTCTGGCATGAAAAACATTCAATAATAGGTCTGATCAAATAGGGTCAGTATTTGATAAATATTTACATATATACTTCATAAATCAAAGTATAGAAAAAAATTGTTTTTGTTGTAAAAGTGATGTATACTTTACAGCTATTCTGTCTGGACTTGCAAAAAAAAGATGTCAATTTATAAAAAAAAAAGATAAAAGGATGAAATTTGATATTGGAAATATATATTAATGTTAAAATTATATTGGATTGGATTTGAAATGAATTTATAACTGTGAAACTATATATCTGGAAAAAGTATTTTGAGGGTTCATCTTTTATGAGTTGAGATAATGTGAAAATTTTAATGTTGCTAATGATAATTATATTATAATTAAGGGTGTTTTTAGGAACAAAACAGTTTTTAAGAGTTAGAATGACATATCTTTGATGATTAAGAAATATTTTAATGATTAACAATGTAACGAGGCGTCTATGAAATTATGTTTATTTTAATTTTATTAGTTTATCTATTTTCATTTCTAGTGTTTAATGTTGTTACAGTGTTAGTTTTAACTTGTAGGGAAGCAAATAGAAACAGAATTTATTTATTTGTCGGCAAAAAATCGTGTGTAACTTTAAGTTTTGTTTATTTTAGATAAGTAAATTAATAGTGTTAGTTTTAATTTCTAATGAAGTAATAGAAACAGAATATTATTTATTAGTCAGCAAAATTTCTTGTAACTATACTAGTTCTGTTAATATTTGATATGTAAATGAATAGGGCTGCATTTAGGAAGAATAGATAAGTGTTATTGAACATTTACATATTATATAGTCACCTTCGGTCAAGTATTTACTTCACTTATCAGGTTACTTATGTCATTTGAATATAACAAGAGAGGGTATGGATTAGATCACAGTGGGAATACTGATATAATTCATAATACACACTTATTGTTTGTACAGTGGCCATTAGTAAGCAAATTGGATATAGCAAAAATAGATTTTACTTATTGAAACTTATACTATTTTCTTTTTGTACAGTGCCATGTAATAACTTTATTGGATATAGCATAAAGATAACATTTTACATATAAAAATTGATGCTATATTCTTCATTTTATTTCTATTTTATAGCATACAATGGATTTATGGACTGTAAATTGTGGATTATCATATTGATTTATATGAAAATTTGAAAAATTACAAAAATTACAAACACAAATATTCTAGTAATGAAATTTTGGTCATTCTTATAAAATTGGGAGTATTTTGGAAGCTATGGGTATATGTTTCTAGAACCTGAGATAAGGCTTTGTTTGTTTTTCTTTTAAACATTAAACGAAGAGTTTTTCTTAAAAGATTACTTTCAGAATGACTTTAGTATTTGTATTAATTTTGTTGTTTGAGTTTTGATGAATATTGCTGACTGATTTATTCAAAACTGAGATGTTCTTGCGGGGAATGTAATGAAATATCTACGTGACTAAGTTTTGAAATGTATGGGTTCTGTTCTGTTCTGCTCTGTTCTAAAGTAATATATACTAAGTTCTTTGGGTCTTTAAGTCAATTTTATGCAAATTTGGCCTGATTAAGTGTGTTGGTTAAGTGTTGTAATAAATAGGATTAAAATTTATTTAGCATGCAAGATTAGTCTTTGTGTGTCACATGTGGGTGATAAATACATAGAAAATGGCATCAAATATTATATATATATACTATCTTGGTTTTAAAGTCTTAAAGTATTTATGGTCAGTGTAAGACATTTTGATAATAGACATAATAAAACTGTGTGGACTTTACGATATTTGAAAATCATAACATGGTGTAAGGTACTTGAAAATATTTGACAATGGAAAGTGAAAGTAAATAATTATCTTAAGACTATATACCCAGTGTCAGTGACTTTTTATTCTGTTCATTCTGAAGAGAAATGGAATTTAAATGAAAGTGTTACAGAAAATTTTGTGGTTAATAGAGTCATATTTCGAGGATTTGTTTTGTAATCGAATTAAGTATATAAAATGTCATCAAAAATGTCCAAACAATCTAAGATTCCAAGGTTTAATTTTGGTGCAAGGATACAAGAAAGCAAGGTAGGGTTTATTGCTGTATCAGCATATCATGAAATTATTTATTTATTAGGTCAGTAATCAGAAAAGGTACATGTAATATGAAAGTTGTAGTATTTTCTGGCGAAGGTTACATGAAAAAGGTATCTTTTTTGGGAGGCAGTTTTTTTTCCTCCAAAATCATTATAAAAATGATATTATAATTTAATTTCTCTAGAAAAGCCAATAAACTTGAAAATGGTTGCATAAAATATTCGTCTCAAAATGTAAAAGGGACGATTATGATGGCTGCTTTATATCATTTTGTTGTATTTTCTCTCGTCGGGGCGCAATGTCGAAAATATGAAAAAAAAGTCAACATTTTGTGATACTTTCACCTTGAGGGGCGAGGTGCCAGGCAAAAATATGAGAGTGGCGATTTTGTCATTATATCGTGTTTTCCTCTCGCCATGGAGCAAAGGTATCCAAAGTCGTCAAATTTTTGTGTTTTCACATGGCGCCTCATGGAGTGAAAATATGACATGGCATAAATCAGCCACCATAGATAATATTTATCATTAATTTATCAGTTTCATGTAGTTAAGAAATTTTATTTAAATTATAGTGTATTTCTAGAGCAATACAATAACAGATGTCAGTCCCTATTTCAACATCCAGCATATTTTAACATGACATCATTGTATTGTTATGTAAGTGCAGTGACTGGTCAACTCCTTTGAATGCCAGTAGGGTTTAAACCTGTTTCTCCACTAAGGTGGTGATACGTAAAATGCATGGTTTGAGTGCAAATTAAGAGTGCATGTTGATTACAAGTTTCATATAAAAAAAAGTGCAAATTTATTGTATTATATATCACTGTATGATATCCAATTTTTATTTTAATTTCACATAACATAGAATGGTACATACATTAAATGATGTAGCGCCATTGGAGGAAATTCCATGATGTATGTCATCAAATCTTTGAAACAAATTTCTTTGATTTATTTTAGGGCGCAGCTGTAAAGACCAGCTTGACCAAACATATCAAAATGGACAGTGACGAGGACGAAGAAGGCGGACATGATGATGGAGAGGGCGGAGTTAATGTTAAGGCAACCAATGGGAAACCAGGTATGTGTGACCATTATCAAAATATGCATGGAAATGTTTAGATATGCAAATAAATGTTATATATTCATACCTTATATTCTTAGTACAATTTGATGAGAGAAAAAAAATGTACACTGTAATTATATATTCTTATTGTAATTTTTGAGTTTACTCAGAATTTTATATATATTTTAATGTGTTCTTTTAGTATTTTTTGTTATGTAAGCATGGATGTACTCTTATAGGACTTTATGAATAAAAACTTAGTTTATTAGTTCTTTACAATATTGAAATACCATGTAGTAGGTTTGTTTGCTTTATCGAAACCAACATAGGCACAATTGCTTTGCTCCTAAATTACATGTGGGTAATTTAATTAGTGAAACTTTGTTCTCAAGAAATATTCATCAAGCATTTCATTGGATACAATGTGCATGTAGAGATGTCATTTGACCAATGAAATGGTCTGTTACATGTACATGTTGTAGTAATAGTAGTGATATAACAAAATATACAGTGTAGGTTTGTAAGATGGTTTGTCCAGAAATAGGAAAACATTCAAATAGCTATAGTGTTTTATAGATATTCTCCTCCAAAATAATTATTATCCGAAGATTTTATTATGACAACATTTAAAAGAAAAGAAAAGTATATTTTCTTTTCTGTATTTTATTACAACAGGAATTCTCAAAGCACTTGGTATGACCCATTTATATAAAATCTGAAATAAATGTTCAAAGATCATGTTGCTTCTTAGAAAAAAAGAATTTGTGTATGTAAAGTGCTTATAACACAATGGTTCAATGTCTAACTATGTGTGAAGCTTCACATTAAAATTTTCTCAATGAGGTTATTTTTATGACCCTCATCTTTTGTGCTGAAGGAAAGAAATTGTTAAAAGCTTGAAATCATTTAATTGGTAATAAGAGAAAGTATATATTACTACCGGTAGTTGACTTTAATTTCAGTCTAAGAATTCTCTATTCAGTGCAGCTTATTATTTGTAGCCAAGAGTTAGAGCAATTTTGCTGAATCTTTACTTCCTAACAGCATTCTGGTTTTCTGAGCTTTTCTAAAGTCAGATATATAACTTTTGAATTGAAATGTTTCTACCTGTTGAAGCACAAGAGGCAGTCCTAAATTTATAATTAAATGCTAGCAGTATAGTCATTCAGCGTGTATTGCAATCTGATCTGATGAGACTCATTTTGGTTTGCTGCTCAGTGCTCAATAGACTTACTCCGAAATTAAGAATATTTGTGTTTTTCCCAGCTAATCCATAGGTACAAACAAACTTTTACTGTTAAAGCTTTGAAATTAAGCGCAATAGGTTGACTAATCTACTGTGAGGAGAAGTGCACCATGAAGCTTTAACAGTAGAAGTTTGTTTGTACCGGGGATTTAGCTGGGAAAAACCCACATTTTCCATGTTCTGGATAACATCTATTTTCGTAATTTAATTAGAGGCTAATACTTGGTTATTGCCACAAACCCAAAGGTTATTATTGATTTAATGGATGGTAACGTCTTGAATACCTATACAGGGTTTGCAATGAAATATGGTGTTTAGGCATCACCGCTAATCTTGGTTGTCGCCCTTTTTCTAACAAACGGACAATAACTGATGGCAATGTAAACAAATATCTATCATTCAGTTTAACACATCTTCAACTACTATTTATAATAACTTAGGTAAAAACTTGGGAAAAAATTTGTGAAATAAATATTAAGCAATACCTGAATCAAGACGGAACAAGTATATTTACATACCAAAAAGCAAGAAAGCAGTAAAATCATTCCTACATGTGTAGTATGGTAGGGTTGTTTGTTTTCTATGTGATGTTGTGTTAATATAGGTTTTAAGGATATGATTGTTTTTATACTTCTTTTTTTTTCTCACACAGCTTTGCTTTTGACATCTTATTGCGATAATATAACAATTTGAATTTTTAGTCCCAGATCCGAATCATCGACGATCACCAGTGAAATTCCGAAAAGTTCTAGTTAGCACAGGTGACCACCAAAACCAAAAACTGTAGTTGGACTGGTTTTCAGTGTGCACACTATCTCATTCTATAGACTAGTCTTCAGTTCTACTATGTTTTATTGCCCTGGCATTTGAAATAACAGACTGGTTTGAATTATCTCAGAAATCTAAAACATGTCATGTTTATTTTATCAAAAATAATTTATTCATACAGAAAGGAAAATTATATATTTCTGAATATTGAAAAAAAAGATTAGCATGTGAAAAAATTACACATAATATTTTGAATTTATGTTTGCTTTATTGATTAAACTTCAGAAAATTCCAGGGCAAATGCTTTCTCTATTGTCTGTTATTTATTTAAATGGTTTCCTTGGATACACTTGAAAGGAAAGTATCAAAATGTAGATTTTAGAAAAAATGTATAGTATCCTTGGATACTTTAAAATTTCAGTTTTATGAATTAGATATGAACTTTGTCTTTTTCGTCATTGTAAGGTTTCAATAGTAGATACTGAGGACCTGTGTTCAGTGAAATTTAATAACTAATTTCTTTTATGATTTTGTAATTTTGCGAAATAAATGACGTGTCTTTTTTTATATGCATGAAATTGTTTATTTATTTACATAAACAGAATTATATAATAATATAAACAATATTACACAAACTATTAACCCGAGATGTTATAATAATGATATGTGTTTTTATTGACTGTTCTGTAACATTATTATTATTGAAGATGAGGTCGACAGACAGACCACTGGTAGATCTATGGACAATTCGTGTTTGCAACTAAATTTTTAAGCTACCTTTCTTGTACGCTGCGAGAAAAGATTGTCAATTAACTAAAATACATTGTTCAAAGATATATTCAACTCCTTTCATATTTTATATTTTAAAGAAATGGAAGATATTGTTAATGTAGATTTCATTGAGAGGTATTCATGCTTAAGATGTATTTTTCATGAAACATTTCATAAGTTAAATATTTTTACACACAGGACGGATTTTCATTGAACATTTCTAGAAGGAAATATTTTTACACACATCCTGTATTGATGGAAATATTTGTTCACACATCCTGTAGAACTAGGACGGTTTATGGCATTTATTTGTTGTGTTTTATTTAACAATTCTTACATTTCATTCAGACTTTTGCTGTGGACATTTTCACATTCCACTTGTATTATGTAGCATATTTTATTATTTACATTAATTTTTAACAAAGTTTGTCTGTCTTTATAAGAAACATTTTTCCAGATGTATGACTAACACACATTGTCACAAAATACACATACAAAAAAATATAATCTTTTCTAAAATGGTCATCCGATTTGAACAATTCTAATTATATATCATATGATTTTTTTCAACATGCTGTTTGTTTAAATTAACATAAAGAATCTAGTTTGTCTTCCTTTTGCAGAAGCTATTTTTATATTTCTACTTTTATTCTCAAAATCTCTCCATTTATATAATTTTGACTCGAGCTTCTTTTAAAACTGTCCATCTACATTAAATTTTTCTGATCTGAAATTTGTCTTGTTTATTTTACTTAACAGAAAGACAACTAATAAAATGATATGTGTGAAAATAATACATTGTACTTCATTATTATATTGTAACCTAATATTAAAATGAAGAAAATGTATTAAGCTTAGAATTTAAAAAATTGAATGAAATGTAAGAAATTGTAGTATTGACATTTTGTATATTATTTCTTTGGGATTTAGTTTGGTAACCTGTGGTGTAGATGAACACAATTTTATTTATTTGGAAATTATTTTTCTGATAAATCCTTTGGCTTTCCAAAGCTTTGATAATGATTTTTTGTATATTTTGGTATCAGTTGTTTAGATTGAACAAAGAAAGTATTTAGTTAACTTTTATAGTTATATTTTAATTCTACTGAAGCCGAAGAATGAACTTTTTAAAAAGGACACATGAAATTGAATTTCTTATTTGCCTTGCTTAACTTCATGTAATATGTCAGATGAACAAAATTTTCATCATCGACCATGATTGCAGTTTGTTTGCTTGTTGTTTTTTATTTCTAAGGGTTACTTATTTTAGTGAAAAAAAGCACTTTAATGAGGTAAAAATTTGAAATATTTACTATTTGTAGGAGATTTTAAACGTCCCATGTACAGCCGTACCCCGACACCAGAGGGTGACTTGAGAAAATCCCCAGCCTCTCCGTTCACTAGTACCCCTTCTAAGATTCCGGTAAAACAGAGATTATCCGGTGCGTCACACACGTCAGTAGATGAAGATTTTAGTGATGATGATGACGATGATGATGAAGATGATTCCTCTCCTATACAGAGAAACAGAGTTTCGTTCAGTGATCACCAGCAAGTCAGAAATATTGTAAGTATATCAGGGTTTTTTTCTCACAAGTTGGGGGAGCTTTTCTTAAACTTGAAAAAAAAAACATGTTTTATTTTATATTTGTAAAACAGGTACAAAAAAATCTAGTTGTAAATTGAATTTTTGGGAAAAACTGCAGGATTTTAAAGAATTTTGCCACGGCAAATATGCCAGTAAACAGCCCTTGCTATAGAAGGGAAAAAACCCTGTATATGTTAACGTAATGTTAACTTTTCGTACTTCTTGAATATTGAGATTTTATAGTTATTTAGTTGAGTGCAATGAGTACTTTTTTGGGATACAACTTTTAAGGGAGATGTACTGGATTAAAATATTTTCACTGAACTAGTAAGTGTTGGCTATTATTTTTTATTATTTTAACCCCTAACCTACTGAATTTGTGTGATGAATTTGCCCAGCTTTGAATTTGAAACAGTCCATTCATATGTTAAGGGATTTAGGAATCAAATTGCAAAATGTTGAGCTACCAACAGTATATAGCCTGGTCATACTACAAAACAGGGTTTATGTTACAAGAGTGATGTTACTAATCCTGGAATGATTTGTTGTTTTACAGAGTGCCACCGATGATGACACTGATATAGAAGATGATGAGGAAGAAGTAGAACCATCCAAGAAACGTAGGATAGAAACACCAGAAGAGGCCTCTACTGTAAGTTTTGGTATTTCCTGATAATATAATGATTATTTTAACAAGATTTTCCATTCCAACAGAAATCTCTGGTTATTAGATTGATGAATGTTGACAAACAGGGGCAGGATGTGAATAATTTCATAGGTTCTCAACTCAAAATGTGTTCTTGTTTATTGGAAAAGATTAAAGGTTTTGCAAGTAAGAAAGCGTTCTTCAATGAAAAAGACACACAAGATAAGAAAAAAGCCTGCTTTGTTCATAATTTAAAATTTATGCAGATGAAATTTTGAAATTTGAAGTCTTTGAACTAATTGAATTGAATTATATATGGTTGGTTGCTATGTGTACTAATAAAAAGTGAGATTATATTTGTAAAATTTCTGTTTGTGGCTGAGACAGGAAGCTGTTGTTCTCACTGACAACAAGTATTACTGTTATCACCTGTTTGTTGTTGTTGTTTGCAGGGATCTGGTGGATACACACCAACTGGTGTCGGTTCAACTGAACCAACCAAACTATCTAAGGAGAGCTTTAAAGGTATGTAGTACTATCACATAATTATGTATAAATGATTAACTGGTCCCTGGCTTATGGCATGAAATTCCTTTGAAAATGAATAATGCTTTAAAAAGGCAAAGTATTTTATTTATTTGTTTTTATATGTATATAGTTAGGAACTAATCCTTGCTTTGTAATTTTTCCCTGTAGGTATAATATTAAAATGCCTGTTAATTAAGTTATGTTAAAATTATATGTATATATATACTTCTCATAATCACTTTGTTTTTATCATTATATGTGTATTTGTACTTTTGTTCAGTTGCTTTTGTTTTATGTGAATGTTTTAAGAAAATTTGGATCAAATTCTTTAGTTGAGATGTTTCAGTTGACATAACCATGATAAAAAGTACCTAATTAGGGTTTGATAAGTTGCATTTCCTACCTTAGAAGTAATGAAAATAATAGATTTCTTATTTGTATTCACCGTTAAAATAGTTACTGGTAGCCAAGAAGTCAAATCTTACCTCTATATGTAATGATTGGGTACTTTTTGTCATCTTTATATGTGCATTTTGTGTTTGCTTGCCAATGGAAGACATTAGGGACCAGTCAGTCACTATTTATAGATCTTATTTATAGACTGGAACCAAGTTTTCTTTGAAAGATATCTACTTATGGAAGCAGACTATTTCTATAAATAGAATCTAAGAGTAGACTGAACCTATGTTTTCTTAAAGATATAATAATAGTATTATACCTAGAAAAGTGAACCAGACTGTATATCAACAGACTAGATAGATTGTGCATTAACTGTAAATGTGTATTTTAAATATTTTAGCAGAGAATGGCGGAAATGGTATGTGTACTTTTTAGAAGTTGTGTGCAATTTCTCTTCACTGTAATTTTTGTAGAGTTTTTCTCACGTATCCTAGTTCTTCTATTCTTACATTTCAAATATAATTTATAACGGTATTTTAAGTGAAAATAACTGACTTTATTTATGTAAGAAAAATGTTCTAGGTTGTTTAGATACTCAGGTGGGCAAAAATGTTAAGTCTACATTCTTTCATTGAACTTGCAAGTCTTATGCTTAAATAAATTCAAGACAAAATTTCCAATATTCATACTGATTTTAGACCCACTCATGAGGTAACTCATTTATTCTAGATCCATTCATGAGGCAAATCATTTATTCTAGACCCACTCATGAGAAAAATCATTTATTCTAGACCCACTCATGAGAAAAATCACTTATTCTAGACCCTCTCATGAGGAAACTCACTTATTCTAGCTATCCAGCTAGCTTACGGAACGTCAGTGGTTCTACTCAGGTGCCCGTTTGTGTCTGAAATAATGCACAGAAGGGCACCTGAGGTCTTCCTCCACCAGGAAAGCTGGAACATCGCCATAAGACCTATACTGTGTCAATGTAACCAAAACCCAATTAAACAAACAACCACTTATTCTAGATACTTTCATGAGGAAACTCACTTGTTTTAGTAACTGTCATATTCAAGATCCTCTCATGGATTTACTTTAACTGACCTATTTTTTTATCCACTTATGGGGTAACTGAATTATTCTTTATCCACTCATGGGTTAAATGACTTCTTCAAGATCAACTTATGAGGTAACAAATTTCAATTCCGTTTGTGGGATCAATGACTTAATTGAGATTAGGGTTATTGACTCATTCTAGATTATCTCATAGGGTTAATTGACTTATTTTAGATTTACTCTGAGGTTATTGACTTTTTCTAAATTAACTCATGAGGTAACTGCCTTATTCTACATGCACTTAATGGGTAAAAGATAACTTATTCCAGACCTACTCTTAAGGATAACTGACTTATTCTTAATCCACTACAATCACTCAGTCTTTTGTGATTTCCATGAGCAGTTTAGATAATATGAACCAAAAGGAAAATTGAATAGAAAGATTAAGACTAAGATTTTAAATTTTCGACTAAATCTCTAGATATTTTGAAATTAAGTAATTCTAGGTAAAATATATATAGAACATTTTCTTGTAGATTAAAAGCTAGGTCCTGTGTATTTTAGATAAATTATTCATTGCTTATCTTTTGAGCTAGACTTGATCATAATGTTATAGAATTGACACAACACGGCATATTTATTTTCACAGCCAAGCATGCTGGTAAGAAGTAATGAGTTAGTCCCCTTGTTTTGTTGTGAATTTATGAAAAATATTAAACTTCTTAATATGTTGTTTAATCCCCCTCAAGTAAAGATGATAGAAATTTTTAACCCTTTTACTGCCAGAACTGTATTTATATAATATTCAGTGTACTTGCCATTAATATTTGTAACAAAAAAAAGCAAATTACTGGTACTTTCATTGCTTTTTTTCACTTGAATATGTATCTAAAATATATCAAAACACTATATTAGAGGATATGTGGAAAGTTCAGATACAAAGGCACTTTTTTGGCCATTTCAAACCAAAGTTATGAGAGTAAATGATCAAGTTATCAAAATAATTATTTCACATTGCAATGATTGGTATGCCTATATTGGTATACTGTGAGTGGTATGCTATACCCATCTTGAAGGCAGTAAAAGGGTTGATATTTCAGAACTTGTTATTGTCTGTTGCATGGAATTTTCATTTTCATGTTAAAGATTTTGTTTGTTACATGTATAATATAATGTGTTTTCATTTTGTTGTATGATTTTTGTATTATTTTGTCTTTTACATATTAAAATAGTTTGACTAAACGTCTGTCATTCAATTTTTCATGTTATCATTATATATGTATCATTAATCATTATTCTGCTAAGTGTAATTGTAAGTGCCCTACTTCTAATTTAAATATCATTAGTTTAATATCACTTCACCTGGTTGAACCAAAAGTGTTTATCCATGCAATCTGACCAGGCTTTATACTGTTGGCGTTCTAGCTTAAATTTTTCATCTTAATTAATGAAGGACAGTTTCAAAACCAAAAGCTGGACAAATTTAATTTATGAAATTCAGCCAGTTGAAAGAGTCCAATATGAAAAAGCCAAAATAATTAGAACAGCATACTGATAAAGTATAATATACAGTCTGGCTTTATACGGTCGCTTAGGCCTGTCATTTTTACCACTACTACTCAAAAGGTAATTGCAATCCAGCTATTAAGATTATATAAAATGCATGACCATCTATACATTATTATATGTCTGTCTCTGGTTGCTAAGCCACATATTGTTTTACACAATATGGTATATGTCAGTGAGATTTGGTCAAACTATTTTCAGACACAGTTTTATGTGGTTCTTTTTATCATTCAAGGAAAACCACCGATACAGGTGGATTTGGGGAAAAAAATAGGTTGTATTAGATGTCTTAATTAGGAATTTTACAATATTGTATTTACATGTATTGATTAATTTATAAATCGTAAATTGTTACATAAAAATACTTTTGAAAACTTTCAAAATATTGGCAAAATTCCAAATTTCTTTAGGAAAGAATTATGTTCTATTTTGTTCAAATACATTTTTGTACCTCCTGTCTTTCAATGTTACATTTCAGTTTTGTTTTTCTTCAGTTTTGATTTTGTACTTCTGTTCTCTCAAGATAGTTTTTGATTGAATGATTTATTTTGAAAATGTTTTTTTTTTCCTCCCAGTTTAAACAATGTTAATTAAACAAATTGTTAATTGAAGATGTTCTAATAGTTTGTGTAAAGAGTTGCTTATAGATAGTATTACAGTAAGTCAATATTGTTACCTTATTATCATTAATTTCAGTGTATGATTTGAGTATGATAATGTTACATTTGAAATATAAATGTCTTTCAAAATAAGTACATGTACTAAGTTGCATAGCAAGTTATAGTACTTTGATAGCGATGTAAATTTTGATATAGAACTTTCAGTAATCGGCAGCAATGTTACCCTTTCAATTTAATTCTGAGTACATGTACATTACTGTATTAGCTTTGCATATTTTTCCATTTGAATGGCAGCAGTTGATTGAGAATTTCAAAAAGTTTTTAAACCTCAGTGGTGCCCTTTTAAGGTAAAGTCTTTATTTCGTATGTTACATACCCTATGTGTAACGTAAACCCAATCAAACAAACAAACAAACAGACCCTATGATTTATATGGAGCAACCTTCTGTGTGGTATTATTACTTAATTTGTACATGTACTGTATATAGACCTTTAATATTATAATTTATAATTCAGCTTTTATGGCTGAGATGGGAATGGAAGATGTATCAGATGTCAGCGACTTTGATGACTCCGAAGTGAAGAGCCCACGTGATTCTTCAGGTCCAAACTCACAACCCAACACACCTAGAGGGATACTGAAAAAGGTAAAGTCAACGCCTTCATGTATTTTGAACATTATTTAACCCATTGAATGTCGTTGTTGATAATAACTGTCCTGTGGAATCACATATGTACATTAAGGTAAAATAAAACATGTGTGGTTCATTCTAATTTTTGTGGTCAACTCTTAACTACTTCTTTTTTTTAATTTTTGAGTTCACATTCCTTTAATATTATAGTGTTAACTGTCTAATTATATTAGCTGCCCTTATATTAACAGTGGATAGTTTAAATTCTATATTGGATAAGTCAATTATGATGAGTTATCTAAAGTTTGCATTTGAATAGCAAGCTTTTCCCCCTAAGAAAACATGCACATTATATTAATTAGTTAACAGTAAGCATGAGCGATGAAACTATTCCAATCATTCCATTGGTTGATTTCAATCATGTGATTTCAAACGACCAATCAAATCTGCAATATCTATAAATTATATTATCAGCAGTGAGCAATGACAAAACTTATAACTTATAAATTTTATTTGTATTTAATTACAGCCTGAAACAGTTGGAAAACCACCCTCTAACCAAAACCTTATAGACACTGATGTAAGTTTTGACTTTTGACTTTCTTATAAAAGTGTGATTGTTTTACTCTATATCGTGTTTGCAGATTGAATTTGGAATGAAACACTTGAAGTGAAAATCATTTTGATTTTTTTTTTTTTGTACACGTTAATCAATTCCGGTTAAGTTTGGAATGGAAAATCTCATAATGAACACATTGATGTTGTAGTTAAAAGCAAAGATCAAATGTTTATGAGACAAAAGGGATGACTTGGTCATTTAGCTGATGATACATATATATTCAATATAATGAATAAATTCACATGCCAATACAAGTTGGAATATGTAAACATGGTTTGCTTTATTAAACTTCTGCCATAATTATGTAATCTGAATTATTTTTTTTGAACATGTTTTGTACATTATGTGTTGGTGTCAGTTCTTAATCAAGATATAAATTGCTTGTCAGTTGTTTTATTGCATTATTAGAACCTTGCTTTTAGATTTTATAAGGTTTTACAATATAAATAGAAAATAAGGGATATAGTTTATCAGACAATTTTGTGTCTGCATTATGTATCTTTTATCTCTTGAGAATTTTCTTCAACTTTTAACTTAAATGGTCATCCCTACAAGATGATGTGCAGAACCCATGCTGCCCCTGTGCCAGCACAAGGTCGCTTTGAAATGTCAAATCTCAGACAATTTTGTACACTAAAAACTAATGATAAATCTACCTACATAAAATTTTGTGTTCAAGACATGATATGGGAATATTTGTCACTTTTGTGACAGCTTTATTTAGAACTATCATATATTTTATAACAGCACAAAAACTTAATTAGTTGCTTAAAGGATATGATTTAAATAAGATAAAACAATTTTACTTTATAAGATTTTTCTACAGCTTTTTACCTTTTTGTGGAGGAGTGAGCTTTGAATTATAGTAATAGATAATGTACACCTTCAGAGCTATTGTAAAGCTATTGTGTATTTATTAACTCTACGTATTTTTCATGCATGCAGCCTTACTGGGACTCTGAGGATGATGATCCCCTAGACCAGGTTCGACCATCTCCTTAAACCCCCTTTCTCTTAACTTTAAATAAGACAGTTTAATGAAATAATAATTATGTTACAAAACTGAGCAATTTTAATAAAACTAAATTATTTTTTTACATCAATATTAGTAAAACAACAAATTTCTTTGGATAACCACAAATTTAAATTATTAAGATTATTTCTTTTTCATAAAAAATGTAGTTGAAGTTTCAAAAAATAAATTTCATTTTAATTTAAGAAATGAAATTATCTGAATTTATGAAAACAATGTTACAAAGATAAAAACAAAACATTCCATGGAAATAAGCTGGTTTTATAAACTGGTTTTCAGGACAATGAAATAATAGTGGAGGCAGAGGTTCACCCTGCCACAATCCATGCTTCACTGCAAAGTCCAGTAGAGAAGGTGCATTATTATACACTATAGCTCCACAGTCTTTCCCTTCACTGTTGTAGTTTATGTGACTGCACTGGTAGTGTTTTGAAGTTTCTTTATTCTTTACAACTAATTATATCCTTTTCTCCCCCCTCCCCTCCCTTTTGTTATACATTTCTGGTTGGTTGATAAATAGAGAATTAAGATTGTCTTTTTCTCATTTGTGCCTTTGAGCCATGTAGATTGTGAATCATATTGAAAATTGGTCATGAACTCAAAAGAAATTCTATTTTTAGGTATAGACTTAAGATAATAGGTTAGCTAAACATGAAATGAATTAAATGAAATTGTACCAAAATATTAATATATTCTACATCAAATATTCAAGCATGCAAATAATAATACAACTTATCACCTAACAAAAAACTTTTACAAATTTAAAAATCTAAGTTCAGGTTAAAAAATATTGTAAGCACTCCATTGATATAATTATGCTATACACTTGACAGAGTTACAGCTGCTATTTCTTGGTATCTAATTATAGCCCTTTTCCAATCTTTTGTCCTGTTCCATATTAATTTCTGAATCCTTACCCTGCTGGAAGCAAAAGTGACTGGCCTTTGCCTCCATTATCTGAGCCAGGTCAGTCTGCACATCTGTACATTCTGACAAGACTTTATATTGGTGGCTGACAAACTTCAAATTTTTATCTTGGCATCCCTAGAATTGATAATGGACAGTTCCAAAAATGGAAACGGGACAAGTCCATTTAAGAAATTCAGCAGGTTAAGGGTTAATTATAGAGATGAGTGTGCTAACTAGTAGAAATTACTGATTAATTTTAGGAAGAAATAAAGTTTGTAAACGCAACCTAAGTTTTATTGGAAGTTTTGTGACTCACTAGTAGTTATGGGTACTGTAGGATAGTATATATATTGTGTTTGGCAATATTGACCTGAGACATTCAAATATTCAATGACCTTTAATTTGTCTGTAATCATCAGAGTCCCGAGTAAATTTTACGGATTTTCATGTATTGTACAACGGTTTATGTTTTACTTAAAATTGACAGCACTAGCCTTAGTGACAAGGCGTATGACTTTAGTTAGTATCAAATTGGAGATTGTAGGTTTGAAAGAAATGATTTTTAAAAAAAATTTCTTGTATGACTTTTTATAAATTTTTTTCTGAAACTTGACCACTATGTTTAATGCATGTGAATCACTCAATTATATGACTTTACATACTGAATTTAATGACATGAAAAAAACATGTTAATCAAAATTATGAAATTTAAAAAACGTGCTAGAAAAGAAACTCATGTTTCATATAATTAAAACAAACAAAAAATCAGTTTCTGAAAACTACAAAAAATGGATTGTCCAAGACTCCAACTTGCAACTATATAGTCACAAGTCCTTCGGCCATCAAGCAGTATTTATTGAATGTATAAAGTATCAAGAATTATACTATCATTAAAATCCTAAGGATAAATTATAATAAATTATGAAAACTTTGAAAAAAAAAAACCTCCGGAAATAAATGAGACTCAGGTCAATATTGCCAAACAATACACTGCTTCTGATAGATATGTGATTACAGATTGGTGACTGTCATCAATTATTTCCTGAATCGAAACAAACTTCTACTGTTATAGCATCACAGTGCTCTACCTGCCATAATAGAATGATCAATGTGTGGTGCTCATTTTGGCTATATTTACCATTAATTAGTCCAACACTTCAAAAGTGTGGTTGTTCATCCAAATTAATTGGGAAATTCTAAAATATTCATATTTCCAAAGTAACATACAGTAACATCCGAAGTTTTATACAGTTAAATGAATTATAAGTATTGAATAAAAGATTGTTGTCTTGGTGTTGAATGTATAGCTATGTAACTTTTTAGCTCACCTGTCACAAAGTGACAAGGTGAGCTTTTGTGATCACTAATCATCCGGCGTCCATCCATCTGTCTGTTCACCCTTCTTTTTGAACAAAATGTCCTAAAACACTGGGACAATGATATCTTAAAAAATTGAATAATCTCCTTTTAAAGTTGTCCAAAAAAATTCATTCATGCAGAACTCTTGTTGCCATGGTAACCCAAAGAAAAATCTTAAAAAATCATCTCTTCAGAAACTGTAAAGGCTAGAGCTTAGATAATTGGCATGACACATCTACCAAGCTTGTTCAAATAATATTGCCTTTAGGTCAAAAGTGGTCCTGACCAAGGGGAGTCATTGGTTTACCTAACATGTATAAAAATTATCTCTGAAATTATAAAGGCTAGAGCTAAGATGTTTAGCATGAAACATAGGAATGTCCATATAAATGTAGACCATATCGCCTGGTGAGCGATTTAAGGCCATAATGGCCCTCCTGAATCTTTTTATTTCTTTTGAAAACTGTAGTTTTGTATTATTACAAATATTTGTGTGATGTAATTGTATGAATATAACTCTATTGTATGTGATTTAAAACCTATTTGTAAATAATGAGGATAATATTTATAGTGCATTCTATTTAAAAACAAATTGCAGAACAATCATTTTTGACAAACTTACAAATTTAATTTATTATGTTACATGTAGTACATAAATGCTTTATTAATAACGATGCAGGCAAATATGAATTGTTACAAATTTATTGTAAAGACTTTTGATATGTTATAATGGCGGTGGGTAAATGTGTCATATAACAGCATCTGATATTATGTATGCCTAAAACCATTTAAGTTTATAAAACTTATATACACAGCTGCTGTCAGTTTATGAAGTAGTTTCATTTTCTGTCAAATATAGGAAGTTTGCTGTATTATGAATTTATTATAAAGGTTCTTGACAGGTTATATGGCTGTTCTTTACCAGCATAGAGCCAGCCAGCCTGAACACTTTTGCAGTCGGACCCAACTGTACACACTTTGCTATTTAGAATTTTGAAATTGAAATCCTATACAATAACATTGCAACATTTTCATCATACATGTTTCAGGTACAATTCTTAAATTTTGAAAAGGGGAAGTGTTTACAATTTTGATATTTCAGGTATCTTGAAACAATATAATTATATGTATGAGATTTAACTTTGGTTATATGTTTTATTTTCATCAGGATGAGGAGAGTGACTGGGACTCAACACGTCATAGTGGAACAGATAAAGGGAGCCAGTCTATCCAAATACGAGAGGAAGTTGAGGTAAATTACTTAACAAATTATCGAACAATTTCTTGTTTACACTTATATTGTTGGCATATTCTACCAATGTTCAACCATTGCAGACCAAGATTAGCCAGAACACCTGTCTGATAATGGTCTGTACTGTTTCCTATTCAAGTTGTACTTATTTTGAAATATTTCCTCTAAATGATGAATGGTTTTGTCCAGATTGAAAGATGGACAATTTCATATAAGTTATTTAGCGTGATAAAACTTAATTTACACCTTCATTAAGGTGTTTCTCAGGAAAGTGGACAATGGTAGGTTAAGTTTTAAGTGTTAAGTTTATGTATTCAAAGAGGTTTAAGTGTTCTATTTGATATCCAAGAAACATGGACATTTTCAAAGAACGATAAGCAGGTAATGCCAAATTAGATAAAGAAATAAATGTCATGCAATTTATACATATTCACCTACCCATCTTCCAAGTCTTTGTAATATGGACACTGATTATTTAAAGTTTATATAGCGAATTTCAGTCTATATTTTGCATAAACATTACTATTAAGATTTGTTTTGTATAGCCATTGGAGGAATTGATGTTTGTCTGTTTCAGTCTCCAGAAGTTGACAGTGACCTGGAGGATACACTTAACCCGGAGAAATCTACCATTGAGAAGGTATGTCATATTTTGCAGTTAGTTGATTTGTGCTCTAACATATGGATGGGGATTCATTTGAGTAATTCATAATGTGCTGTTTAAAGATAATTGATCATTTATGGAAACAAAATGAATAAAATCATATATCCTATGTGGATAGAAATTTAATGTTAAAAGATATATCAAATTTCTGCTTAATGAATGGAGCAACTTTACTCTTTTGATAAAACTTTCTTGTAAGGCTGTATTAGTTTTTTTTCTGAATTTCATTTTGGTTTAATTGCTTTAAAGGAAGAGGTTAGTTTAAAACTATGTTTTGAGTCTCAAATTAGTGGGTAGATAGCTGGTTTATGAAATCAGGGACACTTGCATTTTTGTAGAATAAGTTAAAACACAAACAAAACTCAAACAGTCAGAGCCTTGGATATGTTAAATTAAGAATTTATTTAAAACTATACAGAATATAGACACTTAATGATAAAAAATAAAGTGTTTGAGAAGAAAGAAGTACTGGAAATATTTACAGTTATCTGGAGTGTGAAATGTGTGTGAGAATGCTGTGGTTGTGATAGAGTGGGCATTGTTACGTTTGCAATGTGATTGTTCTGTTGATTGTTGGTTGATTTTAATGTGCAGTTTGATGTGCAATTTTTCTTTTCAATTTCTAAATTTTCTTACAAGCAAATATTTAATTATAGATAAGAAAAGATACACATATCGAGGGTTGACCGCGAAACTTTATTAACTTAAATGAAATAAAGAAGGACTTACCACAGTTTTGCAGTCAACGCTTGATATTCAAGTTTGATATTGATATATATGTGATATTTATGTAGAATATAATCTTAAATGCCCCCCATTCTCTATACAGAAGTCAGTTCCTGTTAAAAAGATACACTGGAATCTGGTAAATAAAGTCCTATACTCATGATGCAAGATACAGAAAAAACTGTTAATCTCCTATAACTGAGATATATATGCATGAAATGAGATACCATATTAGTTCTTTATTAATTCTGCTGCAGACAAGGCATGGGCTGGATGAATATATTTATGTAGTTGATATAGTCATATAATGTTACTGGTTGAAAGATGAATGAAAAAATTAGCATCAGAATTTGTATATCAGATTATTTTAAGATCATATAGCATGCTGCATCAGTTGATTGTACATAATACAATATTATTGGTCATTAATAACAGTTATTGTAAATTATGCTAGTCATTTACCTTATATCATATTCTTTAAAAAATAATTCCATTATACATTATAAATACTTTTAAATTTGAGAAAGAAGCAGTAAGAACGTACCCAAGTGATGATGCCTATTTTGTCAAGATATACCTTCTTTTACAGTACAACATACAAATAACTTGTGTTTGACACTAAAGGAAATCAGTATTCTTGTTAAGCCCTACATCATTGATATAAATGTATTGTTTAGCAGGACATAAGTTATAAAAAAAAATTAATTTGTAACTTAATATTACCCTTCTTTGAAATGTATAGGATCCGACTGTGATTGAGGACCTGTCTACGATACAGGACTCGAACACAGCCACAGTTGAAGTAGCCCAAGAATCTACAACAGTAGAGATAGTACAAGAATCTACAACTTTAGAGATAGTCCAAGAATCGACCACCCCTGACAATGTCAGTGGACAAGATAAACTTGCTGACACAGGTGAAATAAACGCCTTGTTTATAAATGAGTTGAATGAGTCTACTGATATCAGTCACCAAGGGTCAAGGTCAAGTAGTGTTGCCATGGAGACACAAAGAGCCATGACAGTAATTGAGAAAACTGAAACAACAGACAATGATTTAAAGTCTTCATTTTCACAAGACATGATTACAAAGATTGAAAATGTCAAAAGATCTAAGCTAGCAGAACATGATGATGAGGATGAATTTGATTCTGATGATGAAACAATGGATAGAATAGAAATGGGCACTCAAGGTACCCTTGCTTCAGATTTAGGAACACACACACTTGATCAATTGGAGGAAAAAGATGTTGGTGATAATGATGTTGATCAGAATGAGGAAAGTTTTGAAAAACTTAATGTAAATGAAGAAAAAGAAGTAACTGAAAATCAGGCAGAAATTGACGAGCTTATATCAGAGGAAATTGATTACTACAATGGTAGTGAGAAATCTATAGAAGAAGATGTTGCTCATAAGGAATCCAGCTTGAAAGAAGAGATAGAAAAAAGTGTGAGTGAAGGATTGGAAGGTAGTAGAGCAGACTTTAAAGTTATGGACCGTCTTAGTGCTCCAAAAGTTATGCTGGAGTACGAACCAAGCACAACTGAAGCTGAAGATTCAGATACTCTTGACACAGAATCTCTTCAAGAGGACTTTGTTCAGATGGTGAAGAATAAGAAAAAGAAAAAGTTGTCCTCAGAAACAAAACAAAAAATATCTTTAAGTAGAAATGGAAGTATGAGCTCTGATAAGGAAGTAGCACGAGCTCTGGCAGACGAGTCGCCAACTACATTAGCCAGTCGGCTCCTGGCTCAAAATAAGGATGACTTCAACAGAGCCAGTACTGAGCCGATCACTCAAGATACAATGGAGGAGCAAACATCATTGGCTGATGATGAAGGGGATGAGGTGAATGAGGTGTGCTGTGAGAATAAAACATTTGTGATAATCACTGGATGTGCTGTGTTCTAATTGTCATACCATTTTTTTTTCCTCTCTCACCTGTATTTCCTTTCACCATAAAATATCTCATATTTTATTTTTTTCATTTTGAATGAGAAAAACTTGTATTTATTTGTTTCATCTACCTTAACACATGTCCTTTGCTTTTCAGTACCCCTCATTTATTGTACCATGCATTAATAACATGTTGCCCTATCACATTTCTATTTTTGTTGTGCATGCTTTGAACATTATTTTATATTTTGTATACTGGCCATAACAAAACATTTAGCTTTTTTGTTCACACAATTTTATGAACTCCATTAAGAAATTTATCCAAAAGAAAAAAAATCAAATTATACATTAACTCGATAGATACATTGTATTAGTTGTTAAGAATTATAATGTCTTTTTGTAAATCTATGTTATTTTATATTTTCTCAACGTAATCATACAACATTGCCTTCAAAACTTCAGAAAAATAGAATTTATCAAAGTATTATCTACTATTTGATTAGTGCCAAAAGTTATGTTAACAAAGGCTTGAACCCTCTATGCCATGTTTTTACAGACAAGTCAATGGGACTCAACAGAAGAAGCCTGTACACCAAGGACGCCAAGAGATACTGCCATTTTCGTAAACCAGGTATATATTTTTGATGTGTATATATGTTTTTTTTCTTCTCTTAATCAGTTTGAATTTGCTTGCTTTCAGTATTTCATATTTATTGCTTAGAGTGAACTTTTGATGCTTTGCTAGTAGCCATGATTTTTTTTCATATATATAATTATAGACACTAGATGATGATGATGATGAATGAATGGTAGATTATGATGATAATAGAATTACTGATGATCACAGCATTAAAGTTGAGCATGTCACAATCAATGATTAATATTAATGAAGTTTTGGCAGTATTATTATTTATTATTATCTTTTTATTTAATGTCCAAAAACATATGACTAAATGATACAGGGACAAAATCCTGATGTACAGGCATATATAAATATCTCTCTATTTTTATGATTTATTCATTTAATGCCCCAAAACATATTTATGACCTAATGAAACAGGCACAAAGTCCTGAGGTACAGGCATACGAGTATGATGAAGAAGATGAGGAATCCAGAAAACAGGATAAGATTCACATGGCTGTTACATCATTTGGTGTCAGGCAAGAAATTGACCCATCCCCCGGGGTACAGTCCCTGTCATCTGGTGTAATGTCACAGCCCACACCTGAACCTCAATCTGACTCCTCCCAGTTGAGGTCACGTGACACACCAGACCCTCCCACAACAAGTGGTTCCGCCTCCATGCAGAGAACCGTTATACAAGCACATGTAGAAGAACCAAACGAATCTCCTAGACATCCAGATGATGAAGATGATGATGATGATGATAACTGGGACTCGGAAGTAATTATGACATTTTGATTATCATTGTTTCAAATAATCAGATTTTATTCAATTGAAAGAAAGTCTGGGAACATATTATAAAAAAGAACTACTGACTTTACACAATAATGAAAGTAAAACATGCTATTGTTGAATTACTTTTCCTAAAATGTTAGTTGTTATTATTATTTAGTAACATCAAAATTAAGGGATAAAGATCTAAAAGTAAAGTTCATGTTTCAGGATGATTTTCAGTCTGGGGAAGAGGATGAAGGGGAGGAGCATGAAGAGAATAGGGCGGAGCATCAAGTTGAAGAGGTTGTACCTTCTCCAGTAGTTGTAGGCATAGATTCAGTAGAAAACACTCCCAGAACACCAAGAGGACAGAGCAGTGCTGCCACTGATGATGAGTCTGTCAGTGAATGGGAAGTAGAGAGACAAAAGGTTAGTAATATTGAGAGATAGGACACAAGATAAATATCTCTGTAGTTGATTGACTTACATGTATATGTTTTTCTCCAATGATGAAAAATATTGTCCTGAAATAGGTTAAATTTTATCAGATTATTAATATGTATTTAGTTGTTTATATATAGAGATTTTCAAACCGAGCCTGCAAATTTTTTCAATTTTATCGTTTTGTGTGTTCTTTAGGGATTCTTTATTTCTCTATATTTTATTAGATTCCTATTTGCTTTGAACATTTTGAATAAATTCAAATGCATACAAGTTAATACATGTTCTTTAGAATTCATAGCATTCACTTGAATACTTACATAGGAAAAGGAAGAAAAAGAAAGGAAAGAGAAAGAAATGAGGCTTCTACAAGAGATGGAAGAAGAGGAGGAGCGTCAGAAACAGTGGGAGGAGGAGGAAAGGCGGAGACAGGCGGAGATTGAGAGAGAAGCACAGGCGGAGCTTGAGGTTAGTGTCATTTTAGGCGCATTTGTGGGGGAGTAGTTATGGTTGTCAACTTTGAACCACTCTTTTTTAACAGCTGTGGTTTTGGATCCCTTCAGGGACTTTGGACTTAAATGTGAGGAAGCTTTCCAGATGACTTACAGAATGTTGCTGGTTTTGCCTGAAATACTGCACAAAGATGTGCCTGAGGTCTTTTTCCATTAGCAAAATTGGAAAGTTGCTTATGACCTTAAAAGTGTCATTGTGAATAAAACCCTAACAAAACAACAAACATCAAAACTTTTATTGACAAATTCTTTATAGGTCTGTGCTAAGATATCTGTGCAGCAAAATGGACATAGCAATGTCATTATTTAATGAAACTTAGCGATTATTTAATTCAGGATGTAAATATTAATTTCTAGCAACTTGTTGGTTTACATAACAATATGTATATCTTTGAAAGCAGGTTTATATTTAGTTGTTTGGAAGAAACAGAAAATGTTGTCTGATTTTAGAATAGGTTTATGAGAATCTGTTTTGCTTTGAATATTTTGGATAAATTCATATGCACACAAGTTAATACTTTTGAATTTATGGCATGCATTTGAATATTTGCGTAGGAAAAGGAAGAAAAAGAAAGGAAAGAGAAAGAAATGAGGCTTTTACAAGAGATGGAAGAAGAGGAGGAGCGTCAGAAACAGTGGGAGGAGGAGGAAAGGCGGAGACAGGCGGAGATAGAGAGAGAAGCACAGGCGGAGCTTGAGGTTAGTGTCAATTAAATGATACAAGATGAAATATGATAAGAAATGTATCAATCTTTTAAGAAAGGAAATAAAAACTTTTATTGACAATTTTTATTGCTCTTCATTCTGATGCCATTCAGGCAAATGGACTTCAGAATGTCTTTTTAAGGAAACTGTGAGATGTAAATATTGTTGTATTGAACTTCTAGTGTCTCAATTATTTGCATAAATTTATACCCTGTATCTTTAAAATAAGGTTTTCAAAAGTGATGATTTTCAAAAGTGATGATGATAATGGTATCAATGTAATTCTTATTTTAGCGGGAAAGACTTGCAGCAGAGGATGAGGATTCTGATCTGAGTGATTTCAGTGACAATCCCATGGCTGACAGCACTCACCAACCTGATTCTGAACACTCTCATCCTTCCCAGCATGCATCACAGAGGTCACAGCCTTCAGAGGAAAGGTCACGAGGGTCAGATAACTCTAACCTGATTTCACCTAGAGTGGTAAGAGTTGTTTTCCCTGGATTGTCATAGTTGTTTTTTTTGTCTAAATGTTTTACAGAGTTATGTCCCTTTAATTGATATTGTATAGATATTTTATTATTTAAAAACTTTGTTCTTGGTAACTTTAATACAATTTCTTATTCTATTCTTATGATAACATGATAGTGTTACTTATACTGAATCTGAAAATCTTGTGTATTGTTGTCATTTTTCCCCCAAATACATTCATATTCTTTTATTGAGGTCTTAAATAACTACCTACTTTTAATATAAAACTTGAGACTAGTCTTGAGACTTTTAGACTAGTCAAACATTTGAATATAAATTTTTAAAAAGTTGCCTTTTAGCTATTGGAATAAACTAGGTTTCAAATTATTACAAACAGTGTAATTTATTGGTATATGTGTGGAGATGTTTTTGCTTTGAAAATAATTGAATGTTAGCAGCATATGATATTTTGGAACATTTTTTCTCAGTTTCTGGTTTAAGCTTTGAACACTTTTGTTAGTTTTGCCATGCTTGGAAGATTTTTCTGTGGGAAAGAAATTTTGCTTTCTTAGATGGTTTGCCAATTTAATTTTGTAGATGCATTTAAGCTAGTGCCATAGAGAGATGTTTGTTGTAAATCGATGTAGTAGTACAGTGCATTTTCATTTTGCTCATTGTGTTATTGTAAACTAAATAATATGTATTAATTTTTGAAGATATGAAATTTATGGTTTTCATAAGACAGTTCATCATAATCTGAATAAACTTCAGATCTTCTTTTGTTTGACATGCCACAATTTTTCATCAACTATAATATTTTGAAATTTTGAAAATCACTTAAGCAATGGTTAAAAAGTTAAGATTTGACCTGATATAAGCTGATTTTAATCAGATTGATTTATAGTATTATACATAATTTTCAGAAAATGTCTCATGTTATTTGATGGCTTTTGAAATTGTGTTTTTACCCCATGTTATAAGGTAACAAGTAAATCCTCATTTTACAAGCAGGTCACAAAAGTTTGCAGAAAAATACAAGTTTCAAAGCAAAATTCTGATTTTTAGCTATATACTCTTACATACTAGGAATCAATATTATGGCTAGTTGCAATAGAAAAGATAATCTGTGAAGGCTGCAATGTGCTTGGTAAATTTATTCTTATTGAGAATAAATTATAAAAAGCACATAAGTAGGTTTTATGGAAAGAAAACCATAATTAACGCCTCAGAGATATTTGTATATTGATATTATATTGAAATAGATATGCTGATATTTTTCAAAAAGGTTGTTGCTTGGTACTTTTTCTTTTATTTGTATATTGTAAATGTTGTTGTAAACACAGTGTTTTTTTAATTATAATTTTCTCTCGCTTTTTTTCCAGTGTTTTATCATAAATAATAGAAAGTTATACTAATATATGTAAAATGTCAAGACAACTTATTCAAAACTAATACTAACATTTAAATACAAATTCTAGTCTGTGGTCGAGGGGTTAGAGTCGATGACTTCTAATCCAGTTACCTCTCTGGCGTGGGTTCGATCCCCGTGAGATGCTTTGGTAGTTTAGCATGGAGGAAGGTAGTCTAGTACTGGTGTAACTCTCCAGGAACGATGGTTAGGAAACTAACCGCCTATATGACTGAATTTCTGTTGGGAAAAGGCATAAAATGAAACAAACAAACAAAAGTTTATTTTACACATAGTTAACATGAATTGCTCAGTGTTTGGAAATAAAAATGTAATTTTGCTTAAAATTTCTTTTGATAAACAATTATAGCATCTCAGATGCATTATTTATGGATTAGTTTGTAAGGAAGTATCATGATGTTTGTACAAACAGCTTAACACTAATCAAGTGGTCATTAATATACATGAGGGTAATGAAGGTTTTTTTTTTATTGTACATTTCGTTTCTTAAACGAATAAAAATACATGATTTGCATAGAAATATTTTGAATTAGTTAATAAAAATTATATTGTAAAGCTGTTCAGGTCGATTACTAAAATAGTGACATATCTTTAAATTGAATTGATGAAATATTTTTAATTAAACGTTTTTTAACTTTTGAAATGTTATGTTTACCCTCCGTACCATTGTAGCCACGTGAGCTTAAGAAACCACCACCAAAGTTGGTAGTCACAAAGTTCATACCCCCTTCACTAACCCAGAGGGAGAATAAAACACCTGTGACGGTAGGTCAAAGGTCAAGGTTAACCTTCAAGGTCAAACCTTGCTGCTTGAATGGAGAGTGATAGCAATATATATAAACACTTTTAGCTGCTAGCTCTTACTCCAGCATCTTTTCTATTTATAGCCAATGCTTTTTTGGGGCCACCATTATTCTGCAATCAAAGGTGAAGGTCATGACCTTGTTGCCTGGTGATATTGCTCTGGATTGGGATTGCATTATCAGTTTTTTTTGCACTGCTTTAAAAAAAAAATCATTAAAAAATTGAAATGGTTTATTGGTGAACTGTTGTATCTTGTCCTGTAAGTACATTCATTTTAGGATAGTATTTAGCAATGTCAAAAGGCAAACATAGTCATTACTTTACATATCATGTTTTCACTGCTGTCATTGTTTTATAAGCTAAGCTTAGCATTATAATTATCATCTGCATATTCATTATTTACTATATGGAGACATAAAAAAATCACCAAATACTTTGATATTGTCAAAAATTGCTTTTGAGGTTACAATGATGTTTTATCAAACCAAAATAATTTTTTTCAATCCGACACATAGCTCTGTTACAATTAGGATACTTCATTGAAAACATTGTTGTTAGTTTAAGCCATATGAATGCATCTGCAGATGTTTCTAAATTCAAAATTTCACCTTTTTCATGTTTAAAGCAGGTGCTAGGGGGCGTGGACAGTAACTGGCAATTTTCATTACCATCTATGAACAGGCTCAATCCAAGCAAGCCTGCAACATTTTCAATTTCGTCATGTTGGACGTTCTTAGGGATTCTGTTTACTCTATTTTATGATATAGCCAATAGTTTCAAATATGTTGATAATTTAAACAATGATATACACTTATGTCAGAGACTTTTCACCTTTTTATTGGAGGGTTATTATCCAGCAAGCATAAGGAAGGTCGGTGTTTCTACTTAGGTGCATGTTTGTGCTTGAAACAATGCACAGAGAGGCAGGCACCTGTGGTCTGCCTCCACCAGTAAAGCTAAAAAGATGCAATTGGACTATAAACACTGTTGGTGTGACTTAATTGACACATACTGATGTAAGATGGGTTTTCTAATATATCATTTTAAAGGGGGAGAACTCATGCCTTTCTTCATATAAAGTCTTGTACAGAGTTGTCTCTCTGTCATTATTTTCCTATAAGAATGTTAGATTTTCATGAAGTATCTGTAGTCATTAGAGTCTCATTTGTTTTCTGGCTTGTGAAAGTAGCATTTTTTGTCAATTATATGACTATATATAGGTTAAGGGTCTGCTTTTAGAAGAAACTATAATTTAACTTTGATATATTTAAGTGAGGAACTCCTTAGAATTGTAAATTTATTATGAAAATATTAATGACATAATGTTTATGGGCTGTAAAAAAAGAAATAAAAATCATGTTAGACCATAAATGCACTGTGAAATCTCTGGAGACGTTACTTTCTTCTTGTGTTATGCAAAGTACATTTTTTTTCTTTTTCTTTTTCATAAAAGTACATTGCACTTTCTATTTTGACAAACTTTTACAAGCAAAAAAATGTTTAATTGAGGTCATATGTTACCTCAAGTTTGTTTCTGCAAGTGACTGGTGTAGCATTGACTTTTATACAAGGGGAGGTAAGAAGAATATCATTTGTAACAGTGTTATGTTTCTTAAGTTTTATATGAACTTTCACTATTTCCAAATCAAATTACTTCCCTTGCATAACAGATGGGAAGAAAAGTTGGACAGAATTCTGGATGGAAAGTAAATGATTAATGTTTCAGCTGCACATATTTGTCATGAAAAAATAGTTTTTTACCTCCCCTTTTATCTAGGTGCAACATTGTATAGAGTGCTGTGTGCATATATATGTAGTTTGACTTTTTTCATATTTATATAAATCTTAGATTGTAATGCTAGCGTTTTATAGGTGCTTCTATCACATGCATTCATCAGCGTATTTGTTGATTAACCTACCCCAAACTTAACCCCTAGACTAAAGTCTTGACCTTCAAGTTAAGTTTACATTATAACAGGTTATTTTGTGACCAAATTTATTTATAGTATTAAATAGGTTATTTTAATCCCTTTTTCTACAATGTTTGGAAGATGTTACAGCATGCCCATAGAGGATTATCTTTATACTAAAGTTAGACCAACTTTGTGAAGATCCATTTACAATACTGTATTCAGATGTTTTACAAATCATCGGCCATTCATATGCACGTATAGCATGACTGTAATAATAGCTTTATTCAAATTATTTCATGCAATTTTTTTTCATTTGATTGAATAGCATGTGTCATGAGGAAGAATAAAAAACAATACAGGATTTATTTTGTACATTCAGGAAATATAATAGAAATAACAAGAATTGTTAAAGAAATATGTTATAGGTTTTTTTATTGACAAAAGATTTTAAAGAGATCTTTCTATTAAATTTTTTAAATGGTAAATATATATTATCAAAGCCGAAAAAAAACAAAAAAAAACTATACTTTACAATCATTTATTAATTACCTTCAAATGTGTGGGATATAAATTGTCAGTTTTTAATTAATTAACAATCAATTTATAAATAAAAACAATATTTTAATGTTGTATGATATTCATTGAGTGCTCTATTTGATCAATGAAAGTAATGAAACTTTTCTACCGCGGGATACCTTTATATTGTCAGAGAATGAAAACAAGGATACCTTTATATTGTCAGAGAATGAAAACAAAAGGAGCTTAACTGAAGGAAGATTGACAGGGACATGATTATATTGATGTTGATACAGATGAGCCGTGTCACGACAAAACCAACATAATGGGTTTGCGACCAGCATGGATCCAGACCAGCCTGCGCATCCGCGCAGTCTGATCACGATCCATGCTGTTCCCTATTAGTTTCTCTACTTGTTATAGGACTTGTAAGCGAACAGCATGGATCCTGATCAGACTGCGCGGATGCGCAGGCTGGTCTGGATCCATGCTGATCGCAAACTCATTATGTTGGTTTTGTCGTGACACGGCTCAATTATTGATGTTGATACAGAATGTTGTGTTATATTTCAGCTTGGAGAGATAGAGAACGAGAGTCCAGGTCCGGTTTATGATGATATGATACAGCCAGAACAACAACAACAACAAAGGTAAAATAATGTCGTTATTGTGATGTGAGACTTTTTCTGGATTTTATAGACTTTTCTTTATTGCTTGTGAATAAGGATAGTATAACTTTAATAATTCTAGAAAGACAACTTATTTTTCCCACGGAAGGATTTTACTTAAACTTAAAGTGTTTTCTTTGCTTTTGTTGTTTTAAAGTCATGTTTCGGGTATTTCAGAAATGAGATTAGAAATTTTAGGACTGTTAACTAATGCACATTGTATAGGTATTTCCGTCAATTGATGTTTAAAAAAAAAGAGGAGAAAATCTAGAAAGAGCAAACTGCATACGTTAAATTATATATGCAATGCTTTGATTAAGAGTCGGAACACTCTTAAATGAGCTCTATGAATGCTGGCTGCAGTAATGATCAACTTGCCTATACCATCAATATAAAGATAGGCTAGTTGGAACATTTGTGTAGTCTGACCAGACTCTATACTGTTTGCTGCAAAAATAAATTGTTCAGATATCAGAATTACTCATATTGACAGTGGGCAGTTCCAAATTCAAATTCAGGACAAAGCCATTATACATAGGGCATGGTTAAATATGACTCTTCTGATTCTTGTATTTTGATAATTTTGTTTTTATCCTAAAGGTTTATATGTTTCTGAAAGTGAATTATTTTGTTTTGTAGGTTTGCATCTCCGGATGAAGTTAAAGGTCAGGTAAATGATGTGTATGATAAACATGATGAAGAATCAGATGAAGATATTGAGGAAATAAACGATGAACAAGTTGAAAATATTCCTCAGTATGAAGCTAAGGAACAGTTTGGAGAAGACCAGACTGACAAATATCAAAGTTTAATTGACTTTAACTCAGGTACTGGACAATATAACAGTGGACAATATAATAGTGGACAATATAACAGTGGACATTATAATACTGGATCTTACAATAGTGGACAGTTTAATAGTGGACCATTTAATATAGATGAACTGAACGCCAAGAAGAAAGTGGAAGTTGAAGTTCAATCGGATGAAGATGAGTTTGAAGACGGAGTAGTGGAAGAAATGATTTTACCACAAGATATGAAGAAAGAGGAAAGTGGGATCACTCAAGCAGCTAAAAGGTATGTTGATACTTTAATTACTTTGTGGCAATAATTACTTGAGGCTGCCAGTATAGAACCAAGATAATTAATGTGTCTGTGCACTAGGTGCAGACTGACCAGGCCCTATACTGCTAGTTGATGTATTTTAGGATTTAGATACAAAAATTCTTCACATTAGTAATAGAGATAGTTCCAAATTAAAACAAGGGCAAGCCCTTTAAACTTATAATTATATCAAAATAGGGGTTAAAATTTTAATTCAGCAATTTTTTTACAAGCTTAGAAGTTACAGCATTGTCTTAAATAAATATGCAAATTAAGGTAGCATAATTATGCAAGTTAACATATAGGTTCCTAGGTATAGGTTCCTTGTTGTTGGAATGTTTCTTAGTTTTCATCCTCAAAGAAAAAGAAAAAAATGATTGATATCCCAGCCTTTTGACCTGAACACAAATAAGTGAAGATATTGATTCTGTTATTTTGAGGAGATTCTACAGTAGCATAAGCACTTACTGAAAGCCTTCATTCTCTTTGTTGTTCTTTCATTCTGTATGAAGATTATGCTAATTGTTGTATTTAACATCTATTCTAATTATTTCTATTAATCTTATGTTGAAAAATTTATAAGGATCTGTTACTTTTAACTTCCAAAACTATTAATTTTAAAGGATTTTGTATATTTTATTTTCCTGTCCTCACATTCCTTTAAATGTAGCTAAAATAAATCAGTAAACAGTAGGATAAATGGCAATGATTTGTTGCAGGTAATTTGTAATATTTTCTAAATAGCCTGCTTGATCTGTAAACTAATACAACCTGACAGTGACTTTAGCTACAGAATAAATATAGCTAGTTATTGTATTTCATGACAGTCAACAGTTAATAGATAAAAGATTGTGGCAATTGATTTATTGGTTGATTTAACTATAGTTTGTTTCTCTATTTGGCCATCTGTTGTGGATGTCTTTTTGTAGTGTCCCTGTTAATAAATTGTTAATAAGATTTTAACACAACAATATTAAGAAAAGTTTGGCTTTTTACAATAAAAAAATGTCAAATGCGGCTTATGCCTTTATTTACCATTTATCATTCATTATATTGTTCTTTTGTAAGATTAAGATTTGGAAAAAACATCCAAATTCATTACCTTAAATTAAAATCTATTTTATTAGCATGATTTATCTTAAAATTGAACCCATTGACTTTTGCCATAATAATTTAATTGTAAACTTTTTTTTCATGGTTTAAAAAATAACACACTCGAAATCATGCACTTGAACATGAGTTTTTCTATAAAGATACCGTAATTAAAGATATCATTAAAAATGAACCTATCAGTACATCTTTTGTTTTGATATTATGCATTTATTAACATGATAGTATTGGGTATTTCTTAATTTACAAAATATGACTTCAAGATGCCATTGTATTTCTTATATCATAAATATTTAATTACCATTATTGTCCAAAAGTACGGCATGTGATGTCTTTATGACCGTGTATAACCGTCAGTTACAAGAGAGGGGAGAGAAAACTTAAATGCATAATTAATTATCCAATGTGACTCAAGTATTGTTTTCGGGTATGAATATTTGATAGGAAGGAGCCAATGTTACACTAATTATAGAAGGTATAGTGTATTATGGGAGCAATGAAATTCACCAACAGATGGTACTATATTAGATATAGATGCTAGCATGTTATTAATGACTTTTGTGATGGATGTTTGCATACAGATTTGTAGTAGTTTTAGGGATTTATAATAAATAAAGAACAATGGATTTATACCTGGAATAGTACCAGATATTTAAGATTTGGAAATTTATTTTTTGGTAAGAATACACACTAATATATGTCTTTTATATTTTTATAGTAGCTTTTTGGTACAGCATAATATTTATTATTGTGAGGCTGAGTGTCACATATAAAATTCAGGTTCCATGCAACCAAGGTAAATTTCACACATTGAGTTAATACTTTAGATAAAATTTGATAATATATATAGGGACCAAATTTATTGCACATCCATGCATTCTGACCAGGTTCGAATCTTCTGACAGCTTAATTTTATTATTTTGTGATTGAAATCCCTTAAAATTTAAATGGACTGTTCCAAATTCAAAGCATGGCAAATCTATTATAATTATTCAGGAGGTAAAGGTTTAAACTTTATTCATATCTTCATTAGTCAAAAGTTCAGCTTTATTCTGTCAATACTGTCTACAACAATTGAATGTTCTAAAGTGACATTGTCATGGGATATGAACTAAAAGAAAAAGAATGCGACCCTTTTGTATTTCTCCATGTTCTAAATAAAAGATAACTTTAGAAAAAAAATGAAACTTTCATTTACTTTGTTCTTTACCGATAAAAGACAGTTTATTTTCTGATTTTAAGAACTGACATGCTTAATGAACAAGAGATAGATAAAATACTTGTTTGGATATTTATTTATTTTTTTATGAGAGGGAATATATTTGTGCTGTTGAATTTTTCTGTGGTTATAGTTGATAACAGAAGAGTGTGATAAATATGTGGAATTTACTTTCATAAAGCTCTAATGTTTGTTTAAGATCTATAAATGTATTACTGGGGGTATTAAAGTGTTTTACTTGCAAATTTGCTGGATAACTTGTTGAAAACTTGTCTCATTGATCTCTTTGATTTTGGGTCCCGTTTTATTGTCTGGTACCCAGTTTAAGTATCCATAGCACCTTGATCAAGGAGTTTATTGAGAAAAAGGGCATTGAAAAGACAAATTGATAGGTCTATTCAAGGTTGTTTGACAATATTACTTTGATGTATAATTGTTTTCCTCTTACAAAATATGTACCAGGAGTCAGAAATAAAATGCGTATCATTGCAGAAAAGGAAGATAAAATTTGATTTAAGTATAAAAGGGAAAATAAAATGGGCTGTTTTAATGACCGACCTGTCAAAGCGAATGATCATGGCTATTTCAATCCTTAGCCTGCTGGTGTCAACTGCTTCCTGTTCCAGCTGACCATGATCAGACGACACAAATGGTTTGCACTGTTCGCAATAATCATATCCAACTAGCTTACGGAATGTAAGTGGTTATACTAAGGTGCCCGTTTTGTGCCTGAAATAAACGAAAGGGCACCTGAGGTCTTTCTCCACATGCAAAGATAGAAAGTTGCCATATGACCTATACGGTGCTGGTGCTACGTAAAACCCAATAACAACTTTATAATTTATTGCATATTGAAGCTAGGTTTTAATCTGTCAACTGATTTCATTCCTTAATTTAATACATACAACAAATGTATATTGAAGATGAACCAGAACGAAGATGACATGACATAAAAGTGTATCATTTTAGGTAATTTTAAATAAAGATGATAAAGGGGATTATCAAACAGTCTAATATTGTCAATATTATCACTTCAGACGTATATATTCAAAGTTAATCTTAAATATCAAGGTGCGATGTATATATATTAAAGTTCTGACGAGTAATCACTTACAATATTATCTTACGTCTATTATCGACTTTCGTATTTAACGGGGTTAAAGTGGTTGTATTGTTGTAAACTTTGTCGGTGTTTAACTTTTTAAACAGTTTTTTTTTTTCCGAAACGTTAGATTTAAGCAATTTAACTACTTGAATATTCACAGAAGTGTTTCAATTAAGGGTTTATTTGTAATTGGATTGATAGGGTACCGAAATAAAGGAATTAAGATAAATTATAACATGTCAATGGTCGTGTTTACAGTTGTAAATACTGTTCATCTATATATTGATACAAATAGACCGTTGTAAATTTTATTCGTTTTTTTTTTTCTTATTGATATTTTTAGGGGTGAAATTTTATGTAAAATATGTGAAAATGAGGAAAAATGTAAGCATATGTAGTTATGCCTATTTGTAGGTATAAAACTGTTTATTAACCAAAGACAATGTGGAATATCAAATAAAATTGAATTTGGATAATTGAAAATTAGAAATTTAGAAAAATTAAGTACCCAGAGAGATATTGTTCAAGAAATAGATATGAAATTTAAGTAAAAAACTTTGATAAATTTCAACTGAAAGAAAGATGTTGTTAAATTTTTTCAAGGCATATAAATGTAAATGCAAATGAAATTGGTTCTTGAAAATGTTAGAATATATATAGTGACAAGTCCTAAATAAAAATAAAATACTGGAATGGCATGAAATGATTATGATGTTCAAAATTTTTGATATGGATTGAAGTGTTGTTTTTAGAGAGAATTATAAACATGGATTATACGACAGACTGTTGTGAATTATCACCGGGGCTGAGTAGAGCCCGGCAGGAATATAATGCCTTGTTACGAAGTAATCTAGGCAGATATTTTGCCAGGTAATCACACAAAGAAAAATTATTTTATATACTTGTATTATGATAATCAATTATCAAAGAAGTGGTGCAAGATTTACTTTTATGATAATATATCAAAGAAGCGGTAGGTGGTGGTGTTGGTAGTTTTCACTCCGTATCACGGCAGTTAGCCACATTGAAAGAAGTGATATAGTTTGTTAGTTAGTAATACATGTATACCCAGAAGTTTCTTTTGAAAAATATTGATTAAAAAGCAGATGCATCAGTTATGTATAGTGATTATCAGCACTTATTATCTTTTGAAGTTTTTTTCAAATATATATATTTTTTGACCATGAAATGGATATATTTTTCTTTCCTTCCTATTATATTATGGTATGTAAGATATCCTACATGAAATGTTTTGCCCTAATACTGGCATGAAGTTATGTCATTGAAATTTAATTTATCATTGCATTATAAACATTATTCTAAAGTTTCAAAATTAATAATCATTAATTGTGTCATATTCTTCAACACTTACAGTAACTATTTTTTGCATAGAATTTATTGAAAAACAACAAAATCTATAATGTCTTGTTTATCTTGAATTTTGAGATAGGTTTGCTGAATGGTTCTCTGTAAATAACAGTAAATTTCTGAAATTATGCACTAAGATTAAGATTGAATTAGTTACGAATGCTTCAAGGCCGTTGAAATTTGTTTCCAGTAAAAGTTTTAACTGTTGTAATTTTTATGCTAATCATGCTATAGTATACTTTGTCTAAGCAATGGCTAGGCTTTTTTTAATTTTTACGCTTTGTAACAATGCAAATATATTTAAGTAATGTATGTATTTGCATACAAGACTAGTATCCCATAATTTATTTGTTTGTACGGTTTAGCCTTACGTCCCCGCAAACTTTATGACAAAGACTGAAAGGTGTGAAAAAGTTGTGTAAGAACTAATGGATAAGACTTTCTACACAGTTTAAGGTTTGTCCAGCTGAATACTCAACCAGATATATCACAGACTTATATAGAACATTGTTATATAACCTTATGTCATAGTATGGTAATATATTATTTATCTGTTACAGCACTGAGCTGTCTGTCAATGGTGATATAAGTGCAGGAAATGCTGAACCTTTATTGAGTGCACCGCCCCCACTACCGCAGACGTCCCCACCTGGGAAGGCAATGTCATTACAGAGTGATGGACAAAGTGTTGAAGATGATGATTTAGATGCCCATATACACACAAAGTAGGTCTTTCTCTCTTTGTTTTTTATTAATTATAGTTTACCTATGTGAGTAACATAGAAACGATAAACCAGTCAGCAAGCACTATGTAAGAAACTTGTCTTACCAACTATATTTCTGTCACAAATTAGAAATGTTACATGATGAAATTAAGTATGTGACATAACTAGTTGAATGTGACATGATAGAAATTAAGTATGTGACATAACTAGTGTTTGACTGATGAGTATGATGATTTTTAAAAACACCATACTATGAGTGTTTCAAAAAAATATGTCATTGTTAATCAAAGTAGCTCCTTTTTGTTGAATTACTTGCAGTGAATAAACACAAGAAATGCTCCTTTAAATATGTTAATAAAAGAAGCCCTAGGTAAGAGAAATCAGCTACCTTAGGAAGAAAGTTGATACATGCAAATTGAAAATTCTTTATTTTGTTGTTGTTTCCTTGATATCTAGAAGGAATTTTATTACATTAATCCTATAGTGTTTAAAAATAAGGGAGGTAAATCTGTAGGATTATTTTTTGTAAACTTGAAAAAGTTGCTTCTCTTGATTTTTGTGATGTCATCAATGTGATGTCATCAAAACAACATGTGATCAACATTAGCAACTTCCTGTCCAAAATGGAGGGTTTGTTTTTTTCTTTTTATCCATCCAAATATTATTTTAATGATTTATTATTTTATAATTTTGGTCTAGCTGAGTTTTAAACAAAAAATCTATTCTTATCTTTACAACATTTGCATTTTTATTATTTTTAACTTCATTGAAAAATGTGCAATCATTAAGTTATTTGAAATGAAAATCCATTGAAGAATTTAATTTGAACATCATTTGTTAAATTTTGCAAGTTTTGATGATCGTTTAAACATGTTGTTTACTTTCTTTAGTCTTTTATTTGACATTAAAAAAGTCAACAATTTGGATACTTTCTTCTTATTAATAAACAATGAATGTCCTCAGGAACTACAAATTGTCTGTCAGAAGTCATCTCTTTCTGATATTAAAAATTAAATATTGAGATAAATATTTGAAAGTTTAATTGTAGAATCTAGTAGATCTATCTAGAATCTGTTATCAAAGAATCTTCCACCATTTATCATGTCTGTTTGTAGTTTGTATATTTAATTTCCTGTAATGAATTGTAGGCACTTTATTGGAAATAAATTGTATGCAAATCATTTTCAAAATTTAATAAAGAGCTACAGGTTTTGTGACCTCAATTGTAATAAAACTTTTCTAAATTAGCCCTATCATGCAATTTGGTAAAAATGAAATGGTCTATGTTTGTAAGAAGCTTTTTCATAATTTTTGTATACATCTTATTTGTTAAACTTTATTTTTTAGGCCACCAGGCCCATCTTTTCTACCAGATCTCTCCGGAACTACAGGTCTGTACAGTTCAGGCCTGGAAGTTCCATTTGACGATGATGGTTTATCGGTAACATCAACAGAGAACGGTGATATCAGCAGCTCATATAGACCAGAAAATCTACCATACGGCAAAGATATGCTTGTTAACATGAATCTCAATGGTAGGTTACAGTGTAAGATTTGAATCCACTAGGCTGGTCGGACTACCAGATTGGAATATTCACTAGCCCAAAAGACATTTCACTAGCATGATTCATTTGTTCAAAACAGTGGTTTATATTGCCTCTGAAAATACAGTAGCCTGGTCGGGCTTGTTACTGTGAAAAGTTGGTAGCCCGAGGAGAAATTTAGTAGTCAGGGGCTATAGGACTACTGCTAATTTCAAACACTGAGGTTATCAGCATAGTTATAGCTTGATATAAACCTTAACTCTGTTAAATATCTTAAATGAACTTGCCCATCTTAAAATTCTTTTATTCTGGAGTAGTTTTTCGTCATTTCTTAAAAAAAAAATCATAGAGTGCAGACCATTATCAGATGGGCTTCTGATCTTGGTCAGCATTAATCACACAGGTTGATTCAATTGCCACCAATAGGCTAAAGGCTTTTATAATCATAATTTTGTGAACATTTTCAAACTGATTAGGAATATGTTCTGTTTTCTTATATGGTATCTATATGGGTTACAGATACGGTATGCTTATGAATGATGCATTACAGTTATTTACAGTCCAAGTAAAATATTTGTTTTTGTTTTTTAATAGTAGATGTATTTGTAACTATATTTTGGTCATTATGTCTGTGACTGTCTGACTTTAACAAAGAATCTAAAGTCTAAGTATAAAAAATTCAGTATGTTGATATATAATTGTGATAAAAATGTGTCTGTGATTTGTCTGTTACAGCATGTTAATCACCCGTACATGTTTGTTTCAGACTCGAGTGCAGTGTTAAAGCTGCAGGAACATCTGAGAGAACATCGTAAACAGCTCGAGTATGAACGTAACCAGAAAATGTTGCTAGAGAGTAAACAAAAACAGATGAACAAAGACAAGGCTGAGATGCAAAAGTAAGTTATTTGTAGAATATGCTCTTTAATGAAATTTTCCACACATTATTTACTTGATCATATCTTGACTAACTTGTATCATTAAGTTTGGTAAAATGAAGCAAAATGCATGGACAATTAGCCAGTTTCACTGTTCCTGTAATAGACATTATCTGGAACTTGGCAAATGTGGGTTTTCCCCAGCTAATCTGTAGGTACAAACTAACTTACCGTTATAGCTTCACAGTGCACTACTTGTCACAATAGATAAGTCAACCTGTTTTGCTTAATTTCAAAGCTGTAACTGTTAAAAGTTTGTTTGTACCTATAGATTAGCTGGGAAAAACCCAAATATTCTTAATTTCGGAGTTAGTCTATTGATAACTAATAGCGCTCTCATTTTGAATTTCTAATGAATTGAAATATGATATATAGTCATTACCTATTTCCTATGATAGAATTATTTCAGCATTAAGATATGGATGAGTATTTGTTTTGTTTTGTTATTTGTTAGTTAAAATTTTATGTTGTTATTCTAGAATGTTGGACAGTCTAAAGTACCAGAAGTCAGCTCTTGAACAAAGCAAGCTAGATCTGGAGGCCAAGATCAGAAATCTTGAGTAAGTCTGTGTAAATTTTGCTACTTTTATTGTTCCATGGTTTATCATAAAGAAATAATGCATAGGAATTGATCATGAAGGCCTGAGTGGATTATTCTTTCCCATCAAAATGACAACTATATGTTTGGTTACAATATAAGTATTTTAAATTCACTAGAGTTGTTTCTATTACACAACATTATAATCTTGTATTGTATGAAATAGCATAAAATAGTTTATATTTAGGAAATAGATATCAATTTTTAGTGCATTGTTGTAAAATAGTGCATGGTTCGAGTTCAAAAGCGTAGGAATATCAATATTTATGCTGTTTGATAGGAGAATGGTATGAAATGTGTCAGAATATAAATTTTATCATTTCTATTCATCAAAATACTTATATTTGAAAAAAAAATCCAGAAACATCTCATTATTATTGGTCCTTTTATTGGTGGAAAACTTCTAAGAAAAGATATCATATAATAGAACTTTCAGTAGATGTTGTTACCATGGTAATTGTTTGTTTCCAGGTATTGTGTGAGTGATGAGGAGGAGAAAAAGAAGAATGCAGAACTTTTGTTGAAGAAAACAAAGGAACAGTTAGCTAAGAAGGAAGAACAATATACTCAGTATGTATTTATACATGTATAATCTGTGTCCTTGATAAGAAACATTATAAAAATTCAAAACACTGCTTTTTGTACTTCTATAGCAGGAGCTGTTAAAAATTAGCTTCTCTCCCCAAGAAAATTCTTTTAGTTTAAAAGTATGCAGTTTTCCTGTCAACTTCAATTTAAATAAAATTTTTATTTCCACTTTGCACACACACACACAAAAAATACTGGTAATTTTGCCCAAATAAAAGTAATAGCCTCTTCCCGTACCTGTGGAAAAAAAATCCTAAAAGAGGATTTTTCCTAGACATTTCTTCTAGGTAATAATTTCAGATAACAAAATGATATATAGTTTGATATCATGTTAATTTTCGTACAGTGAGATGGAGGCTAAACAGAGAGCTGAGCTTGCTATGAGGAATGTACAAATGGAACTTCGATCTGCACAGAACCAAATGAAAGATGTGAGATATTTTTTTAAATTGCATTTTCAGTTATATATAAAGAGTATTTATCTCTTCAGTGTAAGACTGTAAACATATTTCACGAAGTGGACATCAGATGTAGTAGTTCCATATAAGACCATGGTGTTGCTTTTCTGTCATCATCAAATCATGATGTCACAATTTTTATATTGGTAAAAAAAAAATTTATACAAGAACAGAGATCAAAAATTGCCATCTTCCGTTCATAATTACTGGAAGAATTAAAGAGAATTTGATGCAGGATGAGTAGAAAAATGTTGCCTGCACATTGGATTTATAAGCTAGTTGTCCTGCAGGATGAGTGACTCTTAAAATATTTTTCGATGCTTGAAGAATTGTAGATTTTTGTTACGTTTAAGTTGAAGTGCACCAATCTTAACTGACAAATAATCATATTTTTTCTATTTTTAAAAGAAAAAATTTCCTAGTATTAAAGTACTAAATTTAAAAAGGAAATGAAATTTTGAAGGATATGTTGAATTATGAAGTTGTTATCAGTATTGGGTGTTTCCAAAAGAGTTAGTAATACATAAATGTCATTTATTGGACAGTTGGAAGAAGAGAAGGTGGAGCTAGAACGTCAGTTAGCCAATGAGAAGAATGCTCGCCAGTTACAGGAAAAGATCAACGAAGAGCAACAGAGGTTACAGCAACATATGCATGAAGAGTCATTTAAAACTTCCTCCGAGAAGGTAATGGTTTCTCTCTATCACTCTTGTTTAGTGTACAGTCAGTATATGTCAAGATAATAAATATGTCCCTGTGAATCTTTCATGTAAAAAACTAGGTTTTACAACAGAAATCTATGGCAGATTATGGCTCTTTTGGTGTTTTTTTTCTTCACATAAATATGCAATAATTGCATAAAACCTCGTTGTATGACAATTTACTGTCATTTGTCACTGTCTAAACATTTCTTTGAGAAAATTTATAATTTTCAGAGTGTCACATTTGTTTCTCAATCTTTTATGTTACTACCATAGCATGTTTGCCCTTTTTGAATATAACTATTAAAATTCATGAATTATTCCAGGGATTTTATACATTGGCATATCTCACTGGTTTATTTCCACATATTTTCAGAGCAAACAGTTTTATTGTAGCTCATAGCTCTGTGTATTTCATACCATGATTTTTTTTTCATACCATCATATTCTGTACAAAATTATAATTTCATTATGGCAAATATTTTCATTCATATCAGAAAAATCATTTTAAGTTTATCACATAAATCATTCTTACAATATCTTGGTTTGCAGTATTGTAACCTACAAGCTAAGAGCTATCCTCATTTGACACAATATATTTCATTTTTAAGACAAAAACTAAATTTCTTTCCTTAAATACTAAAAATAAAAATGTTTTTTAACCCTTTCCCCCATGAGCATATTGTGGAAAATGGCCGTTTTCACTGAAAAGCCTCCTGTTACAAGTTCAAACTGCTATGAAACTATGAAAAATGCTTCAATACTAATCAAACTTGGCACAAATGTTGACTGGACCATTGCCTTTGTAACGACATGCTCAGTCTTAAATTTCCTGTTACCATGGCAACGAGGGGGCGTCTCAAAATTGCCCAAAATCACTATTTTGCCTCGATTTTTTCCATCAAAATTTATTTCAAAGTGCTGCAACTTCTCAAGGGATTGAGATAGAGTCAAAGGCTTTTCAGCGTTGGTTACACGTTACATTATGATCGACCTGGGGTCATTTTTAGCCTCTCACAAGTCCAAAATTTTCTTGGCAATGAGGGGGAATCCGCCCCCCTTCAAACCCCCCTAACAGAAGGGGGCACATCCCCCTTCTGGCAACCCCCTGATGTATCTTTTGGATGGGGGGCGGTGCCGAAAAAGTGCTCATTTTTTTTAGCAACATTTCTCAAATGAAAACATGTGTTTGGGGCCCAAATAGAACATTTTTTCACTCTTTGAGGCCTAAAAAAGGGGGGGGGGGGTCGAAAGTGCGTTGTTTCGCGTATATATGGGGTAAAGGGTTAACAGGTAAGGTTTTATGGCCGAGCATAAAGGCTTGTAAGCTTATATGACCTGAGCTGCTAGGCTGTGGTTATATAACAAACACCTGTTTATATAGTGCCATTTAATATGTCATGTCCAAAATCTTCATAACAAATTTATAAAGTGTTTTGAAAAAGAAAGAAAAACTGTTTGTAAATGTGAGGTTACATTTTTGCAAACCAACAATTCACATTTTGATATATTTATATACACATGTACATTATGTTCACCTCTCATTTTCATGAATTATATTACAGGATGATGGCAGGGTAAGATCAATCACAATGTCCGCATCAAATGTTTCATTTCTTATTGGCTACATTGATTTAATTCTTAGTTTATAACCCTTGTATTGATACTTGTGTCTGATAAAATAAAGTGAGTAAAAGTGACTCTAATGTCATGCCAATTTAACTCTTAACATTTATCATTAATATTTTGCCAAGGTAAAAACAATTGCTCTTGAATATTGCTACAGTTTGGAAAAAAATCTGAAGTCAATTTGTCAGACAATGTAAATTAGAATTACTTTTGAACTTATGATTTCCATTTACAATACAGTACATTGAGAGTTTTCTCTTCTTTTTTATATACATGTAGCCTCAAATGTGTGTATCATGAAAAAACAGACAAAAAAACAACTGATAAACAAGGATAGTAAACTAAGAATTAAAAATGTAGTTGTATTAAGTATTTTTGTTGTATACTAACATGTCTTGTGTTTTACTTGTGTTGTATGGAAATCAGGGACAATTTTTCTGAAAATGTCTTGAATGTAGATACAGTGTTGCTTCTAGATCAATATTAAGGGAAAATGGGGCTGAATAAAAAGGAAATATGAAAGGAACTAAAAGAAATTTATGTATCTCTAGTTTGACTTTCACGTGCATCCACTGTTTGTGTAGACACTACTTCTAGAATTGGATGAGAAAGGAGTAGATCTTGAAGGATAAAAGTTTAATCGGATCTTTGCTTAAAGGCGATTTTCTACTCATTCTTTGAATAGTGAGAATAGTACCTGTTCTGCTTATATGTAATTCAGTCTGATTAGAAATAGTAACCAGTGTATAAAGCCAAACTCCTGAGCTTAAGCAGTGGGGGAAAAAAATACAAATGGTTAAAAAGATAAAATTTTGGGCATAGCCTTTACACAACATCAGACTTCGAGAGAGAAATATGTAAATTATATCACAGATTTCCCACAATTTGGTGCTCTAAAAGCAACACTGTCAATACTTCTGTATGAAACTGTCATATCAACTTTCAGTCATAAAGAGTTATAGTTAAGGGTGTAAGGTGATGATCTCCCTCTCTATCTCTCTCTCTAACAACTGTTTAGGAACTGTGGTGGTAGATTAGTTTTTACAAATCCTGATTTATGGTAGAGTGTACAATTTCTCCTTATTTTGTCTCCTTTTAATCGTGCCATCTGTTATGTGTTCTCCTTTTAAGTAATAAAAATATGTTCTATATCTGTCAGAATGATTGGTGTCAATCGCTGTATTACAGTATAATATCAAATTAAATGTTAATTCTTGTATACCTGTATATGTCTGAAAAATTTAGTGCTAGCCTTAAATAAGTCCTACAGATGGATATGTGCGTTCCCTATTCTATACCCTAGCTGACAATCTGTGTGATTCCTATAGGTGAAGGAAATTAGTAAGATGTTATAATATCAGTGTATTGTTATGGCGGGGAATTTATAAGAGGTTGTGGTATTTGTCTATTACATACTGTTTCAACTGCTGTCAAATGTTTACTTTTACATATTGTAAATTGTTTATGCAAATTGCTTATTAGATATTTTTTAGAAGCTTCAGAAAATTTATGTAAGAACAGTATTTAATGAATGACAGTTACAGGAAGTGATGTATTATTACAGGATGAAGCTAACAAGTCGTTAGAGCTGGCTGATGATGATATAAAACAAGCGAGAGATCTTGTAGAAAAATATAAAAATGAGATTACGGCCCTCAAGGTAAAATATATGTTGGAAGGTTATTTTCTCAGCATAGGATTTTTATATATTTGTTCTATATGTATTAAGATATTTGCTTATGTGGATTTGATATCAATTGGCTTTCAAACATTATATATTCATATAGAATTTGATATTTCATTCTAAATTTTGATACATTCAGATGATTGTGACAAAAATCCTATGGTTAAAAATGGCATGGCGGACTAAAACTAACCATCAAATTTATGGTCAGGGCAAAAGCCCTTCAGTCCATTTTTCAAGCAGGACAAATGCCACTTATGGTAGTCAAAATTTACAGGAAAAATGAAAACAATACCACATCTACTACTTTACTATAAAACACATTTAAAAAAAAAAAATGTTGTAAAGTGCCGAGCTTATCTTGATGTATGAAAGTGGGATGGTAGTAGTGTTACTTTAAATAAAGGGAAATCCTTCATGAATGTAGAAATAATATGTAGGGATTTTGTTCTTTTTGTAAATTTGATGGGAGGACTTGTGTCCATTTCCTATTTTTTTAAGTGAAGGTTTAGATTTTTATGGTAAAAAAGACAAGTAGTTAGAGAAGCTTTAGGCCCATCATTACATCTAGAATGAACTCTGTTTCACTTTAAACTTGTCCATTCCTTGCTAGAGCCAATAGTTACGGTAACTTAACCTTCAGCTTAATATACTTGTCTGTTCTGGCAGCCCATGTAATATTCTTATATTCATAATCAATGTTGTTTACATTTTCGGTACTTCCTCGGATATGTCATGTGTTCATTATCTGGATATATGTAATTTATATTATAGGCGGAATTACAGCGTCAACGAACGCGTCTCACTGACGAGAATAACTTATTGTCGTCAGATAACGAGAAGTTACAGCAGCGTGTGGAGGACCTTCGTAATGAGGTCAAGGACCATGAGGAGGCCCTGACACAGCTCACCGTACAGCAGAACCTTCATAATAGCAAGCTAATGTCCGAGTCTACCATGCTCAGTAACTCCCTGGACAAGGAAAGGATTGCGAGGGAAAAATTAGAGGCAGAGGTAAGATGATTTCAAAGTTAACAATTTTGTTGGGCTTTCGCAAAACAAGTAAGGTTATTGCAAAGATAAGCAGTTTTATTGACACAGAATATGTTGTTTATTACACTTGTATTGAAAGTAAATTTGGAAATTAAATGGCTTAGCAAATAAAAACGGCTTTGTTTAATGAAATAAGAAAAAAATTTATGATGATAAAAATGGAGTTCACAAATGATAAGTTTGTATGGTTTTTATATTGGTCAATATTTTATGTATATTATACATGTATTTACAGCTTGAATCTATACGTACAAGACTTCAGTCATCCAATGTGCAAGTAGAGAAGGCCCAACAGGCCAGAAATGACCTGGAAAGGTGAGAAATATAAGAAATAGTCTTTTGAATGATTTCTGTCATCGTCAGAATGTCTTGAATTCAAATTTTACCAGGGGAGAGAAATCTCTTGATACTTTATTTACTTTTTGCTAAATTCTTAGGAAGATTCTTGCTTGATTTTAACTTTTGTTTCATTTATGATATTTATGCTCCAAAAAAATGCATTATGTGTTTAATTTTATTAGAATTTAATTAGAATATTAATTCCATAATAATTGTTAACTTGCTAATGATCACTATATTTTTTGTGAATATAGAAATTTATGCGTGTTGAAATTTTCAGACGTTTACATGGTGACCGTGAAGAATGGGCCAGGCAGCTTGACAGGAAGGATCAGGAACTTGCCAGCCTAAAGGAAAAAGTTCAAGCCCACATACAGGCACTAAATGCTACAGAGAGCAAACTTAACGCTGTAGAAAATGAGGTGAGGTCTTGTTGTTTGTAACAAGTACATTTGTCAGCTCATTATTAAATTTTCCTACTTTTACCTTTATGTTTTTTATATGCTGTCTGAAATTTGAAAGTTTAGATTATGCCTGAATATGAAAATAGAAAGAAAAGAAATATTGAACTTCAATGAAGGAAGTGATTTTGATATACGAGCGTTTATAGATATAAAGAAGGAACAGAATTTTAAAAAGATGGTCCTTCGGGAACATTGATTCCAGCAGTTTTAAGTGTTGAAAATTGAGTACTGCTCAAGCTGGTGCTAGGGGCGTGGGAGATTTTACACATTTTCGTTATCCCTCATGTACAAACTCAATCAAACTGAGTCTGCAATTTTCATGTGATTTTGGTGTGATTAATGTTAATGCTTCTGAGGGATCACACTTTTCCAGATTTTTGTAACAAGTAATATGATTTATAGTAGTAAGTGGTTGATTGTGATAAGAAATTGTTGCTTGTGTATAAGAACATTATGATGATAAATGATATATTTTTCAGTTACAAATATCTAATACAACATTACTGGAGAGAACTAACCAGTATCAGCAAGTACAGAGAGATCTACAGTTTTACAAGACTGCTCAAGAAAATAACGACTCTAATATAAAACATGAAAAGGTATGGTAGTAGCATAGCTATGTGATTTTAATGTAATGGTGTTTTATAGTTGCTTTGATTAAACTATAGCTTAGAAATGAAAATAACTGATTTTGATTGAGACAGATAAATGAAACAACATTTGTTTTTTGTTTTATTTTATGATTGTTTTTAAGATAAGTCATCTGCTTCATGGTCATTTGTGACTGGATATTTATTTGTTGTACTATCCCCATTTAAATCTATATCTTGAAGAAGAAAATAGATTTTTTTATAAAATAGTATAAAATTGAATTGTCTTTGGAAAAGTGACTTTAATCCACTGGACATATAAATCAAACTTTTTTCTACAGTAAAAGATATATTCTTGAGGAAAATTCGTAATTTACTTAAAAAGGGAATGTTGAAGCACTGACTGGTTGTTTCTTAATTACCTTTCTTCTATATACAATGTTTTTCCCCCCATGCAATTGAAAACAAAACTGGAAACGAATGAAATAACTGATAATTCTTATACTATACTTTTGGTTTTTATGTCCCCACTACTTAAGGGAGAGGGGAGGTTATATTGATTTGCCCTTGTTTATCTGTCATCATGGTGTCACACTGCCCTACTGTTGGTTTGTAGACTGACAAAACATTCGAATGTGGCATAAAAAATTTCTGTGGACACATTTCTAGTATTTTGTCATATTGTTTGTATTGTTTCAGGAGATGAATGCTAAGTATGTTGCCAAGATTGAATCATTACAAGAAAGGTAAGCTTCAGTTCTTTGTGTTTATGAGGGAGTAAAATATTTTTCATTATTTAGCAGTAAATGAAAGTTAATAATGGCTTTGTGTGAAATATTTTAAGTTACTTTTTACTGAATAAAAAATAGAATATGTTAGCAGTTTGTTATATGTCCTCTATATCTCTTGTAACCAAGCTTGTTTTAGTGTGTCTTCGTTGTATTTAATGAGTTATCATACTAAATTAACAATTATTAAACTATTATTTCCTTGTTTGTTTTTGTTCTTCTTTGTGTCCCTTGCTGCAGATTAGCCGCAGCATATAGGAAACAAATTGATCAACCATCTCTTAATACTTACTGCTTAATTGACGACTGGCAACAAATGTGATCACTGATCGCTCTTGTTTGAACCATTATGTTTCTTTTTTATCTGGACTGGAAACAGGTGAAAATCTAAAAACTGAAAGAAAAATGAATGTTGGTAAAACATTTTTGTACATTCTGGTTCAGTAAAGCTCCAAAGTTAAAAGGCTCGGAGCCTAAATGCACGAGTAATATATATTTCAATATTTCAGACTATCAAGTATACAGCATGAGAACCTCAGTCTGAAGCAACAGGTGGACACAGCACAACATCTTGCCAACGATAGAGCCGGGTTTGATCTCCAGGACAAACTTAACACCATGATCACCACACTGAAAGCTGACCATGATAAGGTCAGACTCTTATATGTTCTATAGTTGTGTTAGCTCTTCATCACTTGCAATTGACCCATTTAGGCTGGTTCTTTAGTATACATTCTCAAACATAAATAAATAATAAAATGAATAAATAAATTAATTAGTTAATCAATTAATTAAACAAATAAATAAATACATAATAGATCTAATTTAAAAAAAAAAACCTTTAAAAACTTTAATAAATATTTTATTGCATATCCTATCAAACAAATTTGTTTATCAAATGGAATATATTTTTTTTTTTACAATTGAACTTCTTCATTGCTACTAATGTAAGAAAAAAATTGAAGAAACTTTTTGTCATGTTCTTTTTAATATATGAATGAAAATAATGTAAGATTATATATTGTTGGCCTATCTCTAAATACTGACTTAATCCCAGATGTTACTATTTATAGAACACAGCTGTTACTGAGAAATATAGTGAAAGATATGTCCCAGGGCAATCAATAGTAACAGTGTATTAGATCAATTATTTTACCATAAAACATAGCTAATTAATGTTAATCCTTGATCAGCTGTGCTTTATTTTTAAATTATATTTATTGTGGACTGAAAGGTATTCTACAGGGGAAAATAAAAGAAATATTTTACTTTATCGTATATATTGATATGGAGGGGAAATGTTTATTTGAGCTTCCTTATGTCTGAACAGGTTAGGGCATCTTTGGAGGAAAAGAATACTAATCTACAGGACACGATCACACGGTTACGAGAGGAGGTCCGGAACTCAGAGAACCGGCGCAGCAACTTGGAGCAGGACATCCGGCGCCTGAATCAGGAACAGAATGACATCATCAGGAAACTGTCAATTGCTGAGGCTTCCCTCGATGTTGCCGCAAAGGTAAACAGGACTTTCTTTTTATTTGTAATGTTTATATTCTTGATAGCACTGAAAGTTATAATGATACATGAAAGTTCAAAATGATGTGTCAGGAAAATGTTATGGAAGGAGATAACAAAACGAGAGAAATGTTGAATTGTATTAGAAAACTTGGAAAATAAAATGATATACCTTCAGCAAATTATGAAAAAGAAGAATCATTATTTAAATGTTCCAAAGACTGCTGTAGATTTCAAATAACATTGATTAGCACAGTAATTAAATAAATAAATAATATCATATTGATTGATTGATTTTTTTTGTGATTTATACAATTTACAGAATTAATTGGTAACTGTTACTATTTTTCATTGCACGTGATCAGGCACGTGATCATCTGGAACAGGAACGTTTAGCGTTGAAGATGGAGATAGAGAAATTACAACAGAAGTATAACACTGCCCAGGAGACCACAATACAGGCTCAAACCAAGATGGGCGAGCTTGTAGATAGGCTCGATAGGACAGAACAAAGTCGATTAATGAGTAACCAACAACTTGCTGACACTTCTGCAACCATGCACGCCTTTAATACATCCAAGGTGGGAAAATATTGTAATAAAGTTCACAATAACTTGAATAAGTCAATCTCATTCAGCAGAATCTTCCAATATTTTTATTATGCCCCCGCCATGTAATGGCCGGGGCATATAGTGTTACCCTGTTCCGTCCTTCCGTCCTTCCGTCATTCCGTCCTTCCGTCCTTCCGTCCTTCCATCATTCCGTCATTCTGTCATTCCGTCATCATCAGTTTCCGTTCATTATCTTAGTAACGGTTGCACACATTCAACTCAAATTTGACATATGGATATGTCATGAGAAAATACAGGTCAAGTTCAAATTTGGTCATGGTTCGATGATTTTTGGCAGAGTTATGCCCCTTTTACTTTAAAATAATATGAAATTTTCAGTTTCCGTTCATTATCTCCCCAACGATACAACACATTCAACTCAAACTTGACATATGGATATGTCATGAGAAAATACAGGTCATGTTCAAATTTGGTCATGGTTCGATGATTTTTGGCAGAGTTATGCCCCTTTTACTTTGAAAATAATATGAAATTTTCAGTTTCCGTTCATTATCTCCCCAAAGGTACAACACATTCATCTCAAATTTGACATATGGATATGTCTTGAGAAAATACAGGTCAAGTTCAAATTTGGTCATGGTTCGATGATTTTTGGCAGAGTTATGCCCCTTTTACTTTAAAATAATATGAAATTTTCAGTTTCCGTTCATTATCTCCCCAACGATACAACACATTCAACTCAAACTTGACATATGGATATGTCATGAGAAAATACAGGTCATGTTCAAATTTGGTCATGGTTCGATGATTTTTGGCAGAGTTATGCCCCTTTTACTTTGAAAATAATATGAAATTTTCCGTTCATTATCTTAGTAACGGTTGCACACATTCAACTCAAATTTGACATATGGATACGTAATGAGAAAATACAGGTCAAGTTCAAATTTGGTCATGGTTCGATGATTTTTGGCAGAGTTATGCCCCTTTTACTTTAAAATAATGTGAAATTTTCAGTTTCCGTTCATTATCTCCCCAACGATACAACACATTCAACTCAAACTTGACATATGGATATGTCATGAGAAAATACAGGTCATGTTCAAATTTGGTCATGGTTCGATGATTTTTGGCAGAGTTATGCCCCTTTTACTTTGAAAATAATATGAAATTTTCAGTTTCCGTTCATTATCTCCCCAAAGGTACAACACATTCATCTCAAATTTGACATATGGATATGTCTTGAGAAAATACAGGTCAAGTTCGAATTTGGTCATGGTTCGATGATTTTTGGCAGAGTTATGCCCCTTTCACTTTGAAAATAATATGAAATTTTCAGTTTCCATTCATTATCTCCCCAACAGTACAACACATTCAACTCAAACTTGACATATGGATACATCAAAGGAATGCGCAGGTCAAGTTCAAATTTGGTCGTGGTCAATGATTTTTAGCAGAGTTATGCCCCTTTCACTTTGAAAATAATATGAAATTTTCAGTTTCTGTTTATTATCTCCCCAACAGTACAACACATTCAACTCAAATTAGACATATGGATATGTTTTTAGAATGCCCAGGCCAAGTTCGAATTTGGTCATGGTTCAATGATTTTTGGCAGAGTAATGCCTCTTTCACTTTGAAAATAATATGAAATTTACAGTTTCTGTTCATTATCTACCCAACAGTGTTACATATTCAACTCAAATTTGACATATGGATATGTCAAAGGAATGGGCAGGTCAAGTTGGAATTTGGTCATGGTTCGATGATTTTTTGGCAGAGTTATGTCCCTTTCACTTTGAAAATAATATAGATACATCTTAGGAATAAGCAGTTTAAGTTTGAATTTGGTCGTGGTTCAATAATTTTGGACAAACTTATCTTTCTTGAATGTTGAAAAAATTTTGAACTTTCAGTTTCAGCACTCATACTTTTGTGGAAAGTTTGAATTTGGTCGTGGTTCAATGATTTTGGACAAACTTATCTTTCTTGAATGTTGGAAAAAGTTTCACTTTCAGTTTCAGCACTCATACTTTTGTGGAAATGTATGTAGCCATTATTTTGGCTACAAATATGAAATATGCTATTTAGACTGAATAATTTCAGTGCTTTGAACATTGTATGAAAATGGTTTGTGTTAACATTGAAAAGTTTTAAGGGCTTTGAACTGCAAATGAAAAAAATAATTTGTGCAAACAAATTTGGAACTAAATATTATAACATCTGAAATTTTGGCTGCATGCGGGGGCATCCGTGGCATGATGACACATTTCTAGTTTTGAATGAAATAGCATAGTTATTAGTACAGTATTCATGAAAATATAGTTTAATAAATTTAATATTTTAAGTGAATGCTATTTATTTAAATAAAAATTTTAAAAAATGATAGGTATGATGAACTTCTGGAAAAGGAAACAACTCCTGAGCAATGATAGCATAAAAGACTGACAATTTTGTTTTAAAGTGCTCCTTGCTAGTGACTGGTAACTTGAATAAAGAAAAATAATTGTTGTTAATTATACAGAAATATCGGTCAGCAAAGTCCAATCACATTGAAGTCTTACAAAAATACTTTTAAGTCAGGTGGTGGTTATCTAAGTTTCACACAAAAATTTTATTATGTGAGCTTATAGCTTGAATGTTTTGTTTTGGTGTGTTTTTAGTCGGAGCTTGAGGAGAATTACCAAAAGATTCAGGTAGAAAATGTTCGGTTAGATGCGGAGCTTAAACACGAGAAACAGAAAACCGATATGTTACAACGAGATCTTGCTGACTCCCAAAAGGTTTGTTACATTCATGAATAAAGGAGTGGGGGGCTTCCATTTTATGAGTGGGGGATGTTTTCAATCTATTTCATATCAGAAATTGTTCAAATGAATAAGTGGGAAATAGCAAATTCTTAGGTTGAATTAGTTACGGTCAAGATATGGTAATGAGGGGAAATTTTCTGTTTCATCTTTTTTATACAATATGATATTTATCAAAATGAATGACAAAATGGTCTTTAGATGGGTTTGAATAATAAGATGACACTTTTAGACCAGTTATATGTGGTTATTGGTTGTAAAATTTTGTTATAACTGTTCATTTTAATCATTTTAAAATCTTAAATCATTATAATCTCTATCACAATGATTACATACAATAACACCTACATAAAATGTTTGATCAAGCCCAATAACGCAGATACATTGTAACTGTTTGTAGTTTTGTAAATGTGGTATTTAATAGAAGGTAAAGGTGTGTTCAGTAACACTGTATGTATATATGTCGGTGTTTAGGTGCGGAGCAGTCTCGAAGCATTGTGTTCAAATTTGAAGTCAACTAATGCTCACCTTGAGGAGAAACTAGGGGTAAATAAACTTTATCATAGAATTTGTAATCTTTAACTGTCACATGAAAAAACTTGAAATTCGAACGCAATCATGCAATTATTTTCTTACATGTTAATTTGTATTACAAGACAGATTCTAATTAACATAAATACCAAATATTTTCAAAATAAGATCAGTAAGGATTAATATTTTGTTTAAACAAATCACAAATGTAATGCATATGTTAATCAATTAGTGAAGATTTTTATGTTGTGTACAGTGAAGCCTGTGCCAGAGACCACCCTTATTAACTTAGACAAAAAGCCTCTTTGCAAAAGTGCCTGTTTGATAGAATGAATAATCAAGTACTTGTAAATAAAGTCATTAAATGAAAAATAATCATTTGAGGGTGTGCTCTTCAGGTTTGACTGGCATTTGTCAATATATGAAAGGAATGTTAATATCTATAGGCATGTCTGGGTAATAGATGTATATGCATTATTTATCTAACAAAATTTGCATCACTGATCTTAATTTCATTGTTAAAGAAATGGAGCATGGATAATTTCTGTACAAAAGTTAATTTTGCATGTCACATGTTAACATGAATGTTTTACACCATTTTATGTTACATAGCCCGATCAGTTACGAGAGGTCACAGCTAGTGTAAGTTTTACTGAGCATGTCTGCTGCACGTGTAATGTGCCTTCTATATGCTAGCTTGAGTAGTGTGTAACTCTAGTGTGTAACCTGACAGAGCATTCTTGCTTGTGAAGTGTGCTTTTAGCTTTGTACATGATGGCATTTGTACTGTGCCGTTTAATCTTTTTTTCTGGCTTGTTCAGTGTAGTGTTTTTTTAGTTTCAAATTCTTCTCAGATTAATGTTACATCTTTAAAAGTTGCACTTATATTTTGCTTTTCATTACATCAAGTATATTCTGGTCAAGGGATATGATATTTTTAATATTGCTTATTCTAACAGGCTTTCTTGCTAAAATTGCTAATGTTATCTGCCTGAGTTAGCTGTGTAGATATCTGTACATGAGCAACCTGTTTTGCAGATAGGTTTGAACAATATCAAAAGGAATTCTAAAATTAAATGCCTAACTATGATAGTAAAACTTTGGATGTGTTTATAAAAATACTAGTCTGGTTTCATTTAACCTTTTCCCTGCTGGAAATTAATTAGTTAAACCATTGCTACTAGTTCAGTGCCAGACCAGCCTACAAATCTATACTGCTTCAGACAAACTTCAAACTTTTCATTTTGATATCCCTAACCTTGACAATGGACAGTACCAAAATTAGAAGTTAGACAAGTCCAAAAAAAAAATCTGCAGGTTCAAGGTTCATAAAAGATTGATTCTTAGAGTTTGTTTTTGTTTCACAATGGTGATAGACTGGTTAAAGCATTTACAGTTCTCCTGCAAATTTGGAAATATGCAGGATATCTTCAATAAAAATCATTTCCCCCTAACTTAGTTTTTTTAGATATGAAAAAAGGGTATGGGGAGGATCCTTTATTATTGTTACAACACTTACATTTCTATTTTACCATCTGTTGTCATATTTTTAAATGCTATCTGAAACTGGTGATTGTTTTTCTTCTTTTATTCTATCATGGCTACATATATTCAAACAAATTTTCATTTTAATAGGCAAATTTTCGTTGAAGAAAAATTGAAAGTTGTTTGTTTGAATGTATGGCCATATGTATGTATAGGTAGAGTTTGCATGAGTAGAAAATTTAGTTTAGTCAGAATGTTATTAACACTTTTGTTTCACTTTCAGAATCTTTACTTATCTTTACTTATCAGTACTTTATCTTTCAGCATGCCTATATGTAGCCTTACATTAGAATGTAGCAAACTCTTAACCTTGTAACCTCTTTTCTCCAGTACTTTAATGTAGCTTTGTGTTAAACTTTTCTCGATAACGTATTTGTTACTAGGGCGAGGTAGTTAGTCGTAACCTGTATGCAAAGGAGGCGGAAGATCACAAAGGATTATGGGAACAGGAAGTTTTATCGCGTTCAAAACTTGGGCTAAGGGTAAGCTTTTTGCTTGTCACATCTTTGTCATCATGCACGTCTCATATTTTGTTTCCTTTTTCTTTTCCCATCTTATTCTTTATACAATCTTACCTTATAGACATTACATCTTGATTATAATCTTCACTTGATTGCAATGTTTGTGGCACTGTTTTTGTTTGTTTTTATCTTACATCAAACTCAGTGTCACTTAAGTTTAATAAGAGACTTTTTAGATTATTTTGATTTCTTAACAGACTGATATTAATTACTGTTTATGATACAGGCAGTTCCTATATTGTTTTGTTGTTAAATTTTGGATACAGAAACATAATGAACAAGCTAAGGCGAGGTAATTGCGGAGTTGACAATTAGTCTGTCTCTCATAATTGCCATCTTCAGGTTTTCTCATTTTAAATGAGGACTTGTAAGTCCAGGAAGCTAACACAAGTCACTAATTGTATATATAACGAGATAAAATTAAAAAAAAATTTTTTTTAAAAATCTTAATTAATTAGCAAACATTACCTTGCTGATGTTGCCTTGTTACTGTTATGGACATTTTTTTGCAGACTTTCTTTTTAAAAATTTATTCTGTTGTATTAGATATGATAAAGATAGACTCCCCAGAATGGTGGCTTATCGTAACATTAGCTTATTGTTAATGACCTTGCCAGGTTTAATCAAGGCAAACTGACATTTTGGAATTAGGTTGTACGATGTGTATATTGAAATAAATGGTTAATCCTCATGGCTTTTGACATATTTTCTTTTTTGTTTGAGCAGATTAAAGGATTACGAGTTACAATTTTAATGAAAATTTTAATCAAGCCTGAAATGTCACTTTATAATATAGTTTGTTCAAAGTACTCTTAACAATTTAAACTGAAAAGTCAATATATTTTGGAAGAAACATTATTTGTTACCAATCAAGGAATACATTGAAAAGAAAATATGAAATGAAAATTGTGATATGAAACATATGAACTTAAAGGATATTAAGTGCTAAGTCTGTTGTGTATTGGTTTTGAATTTTTATGATCATCATTAATTTTTATTGATGAAGAGATTGGTTTAAAAACGCATAAATGACAGAGTGATATAAATTAAAGTGAAAAAGTAGTAGTTATATGATGGTAGCCACAGATTATGACCGCCTGTATGTCACACATAGGGTGGCTGTCATCCATACAGCAGTGCAGGAACTTGTATGTGTTTACATCAAAGTGTTTTAACATATATATAAGTTCTTTTTAAAGCAGCATGTCTCCAGATTTGTGTTTTGTATAGAACTATAAAGATTATTGAAATTTGGTAGAAATGGTGTCACTTGTACAAATCATGCGACTACAACCTAGCATAAGGTGCTTGCTATCCTTTTAGATTACAAATATAATGCCCATATATGCAGATATAAGCCTTACTGGGATGGTACAGAGATAAGAATAGTAAATCATGACATAAGCTGTGTCACTTAGATTGTGAATACCGGTCATCTTACTTGTGTTGTTCTATAAATTTAATTTCTATCAAAATTTAAAAAACATTTACCAGTTCATTTCTGGAGGCATGCAGTTTTTATTTTTTCTTTATCATTTAAAACAGCTAACATGACATTCTTTAATTTCTTTGTTCTTATTCATGTAAATTCATATTTACAATATCTGAGTCTTTTGGAAAAGATAAATCATATGAGCCGCGTCATGACAAAACCAACATAGTGCGTTTGCGACCAGCATGGATCCAGACCAGCCTGCGCATCCACGCAGTCTGATCAGGATCCATGCTGTTCGCTATCAGTTTCTCTACTTGTTATAGGGTTTGTAAGCGAACAGCATGGATCCTGATCAGACTGCGCGGACGCGCAGGCTGGTCTGGATCCATGCTGGTCGCAAACGCAATATGTTGGTTTTGTTGTGACGCGGCTCAATTATGTTGCCATTTTAATGTCATTGTAAGAGCTTTCAATTAAAAAAAAATGTCACATTTTATTTTTGTGTAACAACTTATCAGGTCAAATGTGTAATGAACTGACATAACTGTATACAGCAACTAAACATTAATTTAAGGTAAAGGATTTTACAGAATATAATACATTTAGATTAATGGTGTGTTTTTTGTTTATTTTAGATTGCACAGTTAGAAAGACATAAACAGGAAACCTCCTCCCACTTAGAAGAGGTAAGACACAGGCTGTTGCTGTGGTTACTCAGCCCCCTGCCATAAATTACATGCTAAAATCATTGTTATCATTGATAACTCTTGGCTTCTGTAAATAAATTGTTAGTAAGGAAATTTTGAATGAAAAGCTTTACAAGTAGCTTTACAAGTCAATGAAAAGCTTTACAAGTAGCTTTACAAGTAGCTTTTCAAGTCAATGAAAAGCTTTGCAAGTGAATGAAAAGCTTTACAAGTTAAGAATAAACTCTGCATGACTGTGATAGATTTTGGCCAGAAACTTTACCTCTGAATAAGAGAATGGAGATTTTTCATTGATCAACACTCTTTATCAGCATCCTATGGAATTGACCAGTTTAACTGATGAGGGATAAAAATAAATGTCCCCTCATAGCATTATTTCAAGCACATGCAGGCACTATAAGGTAGAAACTACCTATATATCTATCTTCGTAAACCATCTTTACTGTAAACTAGATTGGAACTTGTTTTATATAATTACATGTATATCTTCAACACAACTATACAGAAATTATCATTCATTATCACATCATATATATTTCAGGAGAAGCGAAGAACAAGGAAAGCATTAGAGCAGAAGAAACTGGCAGAGACCAAACTTGAGGCTGAGCAAGACAAGTGAGTTGTTCACTACATGTATTTTATCCAGGGTTTTAATTTTAGAACTATTTCTTGTAAGCAATGGTTCCATGCTTATTCTATAACTAAGTATAGAATATAATGGTGAATTTTTTTTTATGTCCCCACTTCTTGGTTGGGGATGGGGATATAGATTCATCCTTGTCCCTTGTCCATCCATAGACTGACAAAACATATGTGGAACATGTGGTGGCATTCTTGACCTACGGTGGACACATTTCTAGTTTATTTTGTGTTTTGTAATTGTAATTATTGAATATATGTAATAGTGATTAATAAGATGAATAAAATGATTGATTTATATTCTTTATCAATAATCAGCCCATCATTTTGTATAATCATTCCAGTAAACCCTAGTAGCAAGCAAACTCATAGGTATATTTGGGATTCAGCTATATATTCACTAATATTTTGATATAGCAATTCGCTCAAAATAATTATTTATTTTATATTAATTTTTTTTAAAGATGCCAGAACTTACAGAAAGAGGTTGCAAACCTTAAAGCATATCTCAAAGTAGCCAAGAAAAGGTTAAAGGTAAGATGACCAATTTTCTAGTGAGATAAGCATCTTCTCAGATAATATTTCATTCTATTTGCCTTGTTTATCCTGGAAACAATAATTTCATCTTTACAAATATCAGACAATAGGTAAATATAGGTATACTAACTTACATAATTATTCCAGCATGAAAATACCTGTTTATTCAGGGATATATAAATTGTAAACAGAGAGTATTTTTTACCCCTCCCCTTGCTCTGTTGCATGTTAACCTACCTTGCTTTCTTTTTGAAATTACAGAAAAATGGTATACTTTATGTGTTGAACTTTTTTTCAGATTTTGCTTTTGCGATTAAAAACCCAAAGACCAGAACCAATTTACTGAAATTTCTATTTGGCTATTCAATGAATTATGGTCTTTTTGTTCCCTTCTACAATTTCAGTGAATACATGTATTATAAATTGGGTTTCAAAGCAAGACATTATTGTAGATATCAAGAAGGATCTTTATAAATTAATTTTAAGGAATTCAACCAGTGTAATCGTTTGACTAGAATATCTTTTTTAATTAAAATATGATAGATACACTGACACCAATATACCTTTGCTTTTGCATGTTTTTACAAATGCATCAGAATGTTTTAATTAAAGAGATAAATTAATAGATTTTATTGTTCACACATGCTTTAGAAATAACCAACTTGTTTTAGTTAAGCATGTAATTAGGCTCAGTGAAAGTTACCTCGGAAATAGATAGGGAAGAGTCAGATCTTTTCATCTTCTGATACAGCCAATTTCTTGATAATTAAGTTTTCTTGCATACCATACAATACTATACAAATGTAACATTGTAAACAACAAGCATACACAGAAGTACTGATTCCTCAAATTATGATAACAATTCATACAATTTTTAATAAAGATAGCATTCATCATAAACTGAAATGTTTTTTTCTCCCACAAAACATGAGAGCTGTTAAAGTTCATTCAGCTATGGTTATTCAGACATTTTTTAGCATCTGAATTATTAAAAAAACAAGAATTTCCATTTTTCTTGGCAAGAAAGTCACCTTTATCTGTTTTCACTGTTTATAAGGCACCTTTGCTTACATAAAGCCCCATAGCTCAGACCCGTACCTTAAGTGTTTTGCAACATTGTTAATTTTGCCAAAAAAATCCATGGCATCAAAAAATTCTCATTCCTTTAGTTTTCAATGTTCATATCATTGTGAGATAAATCATTACATTTAATATCAGTGTAATCATTGCATCTCAAAGACCTGTGACTGCATAGAAATGTAATTCTGTACTTGTATATCTAGCCACAAGATTGTATTTTTGTATGTGTACATTTAATCATAGAAATATATTCGTATATTTGTATATTTAACTGTATGATTTTCGCCCACTCAGGAGCCTGGCAGTGATGATGTATGTATGCATAGATATTGTAGCAGTTTTTTTTCTGTCTCCTATTTTATTTACTATTACCAGTTATTATTTCAGTTCTTTTTTCGAGTTATTCATAACATAGTTTTACTGTTAGATTTTTGTTTCACTTTTGATATTGCCCTGTTGGAATTTTCAGCTGTCATTGCCGACTTTATAGTTCTAGTTGATTAACCTAGATTGATGAACAAGACATTTTAACTTGAAAATATTTGGTATGCTCAACTATAGTATCAAACCCACAAGATCTTTTGGTATCAGTAACACTGGAAAAGGCCTTTGGGAAAAACCCTTGATTTGGGTATATTCTTGGTAATATTTTGTTCATGAATAATTTCTACCAGATAAATGATGCTTCTACCATAAATTCCTTACTTCTTTTGAATGGCTTCGTCTCCCAAAATCAACAACCACCCACACAAATAGTGCATGTTGCAACAGAATAAGCTGCCAAAAAAAAAAATGAAAAAATAAATTGTTGCATCGTTTCAAAAAAGACAATGGATTTGCAATAGAGAGATAAAGAGATAAATAACACTGTTTTTTGATGCCTATCTGTTAGATTTAATCCAGTTAATAAGCAAAATGATCAAAGTTTTTCTTTGATGAATTTTTTCTTTTTTTTCTCTTAAAAATACCATTTCAAAGTTTAATTATTGTGGAGTTTTCAACATCCAGACTTAAAATGCCTTGTTCCGATAAGATTTATGTTTTGATAACCCTATTTATTGTCACATATTATAAATATAATAAATGACTTTGTCACATGCTTCTAGATTGTTTTCTTATTTAGAGTTTTATTGTTTAGTATGTCACATATTTGTATATTTAGCTTACTGCAAAATATGTGATTTGAAAATGTGTGAGATGTTATTGCAAATATTGTGCTGTAGGAAAACAATTAGTGATTTATTTACAAGAAAGTAGGTCAAATACAAAATGTTAGGTAATGCTATGTTACTATGCAGGAATTTATAAATATTTGTTGTTATTTTTAGCTCGACTATTCGATAAGAATAAGTAGAGCTATTGCAGTCACCCGAGCGTCGGCGTCGGCGTAACCACTTATGTTAAAGTTTTTGTAATAGTTCAAATATTTTCAAAGTCCATTGACATATGGCTTTGAAACTTTGCACACTTGTTCACCATCATGACCCCAACCTGTAGACAGGAGGAGGTAACTCTATCAAGCATTTTGACAGAATTATGCCCCTTTTTCGACTTAGAATTTACGTTAAAGTTTTTGTAATAGTTCAAATATTTTCAAAGTCCATTGACATATGGCTTTGAAACTTTGCACACTTGTTCACCATCATGACCCCAACCTGTAGACAGCAGGAGGTAACTCTATTAAGCATTTTGACAGAATTATGCCCCTTTTTCGACTTAGAATTTACGCTAAAGTTTTTGTAATAGTTCAAATATTTTCAAAGTCCATAGACATATGGCTTTGAAACTTTGCACACTTGTTCAACATCATGACCCCAACCTGTAGACAGCAGGAGGTAACTCTATTAAGCATTTTGACAGAATTATGCCCCTTTTTCGACTTAGAATTTACGTTTAAGTTTTTGTAATAGTTCAAATATTTTCAAAGTCCATTGACATATGGCTTTGAAACTTTGCACACGTGTTCAACATCATGACCCCAACCTGTAAACAGGAGGAGGTAACTCTATCAGGCATTTTTTTTACTATCAAGCACTAAGAATAGTCGAGCGTTGCTGTCCTACCAACAGCTCTTGTTAAATGAGCATAATCATGAAATTATAATCATGCGCTGTAATACACTATAATATCATATACATTGTATAATATACTCGACACAACATCACTGTCTGATTAACATTTAATACTTAACTGTGTCACATTATATGTATGACACAACAATCATTGTAATAAAAGCAAGTGATAGAAATGAAATTTTCTGACCTATATTAAATGGTAGAAATTAAAGCTTATTGACTTTAATGCAATTCCTTATGACATATTTGGCATAAACTTGTACATGATAATGTTCTTTTCCTTTTAAGGAATTACACAAAAATCTGAGTTATTAATTAACCAATTAAGTGTCTGTTCGTCTGTTTGTCTATTGCTAGTTGCCCCTTGTGCTAAGCTTTCAAAATTGCTACTAATAGTGCTTTAACTTTGAAGTGGCTGAATGTAGAATGTTTACTTCTTTGACTTTTAACTGTTACTGATTTCTTCAACAATTTTTATAAATGTATGTTACAATATAACAATTATATATGGTAGATTTAAAGTTATTAATATTTACATATAAATAACAGGTATCATAAAAGTTTACTTATTCTTAATCTATTTTCATCTTTGTTGGAAAACAAAGCATGTGTCATTTTAATATGTATTTGGAAGTTTTGAAATTAGAGATATATTGATAGTTAGACACTTGTAATGATGATCTATTTTGAAAGAAGCAGAAACTGAAAATACAAATAACTTGATACAGATTCATGTATCTTTTGTTATAAATGTAATTAACAAACTTCTGGACAATTTGTGCTGGCAGGAATTGTCTGTATATCCCAGGTTGTCCCACAGCCTGTACGGACAAGTGGAAATTTTCAAGAATGTACAATATTTATATCATATGGACAAGATCAGAAATGCTTTTATATAAAAACGGACAATTTAGTCAAAATCAGATTTTGCTGACCCAGGCCAGCTCATGACACATGTTTATGTTCCATTATTCCATTAAACACTTGGTGAGAGTTGTCTCCCTTCACTAACCCACTGCTTACCTCCCTTACCTTCAGGCGCAGGATACTAACGAGAACCGTATGAGTAATCTACACTCTGCCTTTGACAAGGAGAGGCATGCAATGGAAGAAATGCTTGTCTCTGTTAAATCTCAGGTAACACCTATAATCACTTCATCTTGTAATTTCTTTACCTTTTTTCCCCCGGGATTTCTTTGTGAGGAAAAGCAACAGTTTTCTTCAATTCTGTATTTATGGACAAAGTCTAAACAATAATGCTGATATAGACATTTGAGTGTTTCAAGCAGAAACAACAAAATTAGATTTATTTTTTTATAGAAAAATTCCGAAATTACCTTATAAATTTTAGTCTTTTATTAGGACCTTTACATGTAAATGTATAAAATATGTTTTAAATAGATTTTAAATTGTTTGAAAGTTTGTAATTTAACTTTGCAAATTGATTTCATCATTATATAAGATGTAAGAAAATACAGAAATCCCAGGAAAATAGAAATCTGTTGTTTTTTTACCCCTTCCTGTTTTCTATATTAATTATCATACATATACCAGGTATCATATGAAAATGCTCTTGTATAATTGTTATTTAAACATGTACCTATATATTTTACATACAGCAACGGTGATTATTTTTTCAATATTTTTTTTAATATTTAAACACTGCTTAAGTGACCCAATAATATGAGCACAAATTATTTAACCATTTGCATTTCATATACATTTTTTACCGTACTTCTGCTATATTTAACTGTTTTACTTGGAAACTTGCCAATAGTTGGAGCACATGAAAATACAGCTTCAAGACGAGATAGAGGAAAAGGAACGAGTCCACAGTAAAAATCAGCAGCTTGAAAACGAGCTGAAAACTGTTCAGAAATTAGAGCGGTCAGTTCAGAAGATTGACCGCAGTAAAAGGAAACTCGAGACAGAGTTTAAAGCCTATAAGGTATAGGTTAAAGTCTTGTGACACGCATGGCAGTTTTCATGGTTGCACGATTTTTTACATTTCGTTTTTCGATGTTGTATATACAAGTATATGGATGTATACTTGGTTGCTGGCTGCACAACACCTGATGTATGAAATATGAGCAGACGTGATGGAACCAGCTCTTAGTGAAATTTCACCTGCAGTCTCTTGTTTTTTTGTTGATGTTGTCTTCTCTTATATTTTTTTTTTCTGTTGATTTTGTTTTTATGTGTTCTCTTTATTTTGCATTTTTGATTGCTCTCTCTATCAAGCACAACTTTACTCACTTTTTTTCCTGTCATTTATGTAAATTCATAGTTCATTTGTCATATTGCATGAATTGACTTGGGCGTACATTCAAATGAGCCCCTAGTTGTCCACATAATCAGTTTTTCGGTTTTCAAAACACACTTGCATCCCTGTTTATGTAGCTGGTGTGTGTTATCAATGAGACAAATAATTGAAGCAACCGTTTATCCCTGCGAGATTGTAAGAGCAATTAAATTGTTTAAATAACTGGAGTCTTTGCATGTCTTAGCTCCAGCAGATGAGGTGGTTTTGACCCCTTGTGTTGATTCGCAGTTTGTAACACCCGAGTTTAGCCAAAATCATCTTTCCTGTTCTGGTGCCATATGATCTATAATGTATTGGTGCACCGTAAAATCCAACAGATTTTTTTCTGAAAGAATGTTGGCTTCAAATTTTACCAAAAATAATCTTAAGACAAAGAGTTTTGATGTTGTCAGCATGTGATTTAGTATTGAACAGAGTACTCTGTCCTCTAATCAGCATCTTGCCCTACCTTTGATGTATTTAAATTACAAATGAAAGGGTATAAAGCTATTTATCCTGTCACTTGTATCAATTTCGGCCCGATAACAAGGTGCCGTATATTTTTACTGATCTACGGCACTTGATCACGTGGTATGCATGGTTTGCCGAACTACTTTTCAAGAAAAGATATAAAAACTGTCGTTAAATCTTCTGTGTGTAGAATAACGAATTTTGGAAACGTTGATAAAACTCTGTTTGTTTATTTTATTTCAGTCTATAATTTTTCAAGCGAAATAAAAATTATTAAAAGTGAAACAAATGTAAAACTTAACTCGTTTGCGACATTAAAATAGCGCACTTGATTTGATTGTTTTGCACGTGCTGTTTGGCGCTACATTGTGACGTCACGTAAACAATACTTTAAACGTCTGTACAGCGTTAACGACTGAATAAAAGATATTGGTGTTCGAATTCATTTTCTTAGTTAGACCATTTTCTTTCATTCTAGATAGTTTTCACAACAAAATTCGACAAAAAATTGTTTTTATTTATCACATTTTTTAAACAAAATGGAGCCCTCAATGTGAAAATACACAGGGAGATAATATGAACGGCGAGTGCATTGTTGTAGAATAATGAACGCTTCGGGCTTTCTTTGTTTATATAGAAACATTTCCGATAGTGTGATTAAAGTTAGTTTGCCTAATAAAATTCTTTAAAAAAACGGTGACAGGATAAATAGAATAATAGATTGGTGCCGTGGGTGGAGAAAGTTTATCTGGCTCTGCTCCGGAATTTATTGGGTTCGCCTTCGGCTCACCCAATAAATTCCTCCGCCTCGCCAGATAAACTTTCTCCATCCACGGCACCAACCTATTATTCTCTATATAAAGGCAGTCTGGTAGAATTTATAGTTTCATTGTGCAGGAATCAGAATATCTGTTTTTATTGTGATAAGAATCGTTCCAAGGTACCTTAGTCTACTACAATGATGTTTTGAGGAAAAGTTATAATATTCATGTGTGTAAAATATCATAGACATTCTTGGTCAGAACTTTTTAAGTAATGACCATTGGATGAATAAAAAAAACTACATATATATTTGAATATATTGTGAATTTTTTTCTCTTATGTTTCACCAGATATAGCTTTACCCCCTTTTCATGATACTACAAACAAATCTGTCACTGGTTGTTTGGGACACCATGTTTCATTATGATTCCTAAATGTGAAATATAAGTGAAAAACAAAACTCATTTCTTGATAAGAAATTGCTTAAATAAATAGCACCTGTATCTGAAGATATCATGTATGAATCCTCTCTGTAATAATTTGATATTAATTTAAATTATATATCTATTTACAAACATTATTCACACTAACTTTTGTTTCGCTACATTTGTTTAAATCTTGGTAGTGCTAGAAGTGTGTTATATTGAGTTGAAATATTTCAGTAAAACCTGTAATTGTTGTATTTGTGTTTTACAGAATTCAGTAGAGACTGGCTACACAGAGAAGTCGAGTGTTGAGGAGGCAAAGAAAGAGATTGAGGCCAGGTACCGACAAGAGCTGAACCGGAAACTGGACGAGGTGAACAACTATCTGGAGGAGCAGGCAAGAACTAGGCAACGACTTGACCTCAGTCGAGACGAGCAGGAAACTAAGATCAGGAATGACAAGAAAAGATTTGAGGTAAATAAAATTTAGGTTTTTCTATTTTGGACAAAGGTTTCTGGGTGGAGGGTGGGGTTTTGGGGGAAGGTTTGTGTAATAAGTTAGTGTTGATAAAGCAATAAGTCAAATGAAAGGAAATTTAAGTAATAACAGTGCCTTTCAAATAGGTAAAGACATAATATTTAAGTTTTGAAAAAGTCTTATTTTGTGAAACATCTAAGTTTTATTTTAGAACTTCAAATATGTTTTACTTTAATATCAGTGAATGCATTGTTTAAAATTTAATACATTTAATGACATATAATCCTTATTTAACCAGGAGGAGTGTATAGATTTACGTATCAAATATGAACAAGCCATCGCCAAACTTGAAACCAAAGATTTAGAGGCGAAGCGGTACAGAGATTTATACGAGAGCGAGATGCAGTGGAGAATGCGACTGAGTGAACAATTGTACAAGTCCACAGACAAGGCATTCGGCTTCAAAAACAAGTTAGTGTATGTAGAATAGAAGTGAACTAATACATGTTGTGAACTTGTGATTGACATGGGAAGTGAGAACGGCAAATTTGATATTTTTTCCTATTAGTATTGAACCAGGCCAGTTCGCACTTAAAATATGAATAGACTTGTTATTGGTCACTTTCCTGTGATGTTATCGATTTAAAATCCCTGAATTTTTTTTCTAATGCTGGTTTGTTATTCTTCAGCCGAAGGGTATTTCAAATTGTTTTCCTATACTTTTACAAGATTAACAGTGTATGCTCCCTTACTGGCACATGTCCTTAACATGTGTAAAGTAGACACAAGAGGAAATATAACTGGTGTTCACGAGTGAAAATAATTTCATAAAACATGTTACTCTATAATTAGATGTTTTTCTCCCTTATTTATTATATCTTTTTTTGTTGAACAAGTCTGATAATCCATGTGTATCATAAAATGACAAAATATAAATTAAGTTATCATTTATCACACACATATTTCTCAAATACTAACAAGTATTTGGCACGATAATGTATTATATTGTTATATAATGTATTACAGTGCCGAGCGTCAGAAGAACAGAATGTATGGCAGTATGACCAACCTGTCGATGAATGGTCACACACTCGACATAAGTAAGTTGAATGGAACACTAGCAGAAGACGCCCTCAGCAATAGATTACGGGCTGAACTTGATAGAAGTATAGCCAAACATTTAGAAGCAGGTCAGTACAATGTGGGCAGCCAAATATACCATCAACATTTATATGTTAGAGAAAAATAGCATTTAAACCATGTCTGTATATTTTGATATATAAATAATGTATTTCTTTTTAAAATTACCGCTTTCCATGCAAAAATTTGTAAATGAACTTGTCCATATTTCATTCTGGACAAAACCATTCATCATTTTTTGGGAAAAATATACACTATCTTAAAAGATAAGAGTGCAGATCATGATCGGATGGCACAGATGTGCTGGCTGATATTTGTCTGCACCGGTCGCATTGTTGACTCAGTCAATGCCAACAGTGTAAAAGTTTATGTTTAGATGCATAAATATATAATATGCCTAGTTAGTTAAATACAAGGCCCATGTATGATATAAAGAGTTTTCAAAAGTAGCTGTATTTTGACTGCAATTTGAAAAAATTAATTTGGTTACCACTTGTCAAATACTGCATCGGCTAAATATATTTGTAGCATGTATGGATATTGAAATGAGTTTATTTCAAAACACAGATAATATTTGTGTATATTGAACTTCAGAAATAATAGTTATAGTTGGTTTCTCTTTCCCATTTCAGCACCACATGATCAAATCCGTCCATTGATACGAAGTGACGACCCAGTTCTCAGTTCAAACTTTGCAAAAGCAAGTGCAGATTATATTGAAGTTTTGAAAAGGAAATATTGTGTATAGCATATACTTATCAAGTGTTGTGATTTCTATTTATTTCCGTCCATTTTGTTTTTAATTTTTTCTGAGGCCAGCTGATGTAAGATACAAGACACTGATCAATTTAATTTAAATTGATTAATTAGACAAACGCTTCTAAAGGTGATGTGCTTTAATACCATGGACATTACATCGAACACATTTATACATAATGTATTAATTCCAAAAGTGCCAGTGCTCTTTGCGTTATTTTAAACGGAGATTATTTTTTATTTGTCTGTGATTATGTTACGACGTCAATATCATTATTCCTCCATCATGTTTCGCAGTCACTCTATAATGACAGAAATAATCATTATTGATGGTTCTTGTATAGTTTTACATTCATTTTAGATTACCACAAACACTGTTGTACTTACTTAGTTAATTCTTACTTCTTTTACTATTTAACATATCTTTACATGCATGTATAAGTATGATTTCATCGTGAAATACTTATTTTGTGTTTTAGTCCAAGAATGTATTCAACAGTTGTTATAGATACACATACTAGCGAAAATAAACATTAGGCATTCATGTAATATTCAACAGCAATACTTTATTAACAAATATTGTACGGGTAAACCACTACCAAAGCTAGTTAATTTTTTTACTCTTAGTTGCTCGTTTTCAGATGTTTAGAACTAGCTTTTAATACATATACACTGTCTTCTTTTAAAGTACATAATTGCAATTAATCTTGAGATTAAGATTTTTGCAGTTTTATAGAAAAAGCAGCTACTTTTACCATTTTTTTACTTTTCTTTATTCAACTCATTTTACTGTATTTTTCCATTCAGTTTTTGATCTGATTTTATTTCCTTACATTGTATGAGAAATGTAATCAGAGCTTCATATTTGATACATGGTATCTAAAACACTAGATTAGACAAGTTTTTTGGGGGATGGTAGGGGTGGGCTAGGATTTTGGTTAAGAATTTGTCGAGTGAATTGCCAAGTTGATATTAAAATAAAATGAAGGGGTATCCTCTTTAGCGTAGAACTTGACAGGAAACAATTAACATAAAGAAATCCAGTTAACTACGTAAGTAATATAAAATATAACTTTTCGTACACTAGCTTATATCTTAGGAGGAAGACCTGCCATGGTGAGAAAGGAAACAGTTCTGTTCTTATTTTTAGTTGTTGTTTTTTTTTTAATCTGTTTTAGTTTTATAATCATGGATGCTTGCTTTTAATTGTACTGCATGTAATTAGGCATTAGTAACATCAAAACAAATCTAATTGTGAAGTTAGAAATGTTGGACACGTGATGTTAGTCGTCAATTTTGCCATCAAGTTTTCCTTTCTCATTAAGGACTTCCTCCACTTTTCGACATACAGAGTGAAAAATTGTTTAACATCATATTGAACAATTCTGAAGTCTTCTCAAGTTTTTTAATATAATTTTATGGTCTGTAAATGTTTTATTTTCATTTTCAAACCTTTTCAGCATGTCATTTGTGTTGAATGTTTACATATCCGAGTCAATATCATTGCTAACATATATACAGATTATTTACATTGTATATAATTATTATTATATATTCAAGTTTTGTATATATATATATTATAAAACTATTTTGAAATAAAAAATATAAGAATAAACATGCATTTTTTATCCTTTTCTTTTACAATAATTATACACTTGGACAACAGAGTTAAGTAAGGATAAAGGGGCCTACTGGAATCAGCTAGTCTGTAGCCCGATCCAAGCTTTGTTCATTTGTCCAGGTCATAACTATTAGAAGAATCAACTTGAAACTTCATTAAATGAATGATCTTGTAAAGAAGAAGTGCAGTTGACATGATGCACAACTCAACAAGAGTGCCAGTTTGTCTCCATGCATGTAGATGATTTGGTACAGACAAAATCTTTACATTTTATCTTCTCTGCTGAGCATGACCTTTCAAACATTGACTTGCACACAGTCGTTCGTTTGAGAAACAATATAATATTATCCTTCAATTTAAGATTACAAAGTTATACATTGTATATACACACAACACACAATTTCATTTTTCTTGACCTACGGCACATTTTTCTCCAACAGAAAAAAGTCATCTTGTCTTAGGAACATGTACTTAACACTATGTCTCATGGTGGTAAACAATTAATGTATGTAAAAGATATGCTCAGCTCATTTCAGCTTTGTGACCTTGATCCTGCATTTACATAAAATTGTCCTATAATTTGCTCAGTCTCATGATTGTAAACATTTTTGATATCATCCCTCAAGACTACTAAATTTTCCATACAATTTCATTAATTTTGATCTTTGACCTCAAGTTTTACTTGGGGGGGGGGGGGACCTGAATTTTGTGTGCAACTTTCCTGTGGAGTTATATTAAAATCTCTATTTCATTGTTGTTCTCTAAGTGTGACATTGACCTAGAGACCTTGTTCATAGGTGCAATACAGCATATTGCAATGGTTAACATTAAAAATTTTGTTTTAAATAATACTTTAATCCTTCAATACATTTAGAAAATAATCTCTGGACAAAACAAAGCTGGCTGATTATTTTACCATCTTGATTGAATTTGTATATATATTATCGACTTTTTTCATCTCTGACCTTTGGTCAAGTTGACCTGAATTTTGCATATGATACGCTGCCTGTTCACTGTGGTGAACATTTGTGTAAAGTTATATTAAAATCTGTAAATGCATGTACAAGTTTTCCTCTGGACAAGTGATTTCCTTGATTTAATCTAAGTGTGACCATGACCTTTGCCAAGAGAACTGGTTCATGGGCATGACACAGCATCTCATGGTGGTGAATATGTACATGTATGTAGAATAAACCGGGAAGTTTTATGTACCTGGATGCCCCGACCCTTTGTTATTTTCATTCTTTTATCTGAAGCTTAACTTTTAAATCAATATGATGTATCAAAATGAAACTTCATAATTTTCTTTCCTATTCCCCACAAGAAACAAGTGTAATATTTCTGGAAGTACAGGCTAAAACATAAATGCTTTTGCACAATGTCTGCAACTTTTTTCATACATGTATAATACATAGAAGTGGATTTAAACCAAAACTTTCTTTCAAGCCAACGACTTTGGTACATGTTACCATCAATACTGAAACAAACATGGTCATTTTTTTAATAAAACGTTTTAACTTTATTAAGTTTATTTAGTATAAAATTTCTATTTTGCTTGAATGCATTTAAGATAAACATGATGTTTTATTCAATATGGATTAACCAAAATATGAAAATACTAAATTTTGCTACTTGTAAGGAAGTTAACTTTATACATTACAATCTTTCACTTAATGGCATTTAATGTCATCTCCTTAATAAATTTAAAAGTGTAAAAATTGTTTTAATGTATCGTGGCATAATTTATATGCTTGTATCACTAAAGTAGTAAACAGTCATTTTTCTAGATATTATTACAATCTATAAACTAAAGAGATAGAGCCAAAATCATTTTTCTAAGATCTTTAACCAATAATGAATTGTAAGAGCACTTAATTGAAAAAAAGCCTCTCCTCAATAAAGTTTCACAATTCTTAAAAATTTCAAAATATCCTTAATTTATAAATAAAAGCATTTATTTTTTAGCCTTTTTAACAATAGCATCAGCAGCTGATTTAAGTTCTGAAATTGAGTCTTCTACATCTTTTCCAAGTTTTTCTAAATGTTTATATTTTTCATCCAATGTTTTTGGTTCACTTTTAATGTCTGAATGAAGTTGAATAAATTTTTTAACATGTTCATATGTCTGGTTTATCTTGTCTCTATCTGACACTGAAGGTTCACTTTGTCCTCCAGTTTGTCCGTGGGAGTTATCCGAATGCTCTGAAGAGTTGTCTTTTGAACACTGTATTGATGAGATATCTGAAACAAAAACACACAAAAAATTCACAACTAATGTCAAATGAGACATCGCATGTAAAATTTTTCAAAGGCAATACATCGATTGACCGAACTAGTTTCTGAACTAGTAGACTAAGGCTATTCTTATCAGTAGAATTGCAAGTAAGGATAGCTGGTTGCGTATCTCACTGTACAAATCATATGTAAAATGTTCTGACTTGAGGTAGGTTAACTGGTTTAACCCTTTTTTAAATACCTTTAGTGTCAAACGATGTGTTGAAATATATACTGACAGTGAGACAAATCTAAGATCACAAGCTTTTAATTAGTGTAATAAATTTTAAAATTGGACATTAAATCACCCCAAACTAGCGGGTCAAAAAGGCCTGAATTTGTATTGTTTGAGCATTTAAGAGATATCGATTTTACTCGAAGATCAGGGAAACGGCTTCTATTTTTTCAATTGATATACCTTGGTTATTTATAAACTGTTATAAACTGTCATACCGGAAAATAATTATTGGGTGTCAGACCTTGAGGGGGTTACAAGAGATTTCTGATCTCGAGACCCTACGCTGGATAAAGTATATAGAGACTGTCAATGGGTGTATTTTGGCTATAAACTAAAAGAAGTTTGTTTTCCAACAAAAAAAAACATTATGTTGTAACAAATTAATTTTAAAGTAAAATAATCATTACGTGTGAACAACTTTGAGTTCTACTGACTTGTCAAAAGTAACTCTGAACAGGTATATATATTATAACCTGCTCTGAATCGAAACCAAGTGCACATATATTTATAAACATCTAGAGAGATGGGCTATTCAGTGCTGTTCTTACTTCTATAAATATATTTTACTCTTAAGTGACGTAAAATAATTGACAAACAGGGAATATGTTTTATCATGATCATATACTCAGTAACTCAATAATATATATGAAACGTGTAACAAAATATCAGATTTTTTATATGATCTTTGTTGAAAACGGAACTACCTGCAAATTGATGCATGTACACAGTGTCATTTTCTGGTGCTGACGCCAAATCTGCGATGATTTGTTCCCGATTTGGGGGTTTAGGTTTATCTTTGTATGAATCTTTCTTAACCATCGTTTAAAGATTCCCTTGCTCAAACAATATAGACCAAAATTTGTCAATAATCTGTTGTTGTTGTTGTGTTAGACAGACGGTTCCGTGTTATTTTACGTCATTGTAAAAATATGTAAATGTGTAAGGTATTACACCACTAATAAGCATACAGGGTCTATTGTATAATGTTTTTGTGTCGCCTTGAAAAGGTGACATATAGGGGTTACTTTTGTCGGCGGTGTCGGCGGCGGCGGCGTCTGTGTCGGCGTCGGCGTCCCCTAAAGCTTGTCCGGAGCATAACTCAGTCACTATAAGTCTGATTGACTTCAAACGTGGTATGCATGCTTCTTTCAATAACCCGAAGTGCAGTGCACAAGGACCGGTACTCTGCAGTTCTTATTTTTAAGTTATTGCCCTTTGTTAATTTTCATACTTTAATTTTGTCCGGGCCATTTCTCTTCAACTAAAAAAGCTATGGACTTGAAACTTCATAGGATGATAGATCTCATTATAAAGAAGTGCAGTGCACAAGAACCAGTACTCTGCACTTCCTAATTTTTGCCCTTTGTTAATTTTCATACTTTATTTTTGTCCGGGCCATTTCTCCTAATGTATAAAAGCCATGGACTTGAAACTTCATAGGATGATAGGTCTCATTAAGAAGAAGTGCAGTGCACAAGAACTGGTACTCTGCATTTCTTATTTTTTGAGTTATTGCCCTTTGTTTATTTTCATACTTAATTTTGTCCGGGCCATTTCTCCTTAAGTATGAAAGCTATGGACTTGAAACTTTATAGGATGATAGATCTCATTATTAAGAAGTGCAGTGCACAAGAATCGGTACTCTGCATTTCTTAATTTTTGGGTTATGGCCCTTTGTTAATTTTCATACTTAATTTTTGTCCAGGCCATTTCTCCGAAAGCATAAAAGTTATGGACTTGAAACTTCATAGGATGATAGATCTCATTAAAAAGAAGTGCAGTGCATAAGAACTGATACTCTGCATTTCTTATTTTTGAGTTATTGCCCTTTGTTGATTTTCTTACTTTATTTTTGTCCTGGTCATTTCTCCTCAAGTATGAAAGCTATGGACTTGAAACGTCACAGAATGATAGATCTTATTGAGTAGAAGTGCAGTGTACAGAAACTGCTGCTCTGCACTTATTATTTTTTTAGTTATTGCCCTTTGTTATTTTTCATATTTCATTTTTGTCCTGGCCATTTCCCCTAAACTACATTGTTCACAAGGCGACACATCCGACTCGCGGAGTTCTAGTTTAGGAATAGGATTCATCATGGTTTAATTTATAAAATTCCAATATATTTTTTGGGGTGAACAGTTATATTAGTCACTTCCATCAGGCAATCAGGCCTTGTAACATTATATTCAAAAGTTGATAACAGGTTAATGTAATTTCAGCATTTGACTAACAGGACCGGTTGGTAATGCTTAAAAATCATTAAAATTGAGTTATCATGTGTTTTAAAGAATAAATCGAGTGTTTTCCAGTTTTTTCAGTGCTTTCCGCTTTCCGGTTTTTCTATGCACCAGACTAGGGTCTTTCTACTTGAAAAACCCTGACCAGACTAAGAAAAAATTTGTTGCACATGGCAAGTGAAAATTGTCCTTGTATTTGGGGAATACGGACAAAAGCCCCCCCCCCCCCCCCGGACAAAAGCCCCGCAGCTAAAAATAACAAGGTGGACAAAAGCCCCCCCCCCCATGAAATTTACACATAGGACAAAAAGCCCCCCCCCCCATCAAAAAATACAGGTAGGACAAAAGCCCCCCCCCCCCCAGAACTTGATGTATTGAGACAAGTCAAATGCAATTGTTTTAAAAGATAATTTACATTAAGATTTAAATTTAAAGGTACAAAAGTTCTAATTTGATTTATTGTGTAATTCGTATATAATTCATTGATGATATGAATGTTTTGATGTTTATTATATATTGTACAGTACAAAATTAATGTAAATGAATATTTTCAGAGAATCATTTATCAATGCTTATCAAGGAAATAAAAGTGGAAGGCGCATACTTGTCCAGATTTATTTGAAGTATAACCCAAGTTCCCTAACACTGGGCATGTGATAAAAGATAGTTATCAGTCTAGTCTATAATGCTTAGGAGGCTTTTGTTTGCTGGACGGGGGGGGGGGGGGGGGGGGCTTTTGTCCTACCTGTATTTTTGATGGGGGGGGGCTTTTGTCCTATGTGTAAATTTCATGGGTGGGCTTTTGTCCACCTTGTCATTTTTAGAAGGGGGGGCTTTTCGTTCAGGGGGGCTTTTGTCCTACACTCTGTATTTGGGCTTGAAGTTAAACAAGTAGGCACTGAGGGCTCTAATAATGTTTCTGTCTAAATATCTAAGCTTTAGGGCTTGTGATTTCTGACAAGCAGATATAAAAACTTTTCTATATTATATCTAAATAAAATCATGTTACCCCAAGAGCGGGGCCAATATATGACTATAATAAGGCTAGTAGGGAAGGAGAATATATCGTTTTTAGAAAAGACTTTCTACAGACACATGGCGATGGTAAACTAAAACATTTTATTCCAGTGAATACTGTCTTCTTTTTAAATAAAGAAAAATCAGTTATATCTAACCCAATCTAAGCAGTTTAATGCAATCCAGACATGGCAACGTTGATATATCTAAGTTAAACATGTTAAAAAATAATAACACTATTTTTAGAATTTCATTTATTAAAAGCAAATAAATATAAGTTACTATTATTATAAATCTTATATTAGAAATATCTTTTATACAACCTAAGTTTAAATGGTACAATAGCTCACTTTCAGTAATGTTTGAACCGAATACTTAATATTGAAATTAAGTACACGCTGAAGTTATGTTTCATGTGCACATATATATACATTTTATAACAAAATAATCATAGACATGGAAATACATGCAAGGTCAGCAAGGATAACGAAGAAATTTAATAATTAAACTGAAAATCAATTTTTTGTTGATTCTTACTGCAACGCTTTTCTTTTTTTGGGGGGTCATTTTACACAATACAAATGATAAATCAGGAAGAATGGGATGAGGGTATGACTTGAAAATTTGGACACATCAATCTTGGAAAATATTTCCAGTCCCGTCATGTCGAAAAACATCAGTGGAGTCCCTTTAAATAAATTCTTTTTTTCAATTATAAGTATCTTAAGAATATATTGAATTTACATGAACATTGAAAAGAGAAATGCAAACATGATGGATAAATGGTAAAAATAAAATTTATGATTTGATTTAAAAAAAAAATGCTTTGTAAAAAAATATCATCACAAAGTAAAACAACCTTAAGCAAGAGCCATAAAATATGTGTTTTTTAAAGTATACAATATGGTATTATTTGGTTTTGATCCATGCTTCAGTTATGGACCTTGGATAATAATAATTCAAAATATATCGTATGAGGATTTTACCTTGAATTAATATTATTTTTGTTCACTTAGTGATGATTTGTGCATCTTTTTTATTGGCTGCAATCATATTTAAGGATGGTTATAATTTACATGCATATTAAATTCTGACATTACTGGCCATTTAATTAGTTTCAATTTTGTAAAATAGGAGTTTACACATGTCTGGATTAGAAAATAGATTTTTCAACAAACAGATATTCTGTACAACTAACATACAGTACACTGGTTTTGGATATCTGCATTATACTTCCTGTCCAGCTCATAGTACCACCTTTTTAAACTAGGTATACCAATTACTGGACAATGAACTGATTTATTTGATTTCTGCTCTATGTTGAAATAAAAAAATCATTTGATCTCAACTTTGTTTTCCCTTAAAGTACTACTGTATTTAGATTTTATGTATTAATACATGAGATGAAAAATAAGCACATATCTGTTAAAGTAGTTCCTGTAATTTCAATGACAAATAAATCAAAATTTTATAATCAAAGTTCTTGCAGGAAAAGGTTAATAACAAAAAATTTGTAACAGTGCATATTTAGATTTAAGTCATCATGTTAGTTTTACTTCAGATATTACATGAACTGTTAGCTTTTCTGATAAATGATAAATGATGTATTTTTTGTCTTCAATAAAATTGACATTTAATGTCTTTAAAACCAATACAATAACAAATACAACTTTAACCTATTCCAAAAAGAAAACAGACAAAAATCACATACTAACTTATTCTATAATTAGTATTTACATCTGAGCAGGTAACTTTGATTATTAATTTTGACAATCATCAGTTGCTGGTACAGATCGAAATATCTAGTTTGAGGGTAACTGTTTACGGTGGTAACAAGGCTCTGCCGACATTTTACTAAACAGTTACCCAAGTGCTAGATATTCATGTCTGTGACGACAGCAGTTGTTTGATTCTTTTTCTAGCATATAACACGATAATCATATTCAGATAAGAAATTATGTAAAATTAATATTTACATTTAGCTAGAACACAATTCATTTATAAACACTGGAATGACGTCATTTAAAGCTTAAATATGGGTTGTAGGACAGATTTTTCTAGAACCAGTGTTCAATAGAATATCCTGTCTGATATGCAAGATGTCTTTATATTTTACTGAGAATGACACACTTGCATGTAAATGTATATTAATCATTTTGATTTTAAATGCATTCATTCATACAGGTTCATTTCAACAAATGCCAACAATATTGAGGTAAAATGGTAACCATGGTGACTACAAGTATCAAGCTACCCTTGTATGGAGAAAAATGTATGGTGATGATGATGTGTTTAAGGCAAAACCAGATACCCAAGTAGAACTGTCTATTTGAATTGATTTCTGATATGGGATTGAGGTCAAATCATTTTAAAATGAATTATTCAATGTCAGACAACTTACATGTAGCTAGACCCTTCTGAGGACATTTTATGCTAAAAGGCATTTGTCTTTTGACACCAAAAAAAAAGTCGAACATCAAAAGTCAGGTCACAACATCATCACTTAAGTCATGCACATTGTTTGTACATGTAGAGTCTAATATGCATATAAAAATATTTTAACTTAAATAAATATAGGAATGTTATGTAACTTTAAAGAGTATTTACATGTAGCGATAACAGGAAAAATAAATATGCTAGCATGTACCAGTACTTTAGAAAATAAAAATGTGAATTTCCTTGTATTCACATTTTTTAATGTCATATCTTTAGCGAGTTTGAACAAAAAAATGTGTCACTGTTATTTGACATTCATGAATTATGCAAGAAAAAAAGGATATTTGCTTCTTTTTGTGTAAGACAAAATTTCCTTTTTATTGAGTAAGCTTCAAAAGCAGTACAGTATTTTCACAAATGGCATAGAGTAAAACATTCCCTTGCAAAATAATCAAACACAATTTTAGTATGTACTGTTGAGGTTTATAATTTTTAAACAGCCAATGGGTAAAATTGTATAAATTCAATAACATTATGTAAAGCTGTTAAAAAGAATCTAACAATAATGTATATCATTGGTGAACACAATTATTTTCCAAAAACAAATTGCAAGTGTATAACATATCAAAATATAAAATATATACAAAATGTAGTTTGATTTAATAAGATATCAGTTTCTCATTTAATATCAAATATTTTTGTAACATATTTTGAAGTCTAAAACAAGACTTAACAATTATGCTATGATCTGCATCATTTAGAATATACAATTCATGTTACAAACATATTTTGAAGCAACATAAAAACATATAAATTTAAGTGTGGATCCAGGATATTTTTCACCAGAGAGTGGGTCACAAAATTAGAAAGAGGGGGTAATGCATATTCCAGAGGGAGTTCAGCATTTAACTAATATTCCAGAATGGGTGACAAATCAAATATTTGCTTAATTATTCAGATTTTCACAATTTTTGCATGATTTTCAATAAAGAAATGTAAGTTGAAAATCTAATTCTCAGAGGTGTTTTTTATACCCCTTATTCACACATGTTATTTATAACAAAACATAGCATTATCTCAAAATGTACATGCACACAAAAATTTACATGTATTAATTACATGCATCTACAGTAACATTATGAAATTATTATACAGCCATATCACATATGCATGGAACAGTTGATACAGTTGTGTCCTTATTTTCAATAATAAAATTCTTTAATCACAGATGTTCATTTTTTTAAATCAATAAAAAACAACAAATGATCAAGATATCAGGCAGTTCATTCAGATATAAAAATGAGATGTTTGTAAAACATGTGTTACAAGCTAGATATGTAGTTACCAGTCACATTACAAAAGCCATTACATCATTCTATTGCTATTGATTGGACCTTGATTTTTGACCTACTGACCTCAAAACTACTAACGGTCACCAACCTCCCTCCTGAGAACTGACAGGCAAAGATTTCTTGAGTTATCCATCGGGCAGTATACCCCTGCTTCTCTATCTATATGTGGGCATAAATACGTATACCAGTATGTGAATTGGTCTTCTATGCAATTTTGCACTCATCAGAATTTTACTTTCATAGACAAGAGCCCTGTGAGCTAGAACTTTAAACACCTGAAACATTGCTATCCTAAGATATGTAATGTGATCAGAAACAACCAGAACAAGTTATTGATAAGACAAGGATCATACGATAACACTTGATGACCTAAAAATCATCCACTGGCCATAAGCAATGTACCTTCCAAATTTTATCAGTCTGATTTATTACTTCTTAAGTTACTGAATGGACAAGGATTGTCCAATAAGTGTCACTGTGACCTTGACCTTCTGACCTCAAAATCCTCTATTGACCATGTATGAATTATGAAGACTGATTGTCAAAAGCCATACCATAATAAGGCTGAAGTTACTTTCAGGTGTACAATACAATATTATTGATTTAATATATTTCTAGAAAAGTACAAAAAAAATTAAATACAATGTACAGTTTTTTACATCATAGCTTTAGTGTATAAAATAAAAGTGTGGTTTTATTTGAACCTATTGATAACAAATTCATTTCCAAACTGTCCCTTCCTGATGTCCTCAGATATTAAAACATAACTATTTTCTCAATAACAAAATATAAAAAGTGAGCAAAGAAGAAACCCTAAATATCACACCCTGACTTAAAATGACAAAAGACTTTGTATTCACAATCAATTTATTATCCTGTATATAATATTTTTTTAATAAAAAAAATGAATTTAGAAGTAAAAAAATAAACTAAAACAAAAACGCACAGTCCATAGTTAAGACTGTCAAGAGTTTTTGAATGTATTATGAAATGTAACTAAATGCAATATATCAGCGGCCAAAAAGATCAGCCATTTGCTAAATATACATGTACCTTCATCTGAAGATATTGTTTTATAGATGAGAAAAAAAAACACAAGAACATATGCGTATAAAATAAATGTGTTGGGACTATTTTTAGACAAACACGACATCATGTCAGCAACTACATCCAGATGCCTGAGGTTTATCATTGGCTGAAGGACGTATAGTGGGTGTGGTCATACGGAGCGACTCAGAGAAATCATCTAGAGTACTATGTTTTGCCATCATTTCCTCAATCAGAAATCTGCAAAAAATTAACAGTTTTCTTAACTTAAGTAAAATTAAACAACTGAAATGCAAAAAAATGTTTCACTGTTACTTTTTTACTATAATTAAAATTTTAGCACAAAGATTGTAACTTGCAGCTTTAATTGAAATAAATATAACATAGAGGTTGCGATTTATTGAAATTTAATAGTTAAACATGTTACATGTAGCTATTAAAGACCAATATATTGATATTCAAGGGAAGAAATTCAAGAAATATGGTGATATTCATGGGAAGAAATATGGTGTTATTTATGGGTAAAAATATCAGTTATTTTTGCATAAAAATATTTACATTTGTACATGTATGTATTTCTTAAGCTAAAGTTTATTTTCCCTTTTTATTACCTTTTTTTTAATTACAGTTTTTGAGATCGCAATTCATGAAATCTGGTTATTGAAAAATACAATCAGAAATGTTTAAGGAAGTACAATAACATCACCTCATAGATTCTTCTATCATCAGACCTTCTTTAACAGAAATCTCTGTCCAGCCAATAAAATCATGTTCTTTACAAACTTCCTCAATCTCTGCCTGTTCAACTTCACGATGTTTCAAATCACACTGAAAAAAATAATTTGTAAATTGATTGACACAGTTTAAATTATACTATATTGAGTGTTTTTTGTTGTCTGGTACAAGCATTTAATCAACTTGTTGCCTGTAACTGTTTAGGTCCTAGCTGCAAATTGAACATCTTTTAGTATAAAGCATGTTATATTTTATTTAATAAATGAGGAGTGTTATTGATAGTTAAAGAGCTTTGATGGCTATTCAAAATCAATTATAAGTGTTCACTGAAACACTATCTTTAACTTGTGTTTAAAACCACTGACTTGTTGTATTGTCAAACCTTAAACTGTAATATCGTTATTATTCATGGGGCACTAAATTTTGTGGTTCTCATGGACAGGCCAATCCAAGAAATACTAAACAAAATTTTATTACCTCTGCTCATAGTTCAAACTCGAATTTTAGAATGTTTTACAAAAATTTTATAAAATAATAAACTTATTCCTATTCTTACATATTATAGACAGTAGCGTAAGTGTTGTCTATACTGATGAACTTTTAGACAATGTTTGTGTAATGCTAGTGACTGGGAATGACCATCTACAATCTAAAAAGTCACCAGATGCATAATTTCTTTAGATACCACTCAGCAGGCTGCGCTTATAAGACACACTTATAACATTTTAGCAAAATTTTCATGTCCAAAACTGCGTCTTATTACTGCATATGTACCTTAAATATATCTTTCTTAAGTTTGATTTTTTACTCATCTAGCGGTAGGCTGCTTTAATCTAAGATATTTTGATGCATTATATTTTAAAATCAATAGCCTTTACCATATGGACTTGTCCATCTTTCAATGTGGACAAAACCATTCATTGTTTTTAAGGAAATTTTCAAAATATGTACTGAATGAATTGGGAACTGTGCAGACCATGACCAGAAGGCATTGATGTGCTGGCTGATATTGGTCTGCACTGGTCTCATAGATAGAATCAGTCCCTGCCCCCAGGTTAAAATGAACTTTACTTGATAATACTTACTTTGTTTGCTAACAGAAGACAAGGGACAGACGTGCCATCAGGTAATGTACATTTAGCATCCAGGTCTTTCTTCCATTTCACTGTATTTTGGAATGTGAGGCGCTGTGTAAGGTCAAACATGACTATACAGGCGTGAGCATCTTTATAATAAACCCTCGTCATCGATGTAAATCTTTCCTGACCTACAAAACAAATTGTAACTTAAAATTACCGGTATCATGTCCTTTTAATTCTGGGGTTGGATTTTACAACACACCAACACTGTAAAGGTTATATGGTACCCTTCCCTACATTATTTCAAGCACAAATGGGTCATATCTGGCTTTAAAAAAAGCAACTTAAAAATGTAATGACTTTGCTGTTTCATCACAGAAAAAGTTTACATAACCTCTGTCATAAGGATAATATTTTTTCCATTTTTTATGGGAGCAAATATATATGTTATTATAACAAGTTGATACATGAATGAATTTAACGATACTTGTGTAAAATAAGTGTAACATACCAGCAATGTCCCATAGCTGCAATTTTATGTTTTGAGAATCGGACCATTTGATAACTTTCAGGGCAAAATCAACTGAAATTGAAAATTAAATATAATTCAAATTAAAATCATTTACCTATATCAGAAATGTTATTATCATCTTGATTTCAGCTTCCAAACTACTTAAAATTAAAATATATTACAAGTTGGTTTATAACGACTATGTGAAAGAAAGATTTCATTAAAAAAATACATCGCATAATTATATTACAAGTCTTCGATACTGACCAAAGAATTTTGATGGTTCACAGAGGGCCATAATTTAAAATCCATGTCATATGCTATAATTATGGGACTTGGACAGTGGCCTCTAATTAGGATATTAAGGTTCAAGAAGATAATTTGAGTTGTTAAGAATAAAGATGTTACATGCAAAACTTTTTTTTTTGCCATTTTTTTTTTCTCAGTTCACAAAGGGCCATACTCCAGGCAAAATCCATGCTAGAGGAATGAGGCAATAGATAGTGACCTAAAATTATGATCCCAATGACACTGTCATCAAGTTTCAACCTTTAGAAGTTTTGAAGATTGATGTTATTGTAAAACTTTAGCCAAGATATTTTAAAGTTTACAAAGGGCACTTATTTACTCAAAATCTATGCTAGAGTTATGGACCTTAATATACATGTAGTGACCTCATACGGTAATATGATCTAAAATGAGTCACAGTTAAATAAAAAGCAACTATGCTAAGAGGTTGATGATGTAATATGATGTTGTATAAGAAGTTGCACATAAAAACTTATATCTAAGTGTTAAGCCAAAGATGATGCCAATGCTTTGGTGCACAGGACAGCCCCATATTTCATCGATTAGTTCAGTTAATAAAACATGGAACATTTAAATGATTGATGATGAAATGAAAATATGGAATTGTAAACTTTTAAGAAAAAAATATATTATGAGCCTAATTTCTTTATTGGAAATGGTTATTATGTCAACTTAATCTAGTGCATTCTCAAGTAAGCAGTGAATTTTTGGCATAAGATATAATCATGTTCTGTTTGTGTAATATATAACATTATACATGGTTTTATGAATAAAAAGTTCCTAACATTCAAATTTGCTGCTTATATTATTTTCAATAGGTAAATCTGAGACATGATACCATATTATGAGACAAGCATCTGGAGATTAGCACAGCGTTATCTTTCCATGCAATAAGGCGCACCCACTTACAATTTGTCTTTTTATTGTTGTGAAAAGATTTTATTTTCTGTAGTTAATGGTGTAAATAAAAAAAAAATATGAACCGACTAGATATGAAAAATTTAAGAGTCCTCTTGTACATGTATTCAAACAATTTTAACATGATATTATGAAAAGTCATTAACGTATTTTTATGGATCAATATACAATTTTTATATGATTCATACACTATGCTTATCTAGCTATTGACTGTCAATTGGGCAGTGATTTTTTTCTGCATTTTACAGCTGAATAAAGGCTGTTTCCCCTAGCCCAAAATACGTATATTTTCCCCTGAGGAAGCTTGATAAAGCGAAACATGTTTTGATACTTAATTTGTGTTGGTTTTTGATCCAATTATCCTATATTTTCCCCTTAAATTCTTCACCAGAACCATGACTGCAACAGCTGACTTATATCAGCTAGAAGACAGAAAGCTGTCCCTATAGAAAGCCTCTGCTAAGTACCAATTTCCATGCATGTTACATTGAATTGAAATTGAAAATTTTAAAACATGTGTGTGTAAATTCCATTCTCAGTCTTTTCTGATTTATTGCGCTGTATTTTCCCCTTCAGAAAGCCACAGGTTGTTTTGAAAATTGAAAAAATAATCACTGATTGGATGACTACATATAAGACCACTTTCCTAGAGGATAGTCTAGATAAGTCCCATTTGTCTTGTTACATAATTATGTACATGTATATTAAGTCCCAGCTTATTGAATAAAGCAGAATACACCGATAGACACTTTCAGAACTAGCAGATGACAGGCTATTCATATCAGTAGAATTTCGAGTAAAGATAACGGATTGCGTATCTCACTGTATAAATCATATGTAAAATGGTCTGACATATGGTAGGTTTAACAGTTAATTAAAATACTTTGAAGTCCAAAGATGTGTTGAATTTTATACTGTGACGAAGCTAAGATCCAAAGCTTTCTATTGGTGTAATACATTTTAAAATCGGACACTTAATGACAACAAACTAGCCGTTTAAAAACAGCTTATTTTGTATTGTTTATGATGAAATTCTTACCACCAATGGTCATTTTATAATCTCTCCTGTATAGATTGTTGACATATCTCTGAACAAACGAAGTCTTCCCCACAGTTGGGTCACCAATGATTAGCACTTTAAACAACACTTCAGTCATTTTGTCATTCTAATTTATACTTTGTTCAAGTTGACCGACATATAAATTCCTCCATTTTACGAAACAATAATTATTAAATGTCTATGCCTAATCTGAAACAGAACTGATAAAAGAAAAAAATTATTGAACAAGTATTTTTTATTTGGAATTTATTTAAATTTGTCTAAAAAGCTGCCACTGTTAACATTATTTTGAACAATAATTGAATAAAAACATGCATTCATTTCTCATCCCCTTCAAAAAAGTATTTTTAGGTTAAGCTAATATACCAGGGACTAGATCAAACTTATAATGTCATTCAATAACTCAGTTTAACGTGACAACTTTGTGGTATAACAATATAGCACGTGAATATATCTAGTGACCATATTAAAACTCTTCTTTCATTCATGAATCATGGCCCTGATTTCCAAACAGGAAGGAAGTTAACACTTAAAATAAATCATGATATATTAAGGCCAGGAAGTTATTCAATATTCCTTAACAAAGCAACAAACACTCACTGTTTTTAAACTGTGACAATGGATTTCTTGTTTCCAATTCGTATTTTTCTGACTAAAAGTCACGGGATTTGTTTTTATTGACATCCACCATTTTTACAGGTATCGGTATCACATGACATGTCATGTGATTTACATCAGCGGACTAAGAAGGTTGAACGCTACTAAATAATTTCCATATTCAGTAGCATTTATAATCAATTTCTACTGTAAGCATAAAGTACGGGAAAATATGCCGATTTTATGTTAGAAAATGAAATTATTGATTCTTTTTCGAGGTAAGTATTTGAAGAGCAACTCGATTATCTCCATGTTTTGATTCTAAAAATATACTTCCAAACCCCATGACAATTTTGTGAAACCTAGCATGAATGTTAATGACATTAATGACATCTTTTCTAAATGTTTTCCCTTTATATGTGCGATGTGCAAATATTTTGAAAACATATCAGGAATTCGACACAAAAAAGATAAAAAAAGGAGAAAAGGACAGGAAAGCATATAACCCTGTATAGCTTACATCTAGGCATCTTTCTTTCTGCTGACTAACCATGACACAAACATATCGCATTCATAACAAATAAAGCTTTGAAAAGGGAAAATATAATAGGTAAATTGCAATTCTCTCTGGATCGTTAACCTTTGGAAATTATTTATATGACATTTTTAGACCAATTTTGGAATATGGTGATGTAGGCCTTTTCTTCTCTCTATTTTCCCATTATTTCGTTTTCTTCTTTTATATACATGTATATATATTTTTTATTTTAGATATATATATGTCAAGCTGTAAATCTACTCTATAAACTTTTTTATATGTAATACGTATTCCATTATCTTGTAGTCGGTGTAAAAAGCTCATCAGAGCTTATGTTTATTGTTGATGTATCCGACTTATAAATAAAATTTACTTGACTTGCCATGACTTGAGTATATTCTAAACATCGCATTGTTCGCCAAATATGTAGAAAATCATCAGGAATTCGGATTACGAAAATAAGCCGCTTTGAACTCATCAGCTAGTGCACATTTCAACATGTCAAGGAGTTTACCAGTATTTCAGAATGATGTACAAATTGTCAGATTTCGAAACAAGATCACGATTGCTTCTGATTCCGAATTCTCGACTGATATTTCTATAACTTATGTCAGATTCGGAATATAATATGAACACATTATTGTGAGTTCCCTTCGTGTAAGTGTAATTGTGATTTCCTGTAAGAAATGACAAAAAAATGTTTAAATGAGTTTTCTAGGAAATCCCTTTTAATTATACTGCTGCTCCATTTTTATTTGAACTCTATAACTTCCATTGATAACTGCATTCAATTTCCCGAGAAAAAGACGTGTGAAATTCAATAAACAATATTGAACTATTTATCTTGAATATGTATACTTAATTATCATATCATTTTCTCATTGTAAAATAGGGTTAAATCTTAAGAAAATGTCGTCTAAACCATGGCCCGTGATTTAACAAAATAAAGTAAAACAGAATCCCCAAAGAAAGTCCAACACGGCAAAATTGAAACTGTTGCAGGCTCGGTTTGATTGAGCCTGTTCATGAATGGTACTGGAAAGTGCAAGTTACCGTCCACGCCCCCTACCACCGGCTTAAGCAAAATTGAACATTAAAACACGAAAATGGTGAAATTTTGAATTTAGAAACATCCGCAAATGTGTCATTTGGTCCAAATATCAAAAATATTTGTACATAAATTACTAACTTTTACAGAATTCAAATAAATTTTATAATTGTCCTTTAGGATGAAGGTTTCGCCCAGAGTGTCGGTATGTCCATATATGAAGCAAATCCATTCAATTATAACATAGACTTGGCCAAATTTTATTAAAGTTCAATAGTTTGCATTGACTTTAAAGGTCAAGATCTATTGACGGTCAATGTCATTCTTGAATTACTCTACTTGATGGTTTTATCCTAAATAGTGGTTAGTATAAATTCAAACAAAATCAGTCTATAAATAAAATTGCTTACCATGACAACTGTATGGTAAGTTTTGGTTAAAGCATCCATTAAGTGTTCCATTTATAAAAAAGTAATGGCTTATTTTAGAGAAGAAACAGCTACTTTTTTCACACAGGTCAATGCAAAGCAAAGGCCAAGTTCAGTTTGAACTACATATAGATATTTTCTTACAGGAAGTTACGGAGCCTTGAATGAATACAAAACATCCAATTATGCCATGGCCAATTTTAGAAATATTCAATAACTTGACCTTTCAGGTCATTGTCATTTACAGGTCAAGGTCAAACTTGAGTTACCAATTTATGCTTAGTTTTATTCTGTTCTTGTATGAATCAAATCCATCAAAAATAAAATTATGGCAAATTTTAGCAAAATTCAAAAATTTGTCAAGGTCATTTTAAAAATTTGATGTGTCATGTTCAGCACCACCTACTGAATGTTATTAAAGGATTATATGCCGGAGAATGAATACATTACATCGATGTATAACAAAGTAAAAGCCAATTTATATAGTCAATTTCAGCAAAAGAATAAGCAATTAACCTTAAAGGGCAAGGTCATTTATGGGTCAATGTCAATATGTGCAAGTTGACTTCATGACAAAAACCACTGTCAAGTTTTATTTAAATAAGTTGAGCAGCTTAAGAGGAGAAACCAGTATATAAGTGTACCTTCCTAACAACTTCCGTTTTGTGTGGAAGAGCGGGGGGGGGGGGGTCAAAATATACACTGTATAATGTATATCTTAATAGGTACGTTTTCTTAAAAAAAAACACAGAGATATAAATAAGTAAAGAACACAATTTATTTGATCTGTCTTTATATTTGATACATATATAAATATCGGCGCTTTACAAATAACTGCACTACTGCAGTATGGCTCCATTGTTAAATAGTAACATATTCATTTAAATGTATGCTAAAGTAGCAGAGTGTCTCAAAACGAACTTAAGGTTTAATTCTTTGACTTTAATTCTGAGTTTTTAAGTGACATGAGCTATGCAATCAACTAAGTTCTCATACACTTCAAATTAAAAATAAAATAAATAAAATTCATTTCAAATTAAGTTGTAGAAATAATGTAAGAGTTTTCCCCTTATACAGGTACATTAGTTATATATTGTCCCTTTTCCACCAGAAGTTATTACTAGATATACATTTAAAAATAAATTTTATGTGTTGCTCTGGTACTCTTAACATATTCAAATGAGAAATATAGTTGTATTTCTTTAAAATAAAACAATGGACTGTCTCTTATCTGAATGTACATCAACGAGATCTTGTTCATTTCAGGATGTCATGTCTTTTTTCCTGTAAATAGAAGAAAAACATCTTTGGATATGAGGAATTATTTCTATAACAGTAGAAACAGATTTGAAATTCAAATGTAGTGCTTGCCCGTCATTATTATTTAGTTGCCTGAAACCGGAGCACCTGTTGTGGGATTAATTTCCTTTGACATTTTCAAATCTACACCGCCTTATCTAATCGGCATATGTTAGATTTTACCGTTCGATACAACAAAAAGTGAAACCGGAAGTATTGATAAGCGTACTGTTGCCAAGAAACAGGGCATCTTTTGGAGAAAAAAGTCATTTTCTTGCATGCGTTTACGTCGATGTGAACAACGATCGTAGGTGTTGGAATTCAACCACAATGAGCACAAAACCAAACGCCAAAGCGTCCAAAAGAGACAGGCCAAAGTCATCTGGTCAGTTAAAACGACAAATATGATCCTTTTTTTTATCAGTTTAGTGGTTCATTATACAGATCTATTTAGGTCTTAAGACAAAAGTATTTGCCATATGTATTTAAATTATTTCCATATTTGTACACTAAATTGTTCACCCCAATATTCAAAAATTTGCTTAAAAGATTGTTCTACATATTTTGTTTGCAACCAATAGTCTCCCTTTGATTGAGAATCTATGTAATGCATCTGGTCCAGGAATACTGTTTAATGTTGAGCTTTACATATCCTTAATTATAAACTCAAGATGATTTGAGAATTATGGTATGTGTGGCAAAACTTTGGGGCCAGTTGCAGGCCCCTTATATCATTTTTTCATACAGAAGCTTTGGCATGTCAAACTACATGTATTTGACTAGATTATAGCCAAAGTCTCAAAATACGAACTAGAGCCCTTAAAGTCCTACTGTTTAAATAAGATAAGTAGAACTTTTATATGTTGAATTTTCTGGGTGTGTCGTGTGAAGTTAAATGTAAGTCTGGATTTTTCCCTTATTTATGTGTCGATTTTTTCAATGTTTCAAATTTCCTATACATGGTCAGTAAAGAAAAATCCAACAACATTTTACCATAAATAAGTGAAAGTCCATCCATTAATTTGACACCTTCGAACACGGGATATTTTCACAGCTTTTCTAGTTGCGATCACAACTTTCATCCATTTATACTAAAATAAAGATAAGGTAGAAAGGTTCAGCGTCTGAACTTTCACCCGGCCTCATTTTAAGTTTTAGAAACAGAAATCATTTCTGAGTCGACTACACTTAATTTGGTGAAAATTTGTTGAAAATTAACAAAGATTTGGGACTTAAGATAAGGCCGGGTGATACATGTAGTTCCGCCAGTGAAACTTTTGACCTTGTCTTTATTTATTGTATATTTAAAAAATAAACTGCAAAAATTAGATTACTAAAACCTAATGTGGTGTGATAATCACACTAACAGGACATATTCACTGTCAGGTAATCTTGTTTTCCTCCTTTCTGGTTATTAAGCTTTTAATTACTCACTTGTAAACATAGACTGCTTGAAATGTTTCCATTTGAGACCGATTCATGAGTTGAAGTCCCGATGTGTCGAAGATTCTATACAAGTCCCCTTCAACTTTGACTTACAGAAGTTCTACTGTACTTATGATGAGAAAGTATAGATTTATTCATATGCTGTATTTATAAATCTATATCAGCATGCAACATACAACTATTAAGCATCCTGTATGCCATGTAGAGCGTATGCTTAATTTTATACTTAATTGCAACATTTTACATAGTAAACAACTTAAACACACAATGACTGTTAAATTGTTAATTGTGAAAAACTTGGCTTTAATTAAATATTGATACACTTATACAAACAACTTAGAATGGCTTTTTTTAGATAGATTAGAAACAAAATTTGTTTGATCAAGGTCTCATTTTTTGTAGACATAAAATACAGCTGTTTATCTACCATTACAAGATGAATACAACTTTTTGTGAATGCAAGTTTCGTTATTGCTTAATCTTTCAGTCAGAATGTAACAAATTCCTTGGGTGACTAGATGGGTAGATAATGTCCAACTGTTGTTGGTTCATCCCAAGGAAGAGATGGAAAGCAGTATACCGGTGATTTTATGTTTTGCAGGCTTAGCTTTCCAAAAAATGTATTTAAAATGCACATTTTAAAACAAAATTATTTCAATTTTGTTGCATCAAGCTACCTATTGCTAATGCAGTGTGTTTTTTTATTGTTATTACAGACTCATCAAGTACATTATCAATGTCTTTGAAAGGACATTTATTGAGTATGGCATAAACATATTATTTTCTTTTATTAATATTTGTATAAAGTCATGGCTTTGGGGTTTCTTAGTAGATACTTTGATATCTTTGTATACAGGTTAAAGTTCATATATTAACGATTAATCGATTAATACTCTGATTTTTTTTATGAATTATGAAAATGTTTAGATAAGTAATTATATCAAATTATTCTAAAACTATTTTAATTATTCTATGTAACAAACTTAAAGTTAAAAAGATGGCTGTCGTCATCATTTGATGTAGAGAATGATGGGTGTTTCTCTGGAATGTGGCTTTAGATGGTGAAACTTTTTTTGTTGCTATGTTTAAGTTATTGTAAACATTTTTAGATGTTGCTTGGTTTATAGGTTTTATTTGAAATAATTCTTATATACTGTAGGTTTTGAAGATTTTATTTTGGAAGTTGCCTAATCTTGTAGTTATCAACCAGTATGACACGATGTTGTATGATGTACTATAAATCCAAATAAGTCATTTCCTTGTTTAGAGTTATAGGTAATACAGCTCAAATCACCGAGTAAAATAATAATTGGTGTTTTTAAAGGTATCCAATCAGTCTGTAGTGAATTACACAAACTATGCTACATCCCAACTTATCAAACTGATGGGATATCATGCTCCTCGAACCTGAGACTTTACCATACTTGATTTTTATAAAATGCATGAGCCGCGCCATGACAAAACCAACATAGTGCGTTTGCGACCAGCATGGATCCAGACTATCCTGCGCAGTCTGAGCAGGATCCATGCTGTTCGCTGTCAGTTTCCTTTCTTGTAATAAGGTTTGTAGGCAAACAGTATGGATCCTGATTAGACTGCGCGGATGCGGGGGCTGGTTTGGATCCATGCTGGTCGCAAACGCACTTTGTTGGTTTCCTCATGGCGCTGCTTAATAATAAATGTAAGCTGAATTTTAACTTACCTATAATTTAATATTAAATAGATACATGTATAAGTTGATAAAATTATCCTTGTAATTTTTAAAACACCAGGTGGTAATGTGCTTGGTACGGTAGCACTAGTGGCTACGATGTCAAAACGTAAGTATTTAATTTCCTGGTACCTTTGTAAGTACAGTATCATATGTTTTGGTAATGTTATTCCATCAGTTATAAATTGACTGTATTTATGACAGGGTTAAATTATAAAATGTGATGTACTTATGATTGAATATGTGACTGTTTTAAAGGTGGCAATACTGTTTTCAATGGAGCTACATGTTATTATCATTGTAAATGATTAATCTTTGCCTACAACCATGATAAAATATCTGACTTGCAGGGTCTTCAAATAAGCTTTTTTACCTCATGGGTTAATGTTTGAATGAAATTCTTTGAAAGATTTGAATTAAATTCTGCGAAAAGAATGTAAATACTTACCAGCAGAAGTATCGGGAATGTTCTATTTTTTCGTGTTCATGTTCCTCATTGGTTGTTCTTAGTTGATTTGTTGAAGTTGTTTATGTTCTGTTACCCACACAGCATTTTGTATTTGTTTCTTTGTTATGAATGCATTGCCAGCGGATGAACTATTAAGATCAAGTAGAAAAAGACCAGTTAAGCTTATCATATAATTGTATGTTGAAAAATATCAGTTAGCTGACCAAAGAAAAAATTATGTGAGTTGGTCAGGAAATTATTGCATTAATTCCTGCATTTGTTAATTATTAATCAGACAGAGTGTTCAGAGTTTTCATAATTATCAGATTGATGATCCATACTATTGGTTGAAATGCTGTTAAAATGGTTGCATTATCAGTCAGTAGATTAAAATATCCCCTTTGACCAAATTGATAGCTGGAGGCCTATGTTACAAAAATAAACTTAACCATTGCTACTATTACTATTGTTTTTGTTGGCACATCTGTTGTCTCAGTAACAAGAGCCACCTCCAGACGGGAGTAACGCTTGACTTTTTTTTAAATCTCTCTGAAAGCAAACAAAGGTTTAAACAAGTCTTTAAAAAGAAAAAAACAATTAAAATTTTATCCTTTTTTTATTTATTTTAATAGGTATGTCTAGTCACTGTGTTCTTTTCCAAGCGTGAATCATTTCCATAAATAATTGACAAAGTTACAAAATTTTAATATAAGCAAAGCTCAATCATCTGACATTGATATTAGATAATCAAGGTCATTTAAAGATTTAAAAGTCAATGTCTTATCAAAATTATTCAGCATGTCCATTTGGTCACAATTGTTGTTTCAAATCTAAATTCTTAAATAAGAAATTATGACAACCAAAATTCAGTAATTAGACTTTGACTGTCAAGGTCATTTAAAGCTAAAGCTTAAGGCCAAGGTCAGTTCAACCTTTAGCAGGTCTTGTCTCAAAGGTTGTTTTGTCCAAGTATGAAGATAATCCATTGTTTAATTACCAAGACAAAGTTACAGCCAATTATAGCAATAATCAGTGAAAATTCCATAATTTGACCTTGAGGGTCAAGGTCATACATGAGTTAAGGTCAATTTAAGTAAGGTCAAGGTCATTTATGAATAAAGGTCAAGTTTAGTGTGGTTTACTTGAAGGTCTTGTCCCAATGGTTGTTGGGGCCAAGTGCGAAGAGTCTGAGTACACCAACAACTTAAAAAGTAATGATCAATGTTAAAGTTTACAGATGGCATTGACAATGGGAATGCTGCAATGACTGTAACAATACCTCTATTTTTTGTCTTCCAAAAATAGTTAAGCTAAAGACGAAAACTTTGAGTGTTGTGTTAGTAGAAAAAACTTGATATTTTTCAATCTCTTCTGTTTGTGTCTTCATTCTATAAAAAGAATTTTATAATGAATTGATGGATGGAACAGGTTACATTTAAGACTTTTATGTTAAGACAATGTGACACATTCTCATTTTATTAATGACAACCAAAATATGAAAATTCCATTATCAATTTTGGAGATATCACCATGAAATTAGAAGTTCAAGGTCAGCCAACAGTACATGTATAGAGCCTGGTGTGCAGGTTGGCCAGACAAAGATTAATAAATTTTGGCTTCAGCAGGTTTAAGGTTAACCCCTTAATTAAATGAAACTGGTGTTTACTATCATAAAGGGTGAAGTATAAGTTACCCAAGTTGGACAAAATTTTAACAGGATCATAGAAGCGAGAAAAGTTTTAATTAAAGTCAGTAATGTACTGAGCTGTTAATCTGTTATAACTTTGCAGTTCTGTCATATGGAATATTGGATCAAAAGAAACCACAATGTGTGAAGTTTGTTGTCAATATACATCAAACAATATAAGCAAATAAACATCTTCAAAAATAGAATAAGATCAATATTCTTAAGTGGCTGACCAAATGGTCATTTTTCATGAAGTCATATTGAAGTATTTTTGTTTAAAGGAACTCCACTGAAGTCCAAAAGCCTAAAAACTTAATAGGACAATTAAATCAGAAAGATATGTAAAAGATAGTTAAGAAATATACTTAGAAGTAAATTGAAAATCGTATTTTGTGCTATTCTTAGCCCTATTTGATTGAAATTTTGATTCATTTTTCAAAATTTGAATAATTATGCTGGAAAAACCAAGTGAGTGAATGTCCTGTAATTTTGCACACAAGTTATTGGTCTAGACCTTCATCAAATAGAACATTAATCTTGAAAAAATATTTCCAGTTCCGTCATATCAAAAAACCTCAGTGGAGTCCCAGACCCTTTAATATGCTGTCAGAAAATTTTCAATTTTTAAATCTGGGATAGATATTTAGGTTTGTGGAAACATTTTCCTCCAAAATAAAATGCGTGCTTTTAGAATCATGTATTTTATTTATTAAAATTAATTTGATTAGTTTTACCGACCCTAGACGCCTAATTTGCTTATCTACTTTTTGAAAAAAATTTCTTTACATTATATTGAATACAAAAAATTATATATAAAAGAGATAAAAAAGGAAAATAGAAATTCCTACCTACACTTTTAGTACATAACAGGTGTTCTTTCTTGTGGCCATATGGATAACCTGAAAGAAAATTAAAAAAAAACACATTATTTTTGTGTCACCTCTTTGGAGTAGTGGCGATAATAGGGATTACATCTCTGTTGTATGTCCGTCTGTCTGTCCATCCATCACAAAACTTGTTCGGACTACTCCTTAGAAACTACTGGTGCATTTTTTCCAAACTTTACAGGAATGATCAGTACCAAGTCTAGTTGTGCATATTGTCGGCATTTTCTGGTTCAATAATATTTGTCAGAGTTATGGGCCTTTAATTATTTTTATTTTCAAAGTTTGTCTGGACTATTGACATCTCTGCTACTTCTAATGCAATTTCATTGAAACATTTCAGGATTCGTGAGTAGCTCAAGTACTTGTGCATATAAAACAGGTTTTCCACTTAAATGATTTTTGGCAGAGTTATGGCCCTTCAAAAAAAAGGTGTTTATTTGTGTGTTGCCAACTACTTGTTTGGGCTACTTTTCAGAAACTAGTGCATTTTCATCAAAACTTTACAGGAATATTCAATACTAAGTCTAGTTGTGCATCTCATCAACATTTTTCGATTTGATGATTATTGTCAGAGTAATGATCCTTTAATGATTTTAATTTTTAAAATTTGTCCGGATTACTCCTCTTATACCAACAATGCAATTTTTATGAAACTTTACAGGATTGATCTTTAGCTACATTACTTGGCTTTTCTGGTTGAAGAACATTCAGTAGAGTTATTATTATATATGGGCCCTGAATAAAAAATGCAGTTTTGTACAGTGCAGTTATGAAAAAGAGTGAGATTTTAAGACCAGATTTGAAATAAAGTTGTACCATTGGCTTATTTGAAAATCATTATACTGAGTAAACCAATCAGATAATTAAAACGTCAGACTGACCTATGCTGCTTGATTGAAAAAGATGAAAAATGTATCAAAATGGCTTTTAGATAAAATATGCTAATTATTTTGATATATTTGCAATTTGATAATGTAAATCTTGTTTTAAGCTTGCCGAGGTTATGAACTTCGGTATCGTATTGATTTGATATGAGAACTTGAAAAATAACTTTTAATTAACATCAGGTGGACTCAGTTCTCTAATTTATTTAACTAAGAATTACTCTGTTTACATTGTATTAGAATTTGTGGATTTCGTTTATTTGCTCAAAATTTATTGTTAGAATGTCGGAAGAATTGATTATTGTAGGTTTTAGGGACAAAAGGTTATTCATTAGTAACACATATACCTATGTTTACTTACTGTTCATTTGTCAGTCACTGTAACTTATAATAGTGGAAATGGTAGTGTGGAGATAGTGTCATTATTGCAGCATCAAATAACTAAATTAGTTAATGTAACTAAATTAATATCTTTGAATGCTTTGTAAAACAAGTTCAGTGTTTTTGATTGGATAATAATATAGAATATGTTCCTTAAAGCTTGACGGATTGCTTCTATACCTTAAAGATTAAAGGAATTATAAAGTGAATACTTGAATACTTACCTAGATTGAGGAGTTGGTCAGGATAAAGTAAGATAACTCCATGGCATAATAAATTTTGCTTTGGAATTCACATCTTGAAATTTAGTCATAGTCAAGATCCATGCTTTGTTCTTCTTGATTTCTAAAAAATTTTAAAAGAAATGAGAAAAGTTTTTTTTTTAAAAATTACCATTCTTTTGAGTTAAAATTATTGTGTAGAAAATAAGAAAAAACAAAAACAAAAATAAATAAAGTGATATATTAAAAATAAAAAAATAAGAATAATAATCTATGACATGCAAATGATCTTTTTTTTTTTAAGTGAAAAAAAAAAAATACATGTAGTTTGAAAAACAAATCATGAAAGCTTTAATGTCAAGTTTAAGAGAAAAGTGACATTTGGGCATGACACTATAATGAAGAATTCTTGTTGCAACAGGAGTCAAGCTTATCATCTATGATGGAATTTTTCACTCATTTGTGAAATTTCATTGCTCCCCTTGAAATTGCTAATAAACACTTGACTCATGTTCTACTTCAGACACAAATCTATCAAATGAAGGGCTGTAAAATTTTATTGTAAATATTTAAGCGGTCAATTTGTCATGACTGTAACATTTAATAAAGATTATAGGCAACAAGTTTTTCCAAGGTCATATAGAACATGAGCATGGACTTCCTCTCAGATCTTATATATTAAAAAATAAAAATTGAAAATGAAATAATCCAAGTAAATTACCAAAAAGTGGTAAAAAAGTTACCACGGATGTAGTAAAAATATACACAGTAAAAAATATAGTGATAAAAATTGCAAAATCAGTCATTAATTTAACATGACATGTAGAATATTTCTTGAATATTTTACTTTTTTAGCTCGACTATTCGATAAGAATAAGTAGAGCTATTGCAGTCACCCGAGCGTCGGCGTCGGCGTAACCACTTATGTTAAAGTTTTTGTAATAGTTCAAATATTTTCAAAGTCCATAGACATATGGCTTTGAAACTTTGCACACTTGTTCACCATCATGACCCCAACCTGTAGACAGGAGGAGGTAACTCTATCAAGCATTTTGACTGAATTATGCCCCTTTTTCGACTTAGAATTTACGTTAAAGTTTTTGTAATAGTTCAAATATTTTCAAAGTCCATTGACATATGGCTTTGAAACTTTACACACTTGTTCACCATCATGACCCCAACCTGGAAACAGGAGGAGGTAACTCTATCAAGCATTTTGACAGAATTATGCCCCTTTTTCGACTTAGAATTTACGTTAAAGTTTTTGTAATAGTTCAAATATTTTCAAAGTCCATTGACATATGGCTTTGAAACTTTACACACTTGTTCACCATCATTACCCCAACCTGTAAACAGGAGGAGGTAACTTTATCAAGCATTTTGACAGAATTATGCCCCTTTTTCGACTTAGAATTTACGTTAAAGTTTTTGTAATAGTTCAAATATTTTCAAAGTCCATTGACATATGGCTTTGAAACTTTGCACACTTGTTCACCATCATGACCCCAACCTGTAAACAGGAGGAGGTAACTCTATCAAGCATTTTTTTTACTATCAAGCACTAAGAATAGTCGAGCGTTGCTGTCCTACCGACAGCTCTTGTTTAAATTCGTAGTACATTTTTTCTTAAGTTTGATTTTCTTGAACTAGTTTGGTTGATACTTCTTCTTTCATTTTAGAATTGTTGACATTGACATGTTTATTTTATGGTATCTCTGATGATAACTTAGAGGTTATAAATCTGGTCTGCTTTTCAAAGCTACATGATTTTGTACTTTAACAAAATAATCCTAAATTTTATAATTTACTTTTTGTAATTACTTGTATTAAATATAAATAGTGTATGCTTTTCTGTTCAACTTCATTCCTATAATGACCGAGTTCTAGTGTGCGCAAAAGTTTGAAATGGCTATGAATAAGTCTTTAGAGCAAGTGAATGATTTTAATTTTCTGGTTTTCCCTTTCAAGGGCAGGACCAAAATGTTTATCCTAACATCTATCCCTGAAATTAATATAATTGCTAATAAGTAAATACTTAACAAAACAGACTATGAAGAAATTGAGAATAATTAAGTTAATCTAAATTTTATGATTACCTTAAAGATGTTAATACTACTTGATAGGTAAGAATAAAATCAGCTAACTGAAAATTTTAGGGTTAAATTAGCATTTTATATGAAAGAAATTTCAAAGGGCTTGTTTGAAATGCTTGTTTTTTTTGCAGACATTTTGTCTTCTTATATTTTAAGCAGTCATGAGTTTATTTGCTTTATATTGTTAACAAGTGATTATAAAAAAACTTGACTTTAAGGGTGGTCTAAATTTTCCTCTAACTATTTTTATTTGATATACCGTATGTTGCAAATTATAAAAAAAAGTTTCAATCAAATTGTATAGTTATATGTTAAATTGTTGATGATGTATTTTTGCGTTATGTATATTTCAATAAATTTATTTGAATACAAAGCAAATTCAATGACATAAATCTGGTTTCAGTAAATAAATTAAAAAACAAAAAATCACGCAAAATTTAAAAAAAAAGGATGCACAAAAAACTAGTTAACCCAAAAGAACTAAACAAAAAAACAAAAACCAACAATAAAGTTAAATACATACAAATCTGGTTTAAATAATAAATAATTTTCCAAAAACAGGTAGTATTAAATAAGTAAAACAAATCAAAATTGAAGATATTAAATATGTACCTTTACACTAATGTAATCATCATCCAAATGGTAAAATCTCTGAGCAATAATTTGTTCCTTGCTTGTAATTAAGAGTGAGCTGTTTAAGGGTAGAAACTATTATAGAAACATATAAAATAGGGTCATAACATTTTCTTGACAGGATTTTATCAGAATAAATAAGTTCCACTTGACTTGCCGTTTTATCATTAATAGAAATACCGATATAGAAATCATTAAAGAGCAAGATATGGCCATGTAAAGTGTGCGAAACAAGCAGCGTTTAAGTGGCTCCGTCAATTGTTGACCCCAAGATTACGTTTAGATATTCTATGAGGCATTGAAAGATGACAAGGTGTAATGAAAATCTTGACATTATAGCATCAATCAACATGTTAAGAGGCTATTTATAATGATGTTCACGATACACATACACAGGATACACGGATACACGTGCAGTTGTGAGCAAAAGACTGTGAGCAGAAGACCGTTTATTGCTGATAAAAGAGTGGATACTTGTTGATTTTAATGTTATGGTGATAAAAAATTTCTGACTAGGATGGTTATTTCTCATATGATATTAAGAAATAAAGCTTCTGGTATGAAGATTTGTAGCTGATGAAAAATTTCTGATATTGGATTTCTTATAATTCAATTATCAAAAATTTAATACATGTATCAGTAGGTGAGGATTCTGGATTAATGTTTTTAAAGAAAAATGTCAGTATATTCATATCTTTTTTAAAATAAAACTTTACAAAAGTAACAAAATTTGTATGATTTATGGATAGTTTTTCATATTTACTGAAAAGCTGTGTTTGGACTTCATATAACTTGTGGAAAAGGAAATGAAATTTCTCTGATAAGCTTAACAAAAAGATTCTGTCCAAATAGAAAAAATACAGTCATGTATAACAGGAATGTGCACAGGATTAATATAATAATTGGAATATTATGATGATTTAAGCAACCTTAATTAAGTGATACAAAGTGATGTACTAATAATAACATACTGAAGTGAATAGTGCTTGTTACATCATCACGATAATTTTTTAATCACCATTTTAATTCTAACTATCATAATTACCTTAAATCTTGGAAAATAATGATGTAGGAAAGTGACGGAAGTTGTAATTTGAGATTCAGCTTCGGTCTTTTTCATGAGCGTAAAATTATTATGCTAATTTAAAATTTACAATCGCTCTTGTCTTAAATACTTTTATCTGTCTTTTTAAATGATTTTAATATTAAGGAGGATATGGGCGAGATTACACAGGTGTAAGTGAAAGGTGATAAGGGGTAGTTGTAAACCTGTAATCTTACTTTATATTATGGTCATCAATATTCAAGGATGCTTAATCTATTGATTTAATGATTGGTTATTCTTGACCGTACAAATTACAAGCCGACTATTATCAACTTCGCCAGAATTTTTCCAAAAGCCGTCACTTTATTGAACGAGATTAACTTACTTGATATGATATGTGTATCATTTATTTTATACGGAAAAAAGTTTCGTCACATGTGTCAGGTTGTGACGACTTGTAACTGGACAGTGATATAACAAAAATCGTTAAAGTCATTAAAACTGGAGGCTTGTAGATCTTTGATGGAATTATTTGTTAAGTATGATAAAGAAAGCAGAATTGGTGACAAAATTAGAAAGGGCTAACGGACCATCTGATGGTGTTTTTATAAAGGATTCTGAAATAAAAATGAAGAAAAGTGCTGATTTGGAAAGTAAAGAATTGTTTACAAGTAAGGAAAATGTGAATGAGAAATCTAAAAAATCTGAAACAAAACTACAAAAGGATAGTAGATCTGAAAGCAAAAAGGATTTGAAAATCAATGTTGATGCTAAAAATGTCAAAGGTCAGAAGTCAAATTCTGATACAAAGTCACCTAAAAGGTCAGAGGTGAAGGTTAAGGATGTGGATTCAAGGAAACGAGGTCAGGCCATGAGACGTCTCAGAGGGTCTGTACATACAATACAAGCCCTTTCAATGCTCAGTAGTAGGTGCTCTTTTTCTAATATTTTTAAAAAAAAATTAAAATTCAAAAATGTTTTTTTATTTTTTAACCTGTGAAAAATGTCAAAATATACAATATGTTGGCCTGTTACATGTCAAAACAGAAATGTAGAAAAGTATATTTCAGGGCCCTAATTACCTTGTAAGCGACTGGGGCTAAGGCCCTCAGGTAGGGGGAATTTCGCTTTGTTTGAAGAAAAAAGTGAAATTTGACTGTCAACAAAAATACTAAAGCACAATGTATTTTGCAAAAGGCAAATTCCAATATGATACTGTTAAGGGTTATCTGCTTTAGGCAGGTAAAATTTATATTGTTTTTGGAGAAGAATTTTTTTAAAATAGGTGAAAACAAATATACTGGTGCAGGTAGAGGGGCCGAATATCTGCCCAAAAAATTGTGAAATGAAGGTCCTGTTAATTTTAACACAAGTTTGATATGTACAAATTCAGCAATCCTTCATATTCTAGTTATGTTGCTGTTTATTTACAGTTAACAGTGAAAGCCATTGAAAAAATTGTAAAAACTGTATTTCTTTTTGTCATTGGATTTGTTCCTGTTTACTTTTCTTGAATCTTATAAAGTAATTTTGACAAGATTTAGTGTATGTCTTGTTTTGTGAATGGCCAAATTTCCAATATCTGGCATAGATATTTATTCCAATTATTTAAAAAAAATACTGTACTCAAGAATGATGTATAGTTTCAGTTTCTTCTTCTTTTTTTTGCATGGTGTTACTTAGCCAAATTATTAGACCCATTCCCAGTCTTAACAGATATCCATTTCTGATAATTTCAATAAAAATACAAATTATGTGTACTTTAATAAAAAAATGGTACACACAAGAGGTTTACTGGGAAACAACCATGAATAAGTTTAAAGAAATCAGTCTGCACGAAAAACTTTTTATGAAATATCAAATAGCTCGAAACAATTTTAACTACACCGAAAATTCTAACAAAGTTGTGTCCATGTTTTACAAATTTACTTAAATCTGGAGAAAATAATGCAGCAAAGTGATATCACTTGATTAACATTTATTTCTGATATTCTAAGACTGAAACTCAAGAAATGATTTCAATTAGCTTACCCGTCTGGCGTCATAGCTTTCTTGGAGAAAAATCAATATGCAAATCTTTCTTGGTCATTATAAATACAAGGGGCCTTAATGATTATTCTATATATAAATTATTTCGGAAAGTTTTGTGCCAATACCGGTACCTTAAAAAAATCAATTTTTCCCTCAGTCAACTTTTTTCTGACCTCAAACCATTGCTACACTGTCGGACTACTCTCCCAAAATTTATTGTAGCCTGAAAAGAATTTTACTAGACTCGGGCTGAGCTTATTTTTCGCAGAATGAGAAATTAATATTACTCTTTAAAATTATTTTCCATTTTCCTTTCTTTCTTATGAAATTTATTACTTAATTAATGTGAAAATAAGGAATGGTACACGAACAACTGTGTTGATGAAATTTTTACTTCTTTGTCATTTACTGGTGTACGTCATGTATTTTGTATCTTTGAATTAGGAAATATAACACTTTTGAATAAATGAAATCAATCATTGATGCAAAAATATTAAAAATTATAGTCAAATTCCAAGCATGCTTACAGGACTTTTACCAGAGGTGGTCACAGAATTTTGACAAGGAATAATGAATGTTCAAGATGTTTGGCAACTTCATAATTTTCTAGGGGGTGGGGGAGGCGGGCATGAGAAAAACATATAATAATATCCAGACAGACCTTGATGTAATATTATATAAATTCATGTATAACAGCCAAATCCCAGTTTGGGTTCATAGTCCCCTCTGCCTATCCCTGGACCAATGCATAAGCCCCACTGAATTATAATGTATCATGTTAAAAATTAATTATTATTAATTTATTAATTTAAAGACTTTCAAGATAAAAACAATTAAAACAAAGACAACAGTCAGTTTTAAGAGCCATTCAAAAGACTGCTTGAAGATGTACTTGTTTTGCTGTAAAAAAGGGGGACCTTACCTGAATAGTTCTCAAATATTTCAAGAAATTAATTAAATGATAATTGACTAGTAATTGAAATCCCAACCCTCAATCCCTCCCCAGAGTAGTGCAGGGGATATAATTGTATTTTCAACTGTTCTACCTTTCGTGACATTTGCAAACAGCTGTCATTGAGATCTTTTGATGTGTTCTTAAATTTAGATGACAAATTAGATGTTATTCCATAATAGGGTGCGAGAGGTAGATAAAAAAGGGAAAATTATTTATTAGAAAAAAAGCTGAAATATTTATCATAATTTTTTATAAAAATTTACTCACCAACATCTTAGTTCTAAATCAGTCATGCTTTTTTCCTGTACAGTTTTTAAGTCCATCTTCGTAATCACAAAGTCAACTTTCAAAATTCCAAACTCCATCATTCTGAAGAATTTGACTTCTTAATTTTTCGTCAACTGAAAGTCCAATTAATCTTGATCAATAAACTTCTTCAACGGATTTCCAATTACAGTCCAATTTTCAATTACCATCCGACTGTTATAAAAATCAATCCAAAGTTTGGTCAATTAAAATTTTTTCAAACTACTTGAACATTTTCTGTACAATAAGAAGTGTTGATTACTTAAGTACCCCAATACGGACGATAAAGCTCTTGCATGAGTTCAAACATTAGAGGAAAATCAATGTCCATTCAAACCAACTGAAAAGGGTTGGAATTGACTATATTTCCATTTCCAAACAGAAGTTGTTTTTGCAAAGAGCCATTATAACTATTTGCTCTAGCCAGTGTTTAAACACGGCAACAATAGCAGCTTACTTGTGACAGGAACAAATTATTTAGTCCTTCCAAAGTGGAAACAATTTAACTTTTTTTCTGAGCTTTTCAAAGGTTTCTTAAGCAAAGTTTTAGTGTTTAGCAATCATTTTCACTTTAAATTCACATATTTTGGATATTTATTGAGTAAACTGAGTAAAAAAAAAATTTTGTTTTTCGTTCACAAATTTAATGTTTTTTGTTTTTTTTTATCTAAATGTTGATCATATTTTGTGTGGTCAGTTTTAATCTGAAGTGATATTTAATATGAATAATTCTTACCTTGTGTTATATGAAGAAGTTTCAAAGATAATTATTCAAAAACTAAAGATAAGGAGTTTAATATTACAGTGACTATAATGTTAAATAACATTATAAGGTTGTGATAATCCTGGCATGGATCAAGAGGGATTTCGAATTAGTTGGATTCAGTTTTTTTTAATGGTTATTAGATTTTGTATAATCTTTTTAACTGCTGGTTCCATTATGTCTCTTTAAACCTCTTTTTGAAGTGGTCAAGAAAAGATTTTTTCCCAGTACGGAGACTTGAATTGACTCCATTTCAACTTCTGTCTCAGCCAATTATTGCATTTAATATACTTAGCAAGGTCAGGTTTCAATTAAGTATTTATGGCACCATGTAGCTTTAAGCCATTGTGCAGGTTTTTACCTTTGATTTCCGATTGTGTAAGAATTCTACTCAATCAGATTACAATAATAATATCTACTTGACCATTGTAGATTTGTACATGCTGATTCAACGTATTAAATTGTAATAGTGTTAAAGGTAGCTTACAATCGGTTAACGAGTGTCATTTTTGGCTAATTGTAATTAAAATTATTATATATGCAATTTTAAAACCAGGATTTATTTCGTTAGTCTATAGAATGGAAACTGTATACAGAAAGTTATAAACAGTTTGGTTTGGAAGTTTTAAATTTGTGACAAAAATAAATCATAAAAAATGGCCGCTTTTCTGAAAATGGCCAATGCTATGAAGAAAGCAAATGCCGAAAAACAATCATCGCCAACATCGTCAAATGATGACAAAAAGTCTGTGCTTGGAAATAAACTTGGTGATATGTTGAAGAAAAATAAGGGAGCAAGTTTGATGGGTCAGTATTGTAGTTCATTTTATATCTGTAAGTTTTCTGATGGTTATTTTCAACCAAAGAAATACATACAACTGGATCAACTTTTCATGTTGAACATCTTGTATTGTTCCAGATGTGACATCATAAATGTGCATTTATGTTATATGCATTATAATTAGGTAATGCTTATTTATGGAAAAATAATTTCTATGGTTCTGTTAAGATTTTCTATATATATATATATATATTACAGAAATTACTTAGAAATAGTTTTAAATCACTATTGTAATTAATATCAAAGATAATTTTGATACATTAAACTTAACCATTTTATTCCTAAAAGCATAGGATTTTGGTGAAACTTATAATAAACTATGGTACCTTTTCATGCTTGTTTATATGTTTGATAAAATTAAATGGAAGATGAAAATAATATTAAAAGACAACATAAAATGAAATGATACAGTCATTGTTGATGGTTTGTTTGTGGTTTAAAGGCAAATTATGCCTGAGAAATGAATATATTTTTTCTTTCTTAGGAAAGACAAACAGTAGTATAATGGTTTTAAAGCATTTAAGATACATGTACTAAACACCTGAAGGAAGTTAATAGCTTCAAATGTAAAATTGTTTGTCATAAAAGTAGCTAAATGTAAACAAAGTTGTAGTTTGTCTTCCATACAAAATACTTAATCACTTTAACTGTACTAATTGCCAAAAAGTAACAGGAGCAAAAGATGGTCCAGGAATTAAGTCAATAAGTATTTTTTTGAAAACTTAAGTACAGAACACCAAATAAAAAAAACTTTTGATAAATAAAAATAAAGGCATGTCAGGGTCAATGGGCCTTTAAAGGTATATAATTAGAATTCAGGTAGAATAAATAATGTTGTATGTTTATAATCTGTGACAGCATTCAGTAAGTTCACAGGATCATTATGGACAATGTTTTGCTATTTTGACATTATTATAATTATTATGAGTATCAAATAAGTAAAAACCTTCTTTTTTAAAACTCTTTAAGGGTATGAAAACAACATGACGGGACTTCTTTTAAATTTATATAGTACATTGTATATTTGAAA